GTGGGGACGCGGGGAGGGCGGGGCCACGGTTTTCACCAACCGCTTCGCCCGCGCACCCGGGGACGGTGAAAAGGGGGCAAGCCCCCCCCCCCCCCGCCCCCCCACGGGGTGTCTTTTGTTAACAAGTAGAGCAGGGACCGAGTACATGCCGTCATTGCCAACTCTGGTACAAACCAAGACAGCAAAACTTCCGGCCTCAACACTCCCAGTGGCGACGCTCAGGCTGCTTTGTCTTCGCGTGTATACCGGAAGGCTGGATTGAATCCTGCGGATACATCATTCGTCGAGGCCCACGGCACCGTAAGCATCCCATACGGTGGAATGGATCTGGGCTGACAGGCCTCTGGATAGGGAACTCAAGTAGGCGACCGAGAAGAGATTGCATCCATCTCCAAGGTCTTCTGCGAGGGTGTTGCCAGGACGGACGACCTCTACGTTGGCTCCATCAAACCGAACGTCGGGCACCTCGAGGCGACCTCTGGCATTGCCGGCCTGCTCAAATGCATTCTCGTGCTGAAGCATGGCCACATCCCGCAGAACTTGGATTTTATCAAGCCAAAGCCATCGCTGAAGCTCTACGAGAGAAATATCAAGGTACGCCTGCTGTGCTGGCTCCAAGTCTCCGAGCTAATGTCTACTAGATCCCGACAGAACTTACGAAGCTCCCGACGCCCCGTAATGGTGGGCCGGTGCGGGTGTCTCTCAACTCGTTTGGTTACGGGGGGACCAATTGCCATGTTATCCTTGAGGCTGCCGACTCTGGGAGGAAACCGAATGGAACCAATGGTATCAAATCCAATGGAACCAGAATCAATGGTACAACGGCCAATGGAACCGACACGAATCAGAGGGAAAGTATGAAGAACGAGCTTTCGGACCCAAATCAGGCCTCCTTGTCGAACAACACAACGGCGCACTGTCCGGAACTGATTGTTCTCAGTGAATCGACTGAGAAAGCGTTGTTATCGCGCGCCCAAGACCTTCGTCTGTGGATCAAGACTCACCAGATGGCGCCACAAACTCTGCACAGCCTATCCTACACGCTCGGAATCCACAGGTCGGCTCTTCCATACAGGAGAGCCATTGTCGCATCGACGACGGAGGATCTCGTGGCTGAGCTCAAAGTACCGGGGCCTCAGAAGAGAATCGTGTCGCTGGCACCTGTCACGTTCGTCTTCTCCGGGCAAGGCGCCCAGCGGCATGCAATGGGTTTGGAGCTCATCCACTCCTCGCGCGTTTTCCAACTATCGATGTCGGCCATGGAAGATGCACTGCGCCGCCAAGGTTGCCCGTGGAAGCTGACGGCCCGAAAGCGTCCAGGGGGGAGGGTTGGGTGTTCCAGAAGGATGCGGATGGCCATCTCAGCCCGGTCATTCGACTTCTTGTCAACTTGAGAGCCATTGGCGAGACTCGCGAGGAAGAGAACCGGCCTTTCGTTCAGGATGCGGTGAATCGACTCGACTGGAACCTTGACGCCGACTTCATGACAGGAAGCTCATTCCTCCAGGTGCTCTCGTCTACCCTGGGCTTAGAGGAAAGCACGACACACGGATTTGACGGAACCAAAGTGTTTATTCAGGAGTCTGACAAGGAATACCTTGTTACGGACCAGGCCTCGTCCATATGGTTTCGAGATGCCGTGCGCTATGTTGAGGAGAGCAATGCTGGCATGGTGACGCCTCAGCAAGTCAAATTCTTTGGCTGGATGAAGAGGTGGTTATCCTCGGACTATTGCCGTCAGATCACCTCAGGCTTGACTCCGGAAGAAGAGAAGGGCATTCTGCAACGCATTGAATCGTCCGATACCTCGGCCCAGCTGCAACTCCTTGCCCGCGTCGGCAAAGCCCTCCCTGGCATCCTGACTGGCGAAACCCAGCCCTTGGACGTATGCTGGAAGGCAATCTCCTATCGAGGTACTACGAGAGTGGCATTCTTGTCGGCCCCTATGAAGCCGTAGTGGCGTACCTGAAGATCCTCACTTTCAAGAACCCGCGCCTTCGCGTCCTCGAGGCCGGTGCGGGGACGGGAGGCTGCACCAAATGGCTCTGCCGCGGGCTTTCCGGCCAGAACGGCGCCGTCGGCCTCCCCGTCGAGAAGTACACCTTTACGGACGTCTCCAGCGGATTGTTCGAGGACGCGCGCCAGACATTTGCCGAATGGGAGGACGTCATGGAGTTCCGGACGCTGGATGTGGACACGGAGCCCATCGAGCAGGGCTTCGAGCCTGGGTCCTACGACGTGGTGGTGGCGGCCAACGTGCTACACGCGACGAGGAAAATCGACGTGACGATGAGCCGCGTGCGCAAGCTGCTTAAGCCGGGGGGCAGCCTGGTCCTCGTTGAAATCGAGCCGAGAGGCGCGGCCTTTGGTCTCGTGGCAGGCTCGCTCACCGGATGGTGGGCCTCCGAGGACGATTTCCGGGTCGACAGTCCGCTGCTGTTCCGCAACCAGTGGCAGGATGTTCTGGCGAGGAACGGGTTCGGGGGGATTCACCTTTCCTGGGAATGCATGATGGTAGCCAAAGCTGAGCCCTCGCCAAGCAACGGGACACTTGCCGGGCACAGCATCGTTCTGATCGGAGACGGCGTTGACGACCATGTCGTAAAGACCGCCGCGGAATTCGCCTCCCGCGATATTGATGCCATAGAGTGCCCGTGGGAGCAAGTCAACGCCCAGGAAGACAGCCTCTATGTTATCTTCGACCGCGCGGAGAAACGGCTCCTCCTCGACCCCCAGCCCCAACTATTCGAGACGGTCAACGCCCTCCTCAGCGCCAAATGCCGAGTCCTATGGGTGCTCCTCCAAGACACAGCTGACCCGCCGCCTCAGCCTATAAGGGCCTGGTCAACGCCTTTGTCCGCGTTCTCCGGCGGGAGAGCAGCAACACCGGTCTCGTCAGCCTCGACATCCGCCAACCCGCTCTGCATCCGGAGATGACGGCCCGGGTCGTCGCCGACGTGGCACGCAGGCGCTTCTGGCCGGCCACGGAGGACGCGCCGTCTTTGGAGCCGGAGTTCGCCTACGAGGACGACCGCGTTCTGATTCCCCGTGTCAGGCCGGATGCCGAATTCTTGCAGTGGGCCCGGCGCGGTACGGCGGGGCGGGGAGCCGCCGACGAGACAGAGACTGCCCCCTACCAGGGCGACCGAGTGCTCAAGGCCGAGGTCGCGACACCGGGACTTCTGAGTTCGCTGCGCTTCGTCGACAATGACATGTCGGCTGCTCTCGGGCCATTCCAGATCGTGGTCAAGGCCGAGGCCCACGGCGTGAATAAGGACGTCGGCCTTGCTCTTGGCCAGAGGGGTCCCGGCGCCCATATGGCTGGCGAGTTTGCCGGCGTTGTGACGGCTGTGGGCGAAGATATGCGGAATTTGTACCGGGTAGGCGATCGCGTCATGGGTTTCGGCTCACAGCCGTTCAGCAACCTGTCGCGCGTCCATGGACATCAGGCCCACAAGACGTCCGGCTGGATGTCCGCCACGGTCGCGGCATCCATTCCGCACGCGTACGTGACGGCCTATCACTGCATCATGGGAACAGCCCGTCTCGAGAGAGGCCAGTCGCTTCTGATCCAGGCTGCGTCCGGAGGCGTGGGCCAGGCGGCCATTCAGCTCGCCCAGCATATCGGCGCGGCGGCCATCTTCTGCACAGTCAGCACGGCTGCGAAGCGAAAGCTGATCATGGACGAGTACGGCATCCCGGAAAATCATATCTTCTCCGGCCAGACGGGGTCGCTCAAGCGGGGCATCATGCGACTCACCAATGGTGAGGGAGTGGATCTGGTGCTCAACTCGTCGGCAGGAGAGGCGCTCAGGGACAGCCTCGACTGCGTCAAGTCCCTGGGGACATTCATTGAGCTGGGGAAGAGTGAGATGCAACAAGGATTCCAGCTGAGCATGGCTGCGTTCAACAGGTCGATAACCTTCCACGCCTTCGATCTGGAAACACTGTCGGCTCGAGACCCCGGGCGCGTCCACCGTATGTTGGGCGACATTATCAGCCTGCTCGAGTCCAAGGCATTGCGTCCCATACACCCGATCACCACCTACCCCATTGATCAGATTGAGGATGCATTCCGCTTCGTAGGCTCGAGGAAGCACACCGGCAAGGTTGTCCTCCAGGTCGAGCCTATGTCCACGGTCAAGTGCCTGCCTGCCAAGCCCCGGCCGCTGCGGGTACGCAAGGACGGTACCTACGTCGCGGCCGGCGGCCTCGGTGATCTGACCTCGCGGATCTGTGTGTTTCTGGCCTCTTGAGGCGCCGGGCATGTGGTGTCTCTTTCTCGGCGCGCCATCGACCACGAGACGAAACAGACGTACATGGCTGCGGTCAGGGAACATGGGGGCGAACTTCATATCCTCCAGTGCAATATCACAGATGAAGAGAGCATGAAACGCGCTGCGTCATACTGCGCCAGGCTGCCCCCCGTTAGGGGTGTGGTGAACGGTGCTTTGGTGCTTCGGGTAAGTCGTCAAGTACTTGGCCATTTCCAGTTCGATACCATCTTCTAACACTTTGGAATAGGACCGGACATTCGCCCAGATGACTGTCGAGCAGTGGAAGCTACCACTCCAGCCTAAAGTCTTCGGGACCCTCAATCTCGACAAGTTCTTTGCCTCGCCTGATTTGGCCTTCTTCCTAACCCTCTCCTCGGTCGTGGCCGTCGTTGGCAAGGCTGGTCAGTCCAACTACGCCGCCGGAAATGGCTTTCAGGACGCTTTCGCTCGTGCCCACGCCGGCCACCCTCACACGCACTACGTCTCGGTCAACGTCGGTGCCGTCTCCGTCGACGCGCACGGCGCCCTCAAAGAGGCACAACAAGGCGACATGTCCATCGGTGGCATGAGGGCGTCTCTCCGGCAGAACAGTATTATGGACATCTCCTTTGACGAGTTCTTTGCTAATATCGAGTATGCCATGACCGGTCTCGCCCGGGACCACCACATGCACCAAACAATCCAGGGTGTCACGCACCAGTCCATGTTGGACGCCAACGACGAGCACCTTCTTGAGAATCCCGTCTTCAGCCAGCTGGCTCATTCCCAGAGGAAGCAAGCTGCGGGCGCCACGCAGACCGACAGGATTGACTTGAAAAAGGCTCTGGGTAGGGTGAAAACGATGGAGGAGGCTGAGCAGCTCATCCGGGACGCCACGCTGACCAAGTTCGCCGTCTTCCTTGACCGGCCGATCGACGACATCAGGGTCGATCAGTCGCTTGCTACCATCGGTCTCGACTCCCTCGTCAGCATCGAGTTGAAGAACTGGATGGTGCGCACGTTCCAAGTCAACCTCCAAACGTCGGAGCTGGGCGGTGCTGGCAGCATTATGGCGCTGGTGGCGACGGTGGCCTCGCGGTCGAAGCTGATCCCCGACGACATCCGCCAATCGACAGAGAATGAGAAAGTCCCAAAGAATGGCCAGTTGGGGGGGCAGAATCATGGCTTCTACTGTTGCAGGGCGAGCAAGGAGCTACCTTGTCGACCTTGACGAGGCAGTCAACGACCTCCTCAACAGCATCGGCCATTTTTCCCACACGCAGGAAGAGTATGCGGAGCTCAGCCGCAAGGCCCACGCCCTCGCTGCACCGGGCAGTCTCGGCCGCAGGCTGTACAGCCAGCTGCGCGCCAAGGCCGACGACCCAAGCGTGGAGAGCTGGATTGCTGGTCCCCTTCTCAAGGCATTGCACCTCAAGCGAAGATATCCTCTGGTGCCATTCAGCAGCTTTCTCGGCACCCACTTTGACAGCGCCGTGCCGCACTCACAGGCCCAGCGAGCGGCCGCGCTTACCAGGGCCCTGTCCGAGTTTAAGCATGACCTGGATTCTAGGAAACTGAAGCCCGACGTTCTGGGAGAGAGGCCAAACTGCGGCTACTCTCTGACGTGGCTTTTCAACGCCCTGCGAGAGCCAAACGTGGGCTGTGACAAGATGATGAGGTATCCGGGGATGGAACACGTCGCCGTGTTGCGAAGAGGGCACTTGTTCCGCGTGTCACTCCGGGAAGGAGACGACATCGTCTCGTATCCGAAGCTGAAAGCAACATACCAAGCAATCCTTGACCTCAACCTCGAGGAAAAGCACTGGACGGGCATCCTGACGACAGACAACCGTGACAGTTGGGCCACTGTAGGTCTTGCTCTCTGCCTCTGTACCGCTTGTTATACTAACTATGTCCCCAGAACCGACAGAAGCTCCTCTCGATGGACGCGAGGAACGCCGCGTATATCAAAATGCTGGAGGAATCCGTCTTTGTCATGTGTCTTGATGACGACAGCCCGGTCACGCGTGAGGAACGGGTCCGGTCCGGGTACCTTGGTGACTCGTTCAACCGCTGGCACGACAAGACACTACAGCTTGTCGTCACCGCCAACGGCCGCTCCGGTACCATCTTCGAGCACTCCATGATCGACTTCATGACCACGTCGCAGATCTCGCAGAGGCTCCAGCGCGCCATCGACACCCTGGACCCAGAGAACGACAACCCCGGTCAGGACGGCGAAGCCGTCGTCGTCGATCCCGCCAGCCTGGAGGAGATCCCCTTGGTGGCGACGACGGCGGAGATCGAGGCCCGCATGACGACGCTGCGCGACAAGTACGCCGCGACCACCGGGGCGAAGATCTACACGCCGCACCTCGTCCCGTCGTTCGGCAAAGCCGTCCTCCTCGCCCACTCGGTGCCCATCAAGGCGACCGTGGACCTGACGATCCAGCTCGCCAGCCGGCTGTACTTTGGCTACCTGCCGGCGAGCTGGGAGACGGTGTCGACGGCGCACTTCCACCTAGGCCGGCCCGAGACCGTGCAGGTGGTGCTGAAGTCGGTGGTGGACTTTTGCGACGCGGCGCTCGACGGCAGCGTGCCGTAGGCCGAGGCTCGCGCCCAGCTACTGCGGGCGGCGCGCGAGACCAACGCGCAGATCGTCAAGGGCGGCGAGGGCCGCAACTACTTCCGGCTGATGGACGTGCTTGAGGTCATGAGCCACGAGGCGCACGACGAGGGCGCCGCCGACGCCGTTCCCGAGCTGTTCTCCGACCCCGTGTGGAAGAGGAGCTACCCGCGCCTGATCATGCAGACCATGATCGAGAAGAAACTGGCCCAGGATCCCGGCTACACGATGGAGGACCCAGAGAACGTGTGGATGAACTACACCGTGAACGAAGATTCGTGAGTAGCCCCGTCCAGTCCGGAGCATGCAGCTAACGTACTTGCAGTCTGGAGGTGTGTTTTGTCAGTCCTCGAACGGGCGCCGAGCGCTTCAAAGCTGCGCTAGACCGTGCGGCAGATATTGTCAAGACTATTATTCAGGCTGGTCGGGCATAAGGGGTCGCGATGGGACTGGAATTCTGGTGCGGGAAAAGCGGATGTTCACTAAAAAGTTGTAGCGAGTATCGTTCAGGATGAGGGCTGCACCGACCGCCATGTCTTCCGAGGAGGAAAGGCGGGCGATGTGGGCAGCAGTCCTCTGTTGGGACAATGGATTCATACCTTCTCGTGGTGTCCGGTGTTAATCCCCGTTGCGGGAGACCAAATTGAATCCGTACTCTATAAAGAGAATGCCTAGTGCACTACAGTGAGTTCTGGCGGCACATTGAGTCATTAATTACAGAGTATGTGGCCACTGTACTGCCCGGTCCGCGCTGAACGCGCGGACCGCCATCCACCCGCCATAGCTATGGTGCTATTAGTAATTTAGTATTCTGCTTATAAACGGCGAGCTGGACTTCTGTTTTAACCGCCGCCTAGTCACTGTAGACTGTAAAGCACAGTCACCAGAATGCCCGACTCCACCATGCCGTCGCCCATCGGCACCCAGCAAGATGAAGAGAAGGCCATACAACCCCCTGTCGTCTCTGAGAGCCCTGCTCTGGACTCAGCTCTCCCACCAGAGGGCGGCCTTCGAGGTTGGCTATGTTGCGCTGGCGGTTCCCTAGGTCTGTTCGCTACCTTGGGCTTCTTGAACGCGTTGAGTCCTTCCTTCCGCGAAAAAGCTTTATGACCCGGTCCTTTTGCTGACCTGGACAGCATTGGTATCTTCCAAACCACCTATCAAGAGACTCTCTTGACGGACTACAGCTCTTCCGACATCTCATGGATCTTTACAATCCAGCTCGCTCTCATATGGGCTCCAGGTTCCCTATTCGGCCGCATTGTAGATGCCTACGGACCGCGCCCGGTCATGCTCCCATGTACCTTTCTTTGCCTCTTCTCACTGTGCATGACGAGTCTTAGCACCGAATACTATCAGATCATCTTGGCGCAGGGAATTGGTTATGGACTCGGAGCTGGAGGTATTTTCACCACCTGCTTGGTCTGCGTGAGCCAGTGGTTCGTCAAGCAGCGAGGCCTTGCTCTGGGAATTACTGTTGCGGGTAGTAGTATTGGTGAGGAGCAGACTATCCCATCAGTGTCTATGACGTGCTGATTTGATGTGTGACCAGGGGGCGTGGTATTCCCATTCTTTCTGCAACTGGTTATGGAAGACGTGGGATTCAATGGCATGGTACGCTACACGGCGCTGTTCATAGGTATCGCTTTAGTTGGCGCCTTCTTTCTTCTCGGTGCGCGCCTGCCTCCTAAGAAATGGGACTCAGAAATGGCATGGATTGACTTCAAGCTGTTCAAAAACCGAGGCTTTGCTTTCTATGCCCTCGGCTCATATTTTGTGATGTGGGGATTATGGGCACCTTTCGATTATCTTCCTAGCATGGCCCAATTGTCGGGAATGTCGGATTCGCTGGCCCTCTACCTGATCGCTATCGTGAAGTAAGTTTTGTTCAATCTTGTTGTCCCTAGCAGAGCTGACCTGAGGGGCAGTGCTGCTTCACTTTTCGGACGAATTATCCCCGGGCACATCGGAGACAAGGTGGGATACTTTAACATCATAGTCACGTCCGCCTTCCTAAGCTGCATTGCGATCCTCTGTTTATGGCTGCCTTTCGATTACCATTCTTCAAATGCCGGCCTCATCGTTTTTGCTGTGGCTTACGGCTTTTTCAGCGGCGCCTTCGTTAGCATCATGATGCCATGTTGCGCAAAGTCCGGCAGCCTAGAGACCCTGGGGAGACAGATAGGTACTTATCAGGGTGTTATAGCTATCTCGTAGGTCTTCGTTGGCCCCATTTGAATGATTTTCTATTTTTTTTTACTGTACTGATGTCTAGCAGCACTCTTACTGGCCTGCCGATCATGGGAGCTATCTTGAAAAGGCAGGATGATTCAACCTATATGGGCATGCAAGTATTTGCCATTGTGACCATGTTTCTCGGTTTCGTGTTCCTCTTGGTTTCTCGTAATGTCCTGGCTGCGGCTCACGGAACATGGAAATACTGAAACTTGTGACTACGTCGTCGAATTTATGCACAAAACAGGCCCTGCTCGGGCAATTCCGGCATGAGGAATTGCATAGGCCTAGCGGCCATGGAGTAGATGTGGAAGACGATGGTTAAAAAGGAACCGCCTAAACCCGGAAAGAGGAGCCGGGGCAATACATACATAAAGAGAACGAGAGCCAGGAACACTGAGGTAGCTTCGATCGATATTTTAGTCAACGGAAGTGAAAGGGATCAGCACAAACAATAGCCGGCATCCATCACTCAGATCGAGGTTCTGTCTGCTCGGTCCAGGGTTAGTTCCCGCTTGGTACACAACACAGTAATTTTATATCGCAGTAATAGCAATCACAATGTCTTCCCGTCAGATCTTGAATTGGTTGTGGTGGTGCCTGCGTACAGGTTTTACAGCATCAGCCCATACAATGATATTCGAAATCACACAGTTTCCCAATGCCTGCATCTACGAATGTACCTTTGATGAGTCATAACCAGCGAATCCCCGCTGTTGTATGTTTTTGGTAGTTCTTGAATTTTGTTTTGCTTCGTTGGTTATGCCCTTGCCGAAGTCTGCCAGTCTGCTCAGGTACAGTCATGTACGAGAGGTGAATAGCCATACATATCAGGGCATGTCCTGCAAACCTCCGCGGAGCAGTTTCATCACTAGAAAATGTTGGGAGATGCGCAAGTTCCTATCTTCTATACATGGATAGGAAAGGAAAAGATATTCTCCTGCTGAAATCGCACAATGTGAACAGGTAAAGAGGGTTCATCGTTCTTCGATCTATGCCAAAGGAGAGACGTCAAGATGAGACTTTGATTATACATATGATACGAACCACGAAATTTGCTGTTCCGACAGTAGAGCGGGCACTGTAGGTGGATAGATTACAAAAAAGCAAATAGGAAAACATCCGTAGACCATAGCTAGCCCAATATCAAGGCACCATATGACCGTCCCTATTCAACGCTGGGATTTCGACCGAGGGTGGGTTATGTTCAGTTAAAAGTCCCTCGAACAGACATCTCCGATGCAATACACAGGCAAAGTACTTGGCCATAGCGCCTGCAGGTCTCATTCATTTATTTACACTTGGTCTAGAGTTCTCCCAATACGGCGGTTCAGCTTTACTTGACATTCGTTGATGTCTCCAATGCACTGCAGGATGCCAGCCAAGCTCACCGGACTGGTTGACATGCGGCATAGTCTTATCTTAAAGAAGCCTTCATATTGTAGATCTCGTCCTTGTGATCGCGGTTGGTTAGTATTCGCTTAAGAAATGGTTATCCTTTCAGTCGTCTTACCCAAAATCCAGAGAGTATCTCAAGGCAGGTGGTCAAGCCTCCATGCTGCCGGAGGAGCTGGACGAAGTGTATCCCACTCCTCAGCCATGTGGGCAAGATACTTGGAGAGCTGAAGTTGCTCGGACCAATACGTTCAGTGCTCCACCACATGCACTTGATGCACGCTCTACAGAGCTGTAAATCAGTTCCAGCCACTACCCTCACGCATGTACATCTCCACATCCTCATCGGGATCGTAAGTATTCTCCGCTAGCTGCTGACCATCCATCCAATTGGCCACAAGCTGGAATACCTCTCCCGCTCTCTCATGTATCCTGAAGGGCAGAACCTGGCCCTTGTGGTTGACTGCAAGATACAGCACCCAGCCCTCCTCACATGCTTTGCGGTCCGCAACAAGAACAAGCAGACTTTGAATCTTGTCCGTTTTAGATTCCGTCTCCTTTATCTCCGCTTCACTCAATGGCTCACGGGGCCAATCACGAGCTGAAAGCCCGTCAAACTGATCTGGACAGTGCTCTAGCGCTGTAACCAGGTACCAAGGTACGGATCCTGGCGTTCCGAGCGCGATTCCATTTGAGATATCTGTATCATTGTCATTGCCGCGACTGAATTGTTCCTTGTTGTCAAAGATGAACTCTGGGTCCATGCAGTCGTTGTAGCCTTCTTGTCCACTCTGGTACATGACACGGGCAAATAATCGCTTGTAAGCCGCGTTCGCAGCATCTTGACTCTCATTGTCTTCTTGATCGCCGAACCAGGTCCGGATCCAGATCCAGATCATGCAAGAGATCTGCCCGTCTACCGCAAGCTCGTCGTCCGAGAGAAGGTCCTGCGGGAAATGAGGGGGGAATTCATCAGGAGGATCCATGTAGTAGTCCTAATGTAGTCACAATGATCAAGTTAGGGAAATAGAATAATAAAATGGGGGTAAATGGCCAAATTACCTTGCGGCCGTATTTCCCGAGCCGAATCCACTTCTCAACTAGGGATCTTTTCTGCTCTTGTTTTGAGAGCGCGGAGTTGGGGTCCCACTCTGCCTGGATGGTGAGTTAGGAGAGTGAATATGGTGGAGGAAGCAAGCCATGCAGCCCAGGACGTATCAGGAGGAAAGAACTGTCCTCACACTGACCATGACGAAATGGTCGAATGGCAGATACCCAAACTCGGGCAAATCAAGGCCGTCTCTCATGAGGAGAGTTGGTGGAGGACCTGCTCCACGAGACTGTCTCTTGGTCTCAGTGAGTCGTCTTCTTCTTTCTTCTCAGACTTTCATTCGGTTCCCTAATGAACTCACTGAATATGAAAAAACATTCAGATCGATGATTGATAGAAGGCAGGATGACTTACAGGATTAGGAGGCGGAGATGTGGTTGTGATATGGCATATTGCAGCCTAGGCGTCATCACATGCTGCTATGGCAACTCCTGTCGAAGCATATCGACATAGCGCAGTAGTGAAAAGATGCCAAGATGCGCAGTGTTAGGTTCACTTCGAGGATCGAAGTGTTAAGGAATCATACGGCATGTTCCATCCGAGGTCAGTTGGACTTTAGAGCCTGTTCCTCTACGGTTTATAGATGGCATGCCGTCAGAAAAGTGAGGGTCAATACGGATAGTGGGGATGGATTGAGCGACTTGGCAAATGAATTCTCTGATATGAAGGACCAGAGAATTGAATTTTGCCATACAAGCCTTTATTGTTTCGTGTCTGCTTGGGGAGCAGCGAATATTTGCTCAAGATAGACTCCCAATGATAGCATGCATGCAAGGAGTGTACTCTGCTGTACAGGTCATCTGACGATAAATCTCTTTGCCAAAAGACCAACCATGCAGCCCAGCGAAAAGAAACCAATGCAGACTGGTAGGGAGATACGAGTTTCCATATCCTGGGCCGTAAGAGGTTGTGAAGGAGAAGGTTCAGCATCTCGAAGTCGATCACGGCTTGTCCCATGGTCAAAAGTATCCTCTGCTCTTGTAAAATGCTCCTCCTCGTATTCGATTGTTATGTCTTCACCAAGCTCAGCAAAGTATTCCTGCAGCTGGCAAATTTTATGACGCACGAATCTCTCTCGCTCTTTATGCTGTTCAGGTATCGTGGTGACGTTGTGGACCCTCTCTGCAATGGATGAGCGCGCTCCCCAGCAGTATTCATCTAGTAACTCCCAGTAGATCATGTCAACGGACGACACCATCCGAGAAGCTAGAATAAACCAGGCGCTCTTGTCTTCGATCGATCTTCGCATACGTGTTGAAAGTCGGTCCTGGGGTTTTGTCTTACTGGTTTCCTCTTTCTGCTGCAAACAGTTCAGAAAAATCTCTGCCCTGGGGAGAAACATATCGAGAAAAGCGTCAGCACCGAGTTCATTAATGATTCGATGAGGTCGTTGCAGCAGGAGCCACGATGGAATACTCCCGGCGAACTGAATGGGAGCTGTATAGCAAAACTCCCAGTCAATAACTCCCGTGACGCGGAGAGAGTCATCCACAAGCACATTTCCGGGTCCAAAATCATCGCAGAACAACTTAAACGGGCCGTGATTATCTTCCTGGGAAATGAAATCCAAGGCTATAGCTTTCATCAGATGGCGACAAGCATACTTCTCCCGGCAATCTTCAGAATCATACACGCTGTTCCGTTGTTGCTTCAGGTGAATCGACTGCAGTTGCAATAATGATGCAATATAATCGGTAGAGCTGTGATAAACGCTTGAAGGTGTGCAGTTTCCCAACCCGCAAGTCCGCATAAGCTCGTTGACTTCCAGCGTCCCAGGCGGGCCGTCTACCACATACTGCCCACATTGTTGGTCTTGACCTAGGCAACCGATGTGATCGAAGTCGAGCTTCCAAAGCTCTAGAAGGATCTCGGCCATCTGGCTATAAAGAGCCCCCAACGTTCGAGAGTCAATATCGGGGTTCAAAATATCCTCTTTCCCGGGCATGTCTTTTCGAAGGATCTCCGACATTTTCCTTCCTTCAATCCAGGTCATGAGGATGAAGGGCCCAAGCCCAGTAGGGTTCTCATGCGCTGCTCCATGGGCAATGACGCGAGGGACAGGAATCCGGGTCCTACTAGCAATGAATTGCATGAGCACGGCCTCTCGGTAGACTTTCTCGTCTAGAAACATCGATTTTCCAGGCAATGGAAATCGAATCAGCCAGTCCTCGCCGCCATCTTCCCAATGCAACCGCAGGCTAAAATTGAATGAGCCACAGTGCATTGACCGGAGCAAGCAGTCATCGCGTTTTCGGTAACGGTTTGCCAGGTCACAAATCCCTTTGGATGAGGTGGAACACAGCCTGATCCACTCTTGTTTAAGAGCGTCGAACTGCCGAAGTTGAATGTCATCGAAATCCATAGGTCCAATCTTAATATGGCCTTGGTGCAGCTTTAATCAAGTTGAGAAATTTGAGAAGAAAGAGGACTCGGTTGTTGTCTAACATGGTCTCGAGAGCATGAACAGTCCTCCCTTTTCTCAAGCCAGTTGTTGACATAATCACATGACTGCTGTTTCTGATGCATGACCTATCACGTGACCGTCTTACATGTTTCATAGACCATGGTGATTATGACTTACAAGCATGGTAAGGAGGTCAAAAGGACCTAGTAGGTTCTTAAACAGCTCTGAGATATAATGGCTTTACGTTTAGCGTTTGAGACACCATGATGAAAGAAGCACATCTTAAGCAAAACAAGTCAAAGCCTCTACTATGCACAGCAGGCACAGTCATAGTAACCTCTCGCCCTCGCTTGGGTCCTTCAGAGAAGCACAAGTTTACCCTTATCCCCCTCTCTTCCAGCTTGGTAGCTTCGTCGTCTCCTAGGGGAGTGATCTATCAGCTTTTGTAGCTATCGCAGAACTGAGGTTTATCTAACACTTAGAGTGGTTGCTCAACTCCCTAGCCTCTCTTCGTTTTCGCTCCCTTTCGCGCTGAGATGATCTACCAGCCTCAGTCATGAGAGTTATGTTGGTTTGATCCATAAGTGCTTCATTTAGAGCTGCGCGATCTTCGGGGCTGAGGGTTTTCCTCTCGCTGGCAGTTCCTTCCAAATTCCTCAGGCTGGCCTCTGGGCCATCGGCTGCCCGCTGATCAGAGTTCATTTTGATTTTGCCTTTTTGTATGATTGTTGCTCTTGACGAGAGTTCTTACTATCACTTCATGCGAAGATGTGCAACAGGGGCTGCTTGTAGTAGGCCGTGTGGGAATCAACTCATATAGTACACCTACCCCGCTTCAGACGAGGGGTAATGATGACAAGGCTGCGATGTTGGCAGGCGAGAGGGCGGGCGATATCAGACATCCTGCGGATGATCAATTTGTTCATCTGCACCCTTTTCTTTACACTTATTTGCCTTTCATACCTATAGTTCTGGCAAAGTAGTGGCAGCCCTGATTCCCAAGGGAGTATTGGCCTATATCAGCGCGTTGTTTTACTAGATGTGTCAAGTTGGATTCTGGTCGCGTAGGTCATGCGATAGTGTATAATGAAGGCCCCGAAGCACATGTGCTCATTTGGACATCGTCTGAATTTGACCGAGAGCTTGTTTGAACTCGGGAGGTGTCCACATTGCAAGTACCGAAGCAGCAAACAAGTGTGGTGCTCTAGACCCGGAATCCAGCCAGCAAGGCTAGGAGAGGTTGCAGTAAAATGACCTCGAAGCAGATATCCATAGCTGGGCACAGTCAGATTAGTGTCTGTCAATTGAATTGTCAAGTCGTAGCCTTACCGAATGAGTCAGTCCCTGAAAGTGTCTAAGTTTGGTCATCCAGCTAAGGTTGGTGCTTAGGTGCAAATTTGACAAGAAGCGATGGTTCCGATAGCCTTGGTAGCCTGTGGGTTGGGTCGCAAGAGGCATCCTACATCCTCCCTGTTATGCAGGTGGTTGCAGGTTGACGATTGTTAGACGCTCCACCGCACAATGTTTCAGTGACACGAACGGGCGCTCTCAGTCCGCAGCTTTCGACAAAGATTGCTGGGCTAGAGACGTCAATCTTCGAATGAAAGCTTCAATAATCACAAAGGGCGGAAAACGCCTGCTCTGCTCGACACAATTTAGCTGGTGGAATATGTTGATTGTGCTCTCTAGGAGATGGACATCATCTCTGACTCCACACTGGTGGGGAGTTGAGCGTATGCGCATGTAGAGTGAAATACTCGACGTCAGAAGGAATTGCGCATATATCCTGTACCAGTACGTCAGAACTAGCGCGTCGTAAAGCCACCGACACTACTATTCAATGCCACTACTTACCAGAATGTTTCAGGGAAGATCAAATGACGAATTCGACGCAGATATATCAAAGTGGATCGTGCTGCCTCATAACATAACTCCATACTTGTGGACGGAGGAGACAGACTCTGCAAAGCGGGAGTGCTGCCGACGATGCTTGCTCCATGAATCTTAGAAAGACAGTGGTAGTACTCAAGATGGACATTCACCCCCCGTAAACTGAGATCATGGATAAGGTAATCTGGCACGTTTCCGCTCACAACGGCATCCGGTTTACACGCGGCGGGAAATAGGGATTTCAGGTCATTCAACTCCTGGTCTAGTTCGCGGATGAGCTGAAGTCGTCTCGCTTTCGACTGGCTCAGACTTTGCTCGGAATAGAGCAAATGGTAAGTCTTGGATTTTAGCATAGCCAGACGAAGGTCCGAGGGGTAAAGAAGCTCCTTAGGTGACAACTCGGACGTGAAGAACTGGTGATCGGATGATAGTGCGACATAGTTTTCAGGTAGAGTCAAGTCGCAGTCAGCGTCATTGATCATCGGTGGTTGACATTTTCGAAGCGACATTTCTTTATCCACGGCATAAAGGGTCCAGAACAAAGCCCGCAAGTGCTGATGTTGATGCTTTTCGGCGGTAGTTTCATAAGTCGCTCTAGCTCTGTGTGCCCCCAAATTGAAGAGGATCCGGACGGCCATAGCGAGTAGCATTTCTGCTGTTTGCGGTTGACCCAATGGGGCGATATAGAGTGCCTTCGACAGTCAAACACGGCATAGAAGAATTTGGCAGAGCGTCGACTCACAAGGATAATCAAAGCTTCTAGAGCTCGGAGGTTGGTATGCTCCATCATCAACTGGGGCAACACTGCAAGCACTGCTTGCACGTAAGCATCAGGATCTGCATCAGCAAATGCAGGCTCTTGCCGACGAATCCGGGTAATCATTGCCGTCAAAGCTGCTAAACAGGCCCGGTCGGCAACATTCGTCGCATAGCCATCGAGGTCGGAAGTGTTAAGTAGACAGGTCAGCGTGTCAATGTCAACAACCGGATGGATTGAATACAATCTATTACTCGCAAAGTACTCCAACGACGACTCGATCAGACGGCGTGGGGGCCATTTCGGCAAGACTACTCGGGCAGGTTTTGTGCGGAACTGCAAGTCGAATGAATCCGCAACCCGGTCGAACAACTCCTCGAGGTCGAAGGTGGGATCTGTTTGAATGGATGCAGCAAACCCAGGAGTGCAGTATGCAAGATGCCACCGAAAAGCTTTCAAGGTTACATCGAAGCCACGAGAATCGAAGAGATCGTTGACGAGCCCGGAAGATTTATGGAGACCGGGACTAGGACTCTGACGGCCCTCCCTCTCCGCTCTCAAGGCCTCTTCCAAACGGCGAACTTCAGCTCTAGTCTCTTGCAACTGTCTAGCCAGGTACGGTCAGGATCGAGATGCAGATAGATGCATGTGGGAAGAGGCCAATCTTACTCGCGTACTGATTTCCGCGGCTGAGTCGGCAGCGGAGTGAAGATACAGGGAGCAGAGGCAAAATGGCAAGGCTCACAGGCCGGTTTGGCTCTATCGCAGCGAATCTGCGCGGATTGGAAATCAAAAGGTGGTGATTAGTTCGAGTGATCTCTCTATCCTCAAGCTGTCACGTGTCCTCAACGAACCTTCCGCTGCCGGCATCGATCACAGGCACTTCGCAGTCTGCCTCCATAAGGCGCGGGGGCAGTAGTGCCCATCTAGCTAACCAGAATGTCAGGTCAGTCGGCTATAGGGTACAACTAAGCGAGCAGCTATGCCGAAATGGGCGCTGAAGAGACGATTCATTGCATGATTTCAGGATTGAATTTGGGAACAACGCCCGAGTCTCCGAGTCTGCGGCTGCTAATCCCGAGCCTGCTGAGTAAGCCGGCGGTGGGCCACCTTTCACTCGAAGCAACTCTACAAAAGCAGTCGTAAGTCCATCCTCCGTTCTTCTATCCAAGTGTTTCAGGTTGTGGTAGGAGGAGTCTATCTGGAGAGTTTAAAATTAAGGCCAGAACGTCATCAACCAACACACCCGCCCGGCTGTTGTTAGCACGGATTATTTCTACCACCCTTTTCGGCCATACAAGGTATTTGTCAGCCTTTTTTCCTTGCATTTGCGTACAGATAGAAGCAACCCAAGATAGCATTCCCGCCATCGGAACATTCGAATCACGATTGGCTGCTTCAAACGACGTTATCGGGGAAAGAATGGCCAGCAGGACGAGGAAATGGGCTATCAACACCTGCGAAACCTGATTCTCGGGGTCCAGGAGATGCCGGACATCGGATTGAGGCAAGCGTTAATAATGTTGGTGAGATCGACATAAGCTGCGCAGGAGGCTGACTGTTCCAGAGAAACGAGGACGTCAAATAGCAGCTGGTAGAAGATTTCTTCGACAGGATGCTGTAAAAGCGGGCTCACAAGACCCAGTGAGCGAATACCGTCCGAAGCAATCCGACTATCGATCGTAGGAAACCTGCCAAATTGTACTTGCATGTGTTTCATATGCGAATTTGGATCAATCGAGAAGGATCCGTGCAGATTCCGTTGAAGCATCAGCCTAGTCACTAAGCCGCAACCTCGGAGCATCATGATATAATCGAAAAGGCCATCAACCATGTACGAGGATTGAAAAGTCAATATATAGCAAGCTGCCAACATCGCATCCGCGTCTGCGTCACTGACCTCGCCTGGCGCTCGGGATATTGCTTCATTCAGTCCCCGTAGAGCCCGTTGGCGATGTCGCAAGGCCTCAACAGGAAGGGCGGACCCGGTGAGAAGTGCTAGATGCGACGCAGATAGAGCAAGGATGGCGTGCATCACATATTCATGCTGCACCAAGTGTCAGTAAGCTGGCTTTGCGTCCATCATGTCCACTCGGGCCTTACTTGATATGTGAGCGCCGGGAGTACTCGCTTATAGACATCATCATTCCCAGCCGGCAGGTGCGGATGAGCGTCGGTGATGAAGTGTTGCAGGAGGCACATATCAGCAATAGTGAAATCTGCAGCTTGTCCTCGGGGCTGCAGATATACCAGTTGAGTTGAGACATCCCGCGCTGGACCCCCGAGGTACTGAAAGTCGTTCTGTAGCCCAGGCGGGTATACACAGACCAAACCCTTTCCACGGCAATTCTCGCAAACAGGATGCGTCTCCGGACACTGCTATACGTTTAGTCTGTTGCACGAAATGTGTAGTAACTTCGGTGACCCTCTTACCTTTACCCTCCGGATTTTGCAGTTCAAACACCCTCGTCGGGATTTATTGTGGGGACGAATTCGCCTCTTTGGTCGCGACTTTTCTGGCTGCTGTGTTGAAGCAGAGGTGAAGTCTTCCTCTTGCCGTCCAAGCCACCTCAGATTTCCCGTGCCAAATACCAGGTAATCCGGATCCATTGTGGGATTCACCCTCTGCTTTAGTCGGGACGCCAGAAGATTGTAAAGTTCCTTGCATGTACAGCTTCCTTCAGGGCTCTCTGTCTTCAACATATGGAGTCTTCAAGGTAAAATTGGTTGCCTGGAGATGACCCATAGGAAGCTGATTACGAATACAATATCGAGGAGCGGTGGAGCATTGTTCCATTGGTTGTCAATGGTCTTGAGTGGGCTCTGTTCGTATTCGCACTATCTTCGGCTCGCACTCGCATTTCTATAGTTTGCATTTGGCGGAAATCGTATCGGAATCTAAGGGCTACACACTATGCATACACCAGAAATGGACAAGCTGTTGGCCTTGCTAGCTATAAATTGACCTTATTCTGGCTGTCAAAGTATCTGTCTCTGAGAATATCCAGATAAGAACCAGATTCATATGCAATATGAAGACGATCCATTGTCTAACAGCTCTCAGCGTGTTCAGTGCTACACTGGCTCTGCCAGAAATTGCTGCCAGGACCAAACAGGGCGTAATGCACGGTGTCCAAGTGCATGGCAAAGTAGATGCCTTCCTTGGGATACCATATGCCAAGCCTCCCATAGGCGACCTTCGATTCCGCCCTCCACAGCCTCTCGACGACACCGGTGACAACCAGATAATCCGCAATGCAACTCAGTTCGGCCCTGTCTGTTATCAGTTTCGGTATAAGACCGTGTTAGGAGACAACCTAGCCCCGACTACCCCTGAGTCGGAGGACTGCTTGTCTCTGAACATCTTTACACCACGAGCACGCCGAGCATCCAAATTGCTGCCCGTTCTGGTCTGGTTATACGGGGGTGCTTTCAACGAGGGAGGCGCCAGTGTTCCATGTAAGTTCTGTGCAAAATCCTCCTGGATTATCGGTGCCAATCCGTGGATGTTACTCATGCTCGCTTACCTTAGTATTTAACCCTACGGGCCTCGTCGCGAACCACCCCGAACTCATTGTTGTCACTTTGAAGTTCGTACACCTCATCCTGAGTCCCCCTTCACGTTGCCTCCCCATTCGACGTGTTCAGAGTGCTCATAACGCTGTAGTTACCGTCTCAATGTGTTCGGATTTCCCAACTCTCCCGCGATTCCGATTGACCAACAGAATCTTGGTATTCGGGACCAGCGAGCTGCACTGGAATGGCTGCGAGAGAATCTCGCTGCATTCGGTGGGGATCCAACCAGGATCACACTTGGCGGCCAATCTGCAGGTGCAGATTCTGCCGCATTGCTGACCTATGCATTCAAAGACGACCCGATCGTGCAAGGTCTGATCTTGCAGAGCGGGATTCCAGAATATGTCGGGCCCCAGGATGATTTTGTGTTCATCCAGGCGGCAGACAGAGTCGGATGCAGAAACGCTGCGAACAGAACGGATGAGCTAAGTTGCATGAAATCAGTCCCAGCGCCAATTCTGCACCGAGCGCTTTCCAACCTTACAGTGAACCCATTCGGTACGACTGGAGGTGCTCCAATGATTGATAATATCACACTTTATTCCGCAGAAGAATATCAGCGACTTGGCTCGGTTGGCTCTTTTGCGAATGTGGTAAGTGTGTCATCGGTTCTTATACATATCAATTCGCTAATTTTGTTTGCGACAGCCTGTCCTGATGGGCATCACTAACAATGAAGGCGATGGGGTTCTGAACTGGTCTGAAAAGGGTGTCAACAAGACCCTTTCAAACATCCTCACAACCACATATTTCAACTGTCCTATGTCTCAAGAAGCCTTGTAAGATCGAGCTAGCCTCCGGGTACCCGGTATAGGCTGCTAACGAGAAGGTCCAGCTTCCGGGCGAAGCATCAGGTTCCAGTGTGGCGGTATCGCTATATGGGAGTCTTTCCAACTGTGACTTTCTTCTCATGGCTAGGATCTTACCATCAGGGTCAGTGATATATTCTGAAGCACCTATAGATGTGCGTCTCACCCATAGTAACATGTGTCACAGCGGATATTGCACTTGCATTAGGGTCGTACAGGCATCTCAAGCCTCACGAAAAGCCGCAGTGGTACGAAGTGGCTGCCAGCGATTACCTTCAGAATGCGTGGGCAGCATTCATCGAGTCTCCGGCGACTGGACTGTCAAGGAAGATGGGTTGGCCGATGTACAATCCGAATGGTATAGTCCCTATGCTTTTGTTGTCTCGGTCTGAACCAGTGCCCTGATGCTGAGAAACTACTCTGTAGGCACGACGCTTGTCGAACTTTTCGCTAATAATACCCCCACTGCGCGCCTCCGAGATCCCGCTGAATTCGATGCTATTTGCTCCAATCCACCTCCGATTCCATCAGACATCTGGTCCCAAGGCCCTCCTTGACTTAGCGGTCCCACTAGAAGCAGCGGAATGTTCCATGATCGAGTTCGTGCTTGAGGAGGATAGCAGTAGCCTTAGCTGTGTGCATATTTGATATTGACCAAGCGGAGATTGATCCCTGCGTGACTGTGTTTTTTAAGACCTGGAGCCGTTTCTTGAATATAAAATGTTTGCCTAATAAAGAACGATTATTATAAGCCATTTGGACCACAGCTAAGCCTTGTGATTGACATTAGGCAATAGCAAAGTATTGGGGGCTTGGGCATCTGCACAGCCCCGCCATAATATCAGGCCAGCATCGCAGGTGGCAAGGTGTCGATCATGCATACCCCATACCCAATAATGTATTGTCAAACTTATGGAAGCAAAAGAATATAGAATTATCAAACACCATGCAGATCATTCAGCCTTGTAGAGGCAACTATATAACTTTTTGCCCAGTCAATGAAATATATGCGTGATGAGGAACATATAAGTCATAACAAATCTCCTCTGGAGACGGATTTCGGATCTATAAAATAGCCAACCTCATCTACTCAGTCAATCTATACCAAAATTCAAGCTATCAGTTTTAAATTCGGGGTGTTACGTCCTTGGGTTAACAAGTCCATTCAAGCAATCCTTCAAAGACAAGCCGGCCAGATACCTACACGCTCACAATGTGCTTCGGCTCATCCAAATACGACGACGAGAGATATACTCCTCCTCGACGGTCCAACCACCCTGGATACTACTACTCTGGTCCAAACAATTACAACTACAATTACGGCTATGATAACGCAAAACACCGAAACGGATGGAAAAAGCGCCGTAACTATGGACTGGTGGCCGCTACTGCAGCAGCAGGCAGCACTGCCGGGTGTGGAGGAGGTGGAGGTGGGTGTTAAATGCCTTGAGGGAAATGAGACTGAGCGTCTCTTATGATTGGATTCCTGCTTCTATATGATCTTACGTACTATGCATTGTTTATGTCTTTATATGTGGATTTTGTGAGCGTTGAATTTGAACTCTGGAGGTACATTAGTTGTCTCTTGGACAGAGAAGTTAGAGTACGGAATCGACAGCTCCATGGCCATAACCGATTTAGAAAGTAGATAAGAATGCGTACAGTCATCAAAGTGTTGAAAGTCTCAGGTACATATTAACATAACCATGAATGTCCTGACTTGCGTAGCCAACAGAGCACTAAGAATCGAGGTGTCTAGTACACGTGTGCCCGGAGTTCGGGATTATCCAGGGCACCCCATTCAATGAGCCTTTGACCGTCCCAAACAGCATATCCCCAATCCCAACGCGGAGAGTACGTGGCATATGAGTACATATCCTCAAAGAGTTGAGGAGAATCCTGCCGCTCTTCGAGCCACCGCTGCGTCCAGGCGACGTTAGGCCGCTCGTGCGGAGGCAGCGTCTCCAAGTATGACTTGAGACCACTGAAATCCGCGCCGAAGTTGAACCTATCGGCAGGGTATAGAAGAGGCAACGCTCCGGGATCTTCCCAACTTGGTTTGGGCCAATATTCAACAAACGAATGGGTAAGAACGACCGTGTTGGCGAGAAGCAAGTCGCGGCGAGTTCTAAAATTCTGTTGACGAAGCATCTTGACAAGGAATGTTGGTACCATGTAGGCTAAAATTTCCCTCTGGTCATTTTCGTGCACATCCAGATGGTCAAGGTCCAAACTACAGCGATCCAGAGGAGGCCGCTCTTCGGGAGGAAGATCGCAGAAAAAGGTAACACCATAAGCCACAAGGCTTTTTGATATTTCACGGTATGGCTCAGCCCATCGATGATAGCAATGCCGCCAGAAACAGCTGAATTCTTCGACTTCCCATGGCGCCATGGGTCCGAAGAATAGACGCCACGTTTCTTCATCCATGAAAGTAGGCGTCCGGCGAGTTCCTTCAAACCAGTCATTTTCTTCTTCGGGGTAGTCTGCGCCCAGGGGAAGTTCAATCGGACCGAATATGTTGCCATAAATCTGCATCCGATAGAATGCTCGAAGGAAGCGTCTCTGCTCCGTTCTGGATAGGGTCAGGGGTAAAATTTCATCCTTCCATCTCTCCAAGTCCATCCACTCAGGACGGGTTGCTGTCCTGGAGTAATCGTCGAGGAGAAAAGTGGCCATTCGATGGAGATGCAGTAGTTGAATTGTCTCCTCAATATCAGCAGGTTCGTCTGGAAACGGCCATGAAGATAATCCCAGGCGGCGGATCTCTTCACTTCGCCGTCGGCTGTCTAATAACGCAATAATCTTTGCCCGATTCGATGGCTTGACAGCATATAGCCCTCTGGACCGAACGGCAGCTACTGCATCTGCGATGTCTACAAGTCCATCATACGAGCTCTGTAGAAGCATGTAGAGAAGCTCTTGTCTCACGAGTTGATATGCTTGGTGATGTGTTGGTGATGCGAGTACAAGTGATCGAAGGGAATCCAGGTCATCAAGATTGAATAAGATAGAAATCTGCAATTCCACTGGTAAACCTTCGAATGTTGGCCGGTTCTGCTACCTCGGTTAGATAATTTATTTTCTGTTTTTGACACGGCGTTCATCATGGGTCTTACTGAGTCTGCCATATTCAAGTTTTCAAGTGAGGACATGAATCGAGGCTGTCGGAGAGGAGGAAATAGAGGATGTGCTCGTTAGATCCAGCAGAGAGATATGACTCCGTCCTTTGGGCGCCTTATGTAATATGATTACACGGCTGAGAACATTTTCACTGGACACTGGGCGCTTGCTGGCGCTTTTTCATTGCACGGCGGGCACTTGAGCACTTTGATCATAAAGTCGGCGCTAAATTGTCATTGTCTCTTTGACTGTCATCCACTGGTCTGCTGCGCACTAATTTACCGCCAGGTACGGAGTCCATTTGACAACCTAGGACTTATTCCCGTGGCTGTGGAGTTCCTCTACTATCCATCCCTCTGTTATGTTTGGAAATATAGACAGTCTCCGAGACTCAATGACTGTGGGAAGGCTTCGTCTTAGGATGATGTTAGTTCCCATGTACTACGAGGAACGCCTTGTTAGGACCGAGTCCGATAAAGTGATCAGCAATCTTCTATCGCATAAAACATGACTAGGATATTGCCTCCAAATGACCATTGTCTCAATGTGCAAGCTGTAGCAGATGCATAAGATAACTGTTAGGACACCGTCGCAAGGGATAGATGCCGCCTTCTCCAGGGATGCGATACCTAACCGCCAAACATCACGTCGTAGGCAGCGACTTGTCTGATATTTTGGTAACTCTCGTCAAAGGATGTATTGCACCATCCGAGAGGCAGCTCACCCCAGGACATCGAGAGATGTTGGGCTTAAAATAGGTCGTGAGATAAAGGGGTGGCTAAGAAGTCGAACGGGATGCCAATGAATGCGAGTATATCAGGCAGTTGGCAAAACAATATGTGTTTTATCGTTTCTATGCGCCAGGCCTTCGCTCGAAATTCAAGCGCTAATCTATGTTGACGGCAAACATGGGGTTTCTAGATTCTGGAGTAGACTTCTCCAAGGTATAAAGATACGTACAGATGTCCACGAGCTGGCTATGCCTGTACATTGTCGAGATCATCCAATACTCTGCCAGACGTTTGTATATTCTAAAGCCCTGGGCCTATTGCTCTTCCCAGCTCTCCTCTCCTTCGTCTGATATTCATCACCTGCGTTTGTTCGAGTTTTCCTTTTTCCCGCCGCACACATTACAATTTCTGATACACAATGAGCCGGAGTCGGGCCCACGACTGGAATAAGGAGAGAGTCATCTTGGACAGAAGAGGCTCCGACGGGGAGTATGATATCCGTTCTCCGGGCGACTCTCACCGCAATGCTCGACCTCAACCGAGCTACTACGGGCCGAACTTTTCGGACGTCGAGAAGCGTCGCTCATCATCTCTGGCTTATGGAGATATCAGGCACCCTGTGACGCCTGATCGCTACGGCAAGCGCCCACAGCCATATCCTCCGCATGTGGCCAAGGAATATGATGAATACAAGAAGTATGACAAGCTATATGCAAAGGCCAAGGCAAAGACGGCCGACAATAAGACTCTCCTCAAGACTCCGGTGCACGACGACAAGTATCGGCAGAATATAGAAATGGCTCGTGACCTTGCGCATGGCAGCAGGGTGGCAGCGAACACGTAAGTACCCGACACAATATCCGAATGATCGGTCATTCAGGCACTTACATTCATCCGTCACTCTCCAGTGCTTCTGCTGTCCGAACTGGGTTTGCTCATAAATACCCATATGCGTACGACGGCCTGAGAGGCACGCAGGGGCATGAAAGGGCAATTGAGACTCTTCAGAAGGGGGCGAAGAATGCCGCCAAGGCAGAACGGAGTGCTTCCAGATTACTGGCACGGCGATGATCTACGGCTGCTATGGCCTTTCCCTAGCATTCGTAGGTTTTATCATTTTTTACCGCTATATATACTCGATAGGGTTGATATTGTGTTGGCTTTTTGGAATTTGTATGTCAATCATCAACGAGATCTGTGTTTGAACAGGGCTTCGTGGTAGAGGCTGGATGGAGCAAATCTCTCGAATACTGCGAGATGATATGAACCTATGGATTCTGGGGAACAATGGCAAGCGACCCTAAATAGGTTCATACTACTAAGACAGGGTGATATACCAGTGGTCGTGGTTATCTGGATATAACAAAGGGCTTCTTTAATAAGGGACCAAGCAAGCTATTTATCTCACCAAGAGGATCATCTCTGGCCAAGCAATCTTACTTCAGAAAAATGGTAACGGATGGCTTGAATTTGATGGGCCTTGCCCCTGCATAAATTTGATGTGTTTTTCTATCCGCTCAATCAAATGCATTGCTTATAACATGGTATCAATCTAAATCAATTATGGTAAACCCTTAACCTTGACCCCAACCCAAATGGTATCTCAGACAATCAGTCTATAGCCGAAAACAAAACAGAAAGAACGTGCACCAAAAAAAAATCAAGAAGAGAAGTGAGGAGCGTTGATGAACAGGCCCATCAGGATACCGCCAAGGGTACCAGCGACGGGAATGGTCATGATCCAGGCCAGAAGCAGCAGACCCACACGCTGGAAGTTGACGGCCTTGAGGGTACCGTTGCAGAGACCGACGCCGACAGTGGCGCCGGTGATGCACATCGAGGTCGAGACGGGGAGGGAGTACTGCGAGAAGACAAGGACGGTGATGGCGGCGCCCATTTCCATCGAGCAACCGCGGCTGGGGGAGTGGTAGGTGATCTTGTTGCCCATGACTATTGCTACAGTTAGTTTTGTGTCCTGATCGCAGAATACAGCCAGTGCACTTACCCTTCATGATGTTGTAGCCGTAGGTGATCAGACCGATGGAGATACACCCGGAGAGAACAGCAAGCTGCCACACAGGCACGGGCGCCTTGGACGCAGCCGCGTTCCCTGTCTTCCAGGCCGAGTAGATGACAGCCCAGGGGCCGACCGAGTTACCGATATCGTTGGCTCCGTGCGCAAAGGAAGCAGTGCAGGCAGTCAGAACCTGCACGAACGAATACGTGTGCTCGACCTCGTTGGGGTACTTCTCCGCATGGGCGTAGACACGCTGCATCCGTTCTCCCTCGGGCGTACCGCTGATCCCCGACTGCGCAGCGTGGATATCGTAGTGCAGGCCGTACAGCAAGCCGACGGTGATCATGGCGGGGATGCGCTTAGCGAGGATCTTGATGTTCTTCAATTCGTAGATCTCGCCGGGGCCCATCGGGTTGTCGCGGAGGGTGCGCATCGCCCAGCCAAGGGGTCCTCGCTTCTTGAGGAGGCGGGTGTTCAGGCGGGCGTTGGATTCCTCCACGAGTTCCTTGTAGGTCAGCTGCTTGGCCTCGGTGGCGACGAGGCTCTTCTCGTTGGGGGAGATGGCAGGCGAGGTAATGGGTTCGATATCGATCTGGGGGGTCTTGCCCTCAAACTCGGCAAGGGTCTGCTCGGAGGGAGCGGGGGATGCCTGCTCTGGGTGCTCCTCGTGCTCCTCGTCCTGGATGACGGCGTAGTTGGGGACTTTGGCGCGCTCGGCACCCTCAGGAGCGGGACGCTTGAAGAGCAGAGGGCCGAGGATAAACATCCACCACTTGACGCCGTGGTCGCGCTTGATGACCCGGGCGTGCACAAAGGGGACGAAGAAAATGGCCGAGAGGAGCGCGACGCCACCACCGCAACCCATCGTCACGGCGGCAATATACCAGCCGGGCTTCTTGCTCAGACCCAGACTGGGCGAGCCCTTGTAGACAATGGACAGGGTACAGATGGTTGCTGCGATGAGGAACCAGAAGGGCGAGGTGTAGACGGCCCAGGGCACGGGGTTCTTGCGCATGTGGACGATGAGCTTGATGAGCATGAAGATGCTCGCACCGAAGGCGGCCGAGATGGCGGGAGCCATGCCCAAGCCTGCAAAGATCGCTCCAAGACCCTTTCCATTGTTCCAGCCCCACTGAACCTTGGAAGCACCGACGGTTGCAACACCAACACCGGCAACGGCCGAGATGAGGGAGTAGGTCGACGAGACGTGGGCCGAGTGCTTGGTGCACCACATGACCCAGGAGGAGGCAGCGGCGAGGGCACAGGTAAAAGCAAGCATCTGAACACCGGCATCCCCGCGGAAGGCCGAGTTGGGAATGATGCCGTTCTTGATGGTGTCAGCCGTCCGAGCACCGACCGTGATGGCGCCCAGCATCTCGAAGACGGTGCCGAAGATCATGGCTTGTCGGTAGGTGACCGATCTGGAGGAGACACTGGTAGCCCAGGAGTTGGCCACATCATCTTGAAGACAGGCAATGTCAGTAATCTTGTATCCAAGAGCAGGAATGCGGGACATTGACATACTTGCACCGTTGTTGTAGGCATCAAGCATGGCAAACAGAGTGCCAATGGCAAAGATGTAGTCATACTGGTGGAGCACCATCTTGACAATATGCGTGAAGAGAGACGAGCTGTTGAGCGCTTGATCCTGAATACACTCAAGCAGCGAGAGACAGGGCTTTTATGCACTGGATCGCTACCTCACGCGACACTCCTTCCTACGCCTCGAACCATGCCTCAGACGCCGGCTCATGCAGCCGCAGGTTCGTTTGTATAGAACGAGGCAGAGCAATTATGCCCAGTTTGTATGCCTGTCATGACACGTTCCTCCACGCCCCCGTCTGATTCGCACTCTGGGGAAACCAGGCTTGTCGCAAGCGTCTTGGTATTGCTCTCACCCCATGGCCCTTCGGGTTCGAGATTGCCCGGCAGGCCCGTGGTTGGCAGGGAAAATCACTCATTGACTTCAGCAAGGCAGCCGGCCAAGTGTATTGGTCTTGTCGAGTGCAAGCTTCGCCTGTCTTCGCCTGCTTGTCTCGGGGCGAAGCAAAACCGCAAGTCTTGAGGATGTTCTTGGCAACCCAGCAGCGAGTCCCCGAAAGGAAGACGCGGATTGGCTGGTTAGTGCTCTTGGCGGACTCTCGGCGGACCTTGGCGGACCTTGGCGGGCTTGATTCCATCGACCTATCAAAAGCAGAGAGCCCTCCACGTGTGCTCGCAGGTCAACATCTGAGGTTCTCTCGAGGCGGGCAGATCTGGCCGAGACGCACCGAAGGCTTCTGGAAATATGCAATTATAGCCATGGCGCGTCAGGCGCTGCAAGAAGGTCTAGCCCTCGCAGATTTTTTCTCCCTTAGGTGGTAAGTGCACCTGCTCAGTTGCCCTGTCGGCTGGTTTCACTTGACATCTTTCCATAGGCAGGTTAGACCATCATGAAGATACCTCCGGTCTTCGTCTTGCAATCAGGCAACCAGAGGGTGGCCTGGTTCTCAGTGATTGTAGCTGGATGTTGGACTTGGACATGTGCATTTGGACATCATTCTCTCGTCTCTGCTTCTAACCGACTCCTCCTCAGTCAATGTGATGAGCCACTTGGTGTTGGCAGTGGTCTGTAGTACGTGATCCGGGCAGAATCTGCAACACTGGTGGCGTTACCCTGGTACAGAGCTAGGAGCTAGACTGTCTCGCACATCATCCCTGCGAAAATACTAGCGGTGGTTCGGGTTTTTGCCTTCGATTAAGTTTTGGCTCAGTCGGATGCGGTCGAATGGCAGTCTGGTATGCAGCCACGATGAGACAAATGCCTGGCCACGTAGGTACGTATGGTGTATCCGATCCACTGCCTAAACTAGATTATTTAAACGAGATCTAGCCATACCTTGCTCTCCAAGATGTTACAGATATTCTTACTTTATGTGTGCCTCGGTATTTAGAGTACTGTCTTCTTTGTTGCGTTGTCTAATGACGGTCATCAGTGCTGTAGAACACAGTTTATCCCTATTGGTAGTCTTTTTGGCATTTTCTAAATGTCAATCCCTGCTCTAGTTCAGTAAAAGCCTGCCCAAGATACAGCAATTCCTCGGATTTTTCAGATTTAGCTTGACAGTTCCCCAACTGTTGGAGTTGTATGGAAATGGTCATGAGGATAGGAGTCGGTTCACCTGACAGGTACTAACTTACAGACTGATGATCTACTAGGTGATGGAAGCTCTGCGGAAGGCTCAGATGACTGTCATATCATGTGATAAGAGAGAGAGATGTACTCCGTACGCAAGGTAAAGCACTACTCTATGCTTATCGAGTAAAGGGTTTGGATCTCATCTTGCACTTGATTTGAGTATCTAGTTATTTCCAAACCTTGCGGGAAATTGCGCTTGTTATAAACTATGCATCATTTAAACAAGGCTCTCAGGCTAATTAAGAATATGTGAAGCAATCCGGAATGCCGCATACAGTATGCCTGGCATATAGGAGATAGTTACCTGAAGACAAGCCCCTTTATGATTTATAGTGTTATTCATGGTGCTTATTACAGGTATAAGCATAGTTCTATAATATTAGGAAACACAGGCTATTAGGGGAATGCTCAATTGAAGACGCTTTAATTATATATTTGCATGGTTAGTGACCCATACCCATTCCCAACCACCCCAACTACTATCCCTATCTATGATGGATGATGATTCTTATGACTAAATCAATGGCTCTAAGTATATCTATCTTGTATCCATTTCATACTGTCATTTGCTATCATGTTGGATTCCTCGCAGAGAGATAAGGTAGTATGAGGGCAATACATTGCAGTACGGTATTACAATATAAGGCTGAAAGATAGCTGGATTCGAACCGAGTCTTTTGATTGGCCACTCGGAATTAAGGTGCAACTAGCGCGTAAGCAGGCTGCATTAGTGTCTTCTACGGGCATCAGAGATCTTCCATTCTGCGATGATGACGTTCGACTGCTTGGTCAGCGACAGATCAAAGACTTCATTACTAGTGACTGAAAACCGCTGAATGCTAGCTACAGATATCGAAATATCATCTTCTCCCCCCGTGTGCGTCGCCAGTTGTTCGTCGACTGCAGTAACTCAGGACACCCCCTGACGACCCACGGCCATTTCTGCAGAAATCTCTCTGTGACCTCCCAGTTGTTCGGATCCGTGGGGTCCCCCCACACCAGCAGACAGCAGGCGTCCATTGACGAAGTCCAGAACCCCATGATATCAACGCACAGTTGGCAGTCATCAAAGTTATCTTCCCCCGTTGTGAGCAGGTTATCTCGGATTTTCGGGATCGGGAAGAAATCCAGCCATGGGTGATGCGGGACCGTCTTCTGCATGCGGGTCGGTCGTAGACTAGGCGGGAGTTTCAGCTCGTCGACGTAGCCCGGTCGCATGGTGGCGAAGGGGGAGAGAGCGTCGTCGCGCATCCAGTCTTCGGTGTGTGACATTCCTAGTAAGGACATGATGCTGGCGAAGGCCCGGAAGACGTTGACTTTGCTGAGGGTGAGGAGGTGGTCTGCGGTTGGGGAACCGAGGGTGTAGCTCTCATAGGCTGTACGGACGAACTGGTTGAAGTATTGTCGGACTTGACTGGAAGTAGGACATTGAGTGCGATTTTGGCTGGGGATTAGCGAGTTTTGATCGGTTGGGCTTGTGCTCGAGATGGAGGTGGCGGTTGAGGAAGGCGATGTCTGGACTGTGGAGGGGGAATCGTCCAAGCTAGAGTGACTTGTTTGCACTCGTCGCTGAGCTTGCTTTCGTCTTCCTGTGTCTCATTAGTCTAATCCTGACTTTATAGATGAGCAGGCGATGGCCATGACTTACTATAAGCCCTTTGATTGATGCGATTCTGTCTCCTCCGCCGTTCAACAGGATCAGTCAGCCCGAACCAATCATCCTTGGGCTCTAGATCGTCAGTGGACGGGAGGGCTCGACGCGATGACACGGGTCGGGAGGAAATGGTCTGCATGATAAGCCTTAGTCGGTCAAATAATCGGAGCGTAAGCGTGGAGTTGGAGAAGCACAACTGACAAAGGAAAAAGATACCGGCGGGGTGTTGACGACGGTCTTAAGCATTTTGCTGGTGCTGCTGTTTTAGTGGATCCGGAGTTAAGTCGGGGTCTAGAGCAGACTCTTACATATAATACTGTATTGTATCTTATCATACAATACCTTACCATAGATCACATCAGTACTTTGTTAAGAAGCACATAGCCCAATACATGATTCCCTGCAACAATTTCCTTGAGTAGGAGAGCGGGCCTAATGCTTGAGCAATTATACCTTCAATTAAATACATGGTAGCACCTTATAAGATCATCAGTGACTAAAAGGTAGGGAAGGGTCCTTTCCATGCCGGAATAGTACCTGTCTTGAGGAATAATACAGCAAACAAGAGCCATTCCTGCGAGTAAATACAATGTCGCACTGAGAATATGCCTGTTATTGGTATCTCTCCACAACGTCCCGTCTATCCTTTAATGCCTCATTTTTTCCTCTTGTTCTTCGGCGCAAATGACTTTGCTGCCAATCCTTCCCATTTATCTTCGCCAAGGTCCAGTCCCCGAGAGTTGATCAGCAAAAGGAAGCGCTTGTCCTTATCTAGTTGCTTCAGATTCGAACCGAGCGTAGCGGCCAGAATAGGGGCAAGATCATGAGCAGCGCACACTCGAAAGTCTCCGCTGTCGACTCGCTTCTTGATGCGTCGTTCGAGCCGGTCCTGGAGCTCTTGCTCGATGATTTGTGCAATTGTCTTGCCATGAACGACGGTGTTCTTGATGGCGAGAGTTTCGTCTTCATTGAAGTATGGTGACCCGATGTAGGATAGATCGGTCACGGTCTCGAGACGCTCGCGGGAGTCTGGCCGCTGGTTGAAATGCTGCAGGTCGTACAAAAGAACGTGCAATCGGTACCAGAGTGTGGGGAATGTGATGCTGTTTTGGAGATCGGCGATGGAAGGGGGATTTGCTGTGGTATTATTCTGAGCAATAGAGCTGTCTGGAGAGGGTGAGATGGCCATGTTGATATGAGTGATGTTGTGAAGAGTGTTGAAGGACGTTGTGGTTGGAGTTACGTAGATGTAGTGACCCGTTGGTTCCATGGCATTCTTACGTCGTCATAGTGGTACATTGCATGTTTCCATTTATCGAACGGTTGATGCCTCGACAGCGTCCTTTGTTATACATGAATCAATACAGGAAGCTGAAAATGGGATAAGAACGAAGATTAAGTTTCATTTTCAATTGAAAAAACAGCTCCATAAATAAAGGGTATAAATGCATTCGTCATGCCTCCCTCCTACAAACCAGCTGGGACGCCACTTCGATATGCGCAAACTGCTCACGGATCAGATGCAATTTTTCAATCAGAATCTTCTTGGAGACCTGCTGCAGATTCCGGAAGGAGAAGATGACGTCCTTCAGAAACAAAATATCGTCAATGCGACTGGTAGTTTCCTCGAGCGTCACCTGCGGCCCATGGATAACCACATCCGCGATCGTATTGATGATCTCCAACAGCTTGCTCAAGATCGACGATCCGTGGATCTGAATCGTGTTTTGAGAGATCTTAGTGAGAAACTGGCGCAGCTGGCTGGATAATCGCAGCGGCATCTCGAGCGACAGCGATGGACAGGAAGCATGAGATGACAACAGGCAGTTTGACATGGCCATCTGCCAGAGCAGAGTGCGCATCCACTGCCGCGTCACGACCAGATCCGCCTGCTGCAGATCCGACAGCATCGAGACCTCGAGCTCCCATAGCTCGTCGTCGAGCTCCCGATGTTTCTGCTCGACCCATGCAACTGTCACCTGGCTCCGATCCCCGATCCAGAGGCTGATAAAGGTCGGCTCCAGCAGAAGGAATGTTTTGATCACCTGGGTCCAGCCTTGGGAAACACCTGGATCGAGGCTGGGATCGTCCTCGGGAAACTGCGCGTATGGAGACAACGTCGCGGGAGAAAAATGGAAGATGGACATGAATCGTTCATGGATGAAGCACAACCAGTAAAGTCTCTGTCGCCGGGAGCGTTCGCTAAGGTCAAGACTGGCCATGACGGCTTTGTCCTCGATCCGTAGGAGATGCACCATGCTGATCGCTTCTCGCAGGTAGAAGAAACCCAGGTCATACTGTCCCAGGCTCATGTAGCACATCTGGATGTACACGCTCGTGACAGCCCGGAGGATAGACGGTCGGAAACCCGGGAGCAACGGACTCCGGAGCTCGATAGCTCGGCCGGCGAGCTCGTTGATCTGCTCCGACACATGGGACGTCGCTGCATTCGACTGTGTCAGGTCGATTGTGACACCGGTAAAGGCGTAGACAAAGGCAGCATGGTCTCTGTCTGTGGCCATCTTGCGAATGGACTCGCGGATCTCCTTGTCCGTCATGATCGGATTGAAAGGATACACATAGGCCATGTATTTTGGGATGAGACTATGCAGGTAGGCGGTCGAGAGCGCCACCGACAAGTCCGGAGAAGACGCGGCTGGGACTAGCAAAGATGTCGAAATATGTTCACTCTTGAGGTCCTGCGTCAGGGGAATCTTGTATTCGGAAATGACGGTCCCTCGACGGAGAGCATTCTTTCGCGATCGCGCGCGTTGATTGTCGCTATACGTACAGAGCAAGTCCAGATGCTCACATTGCTGACACCGGTGTTGGCCATTGCAGCGGACTTTGCGTCTCCTACATGGATCGCAGGCTCTGGAAACCTGGGGTTTCTTCAACGGAGTGGTATCCATCTCTGCGACTAGACAGACAGACAAGCCTAATGACAGGATCTTGTCTCACTTTCTCATCCATATCCAAGTCAAGCCCAGTGGATCCTCCCGTCGCGAGTTTCAGTTCCCAAGAGCCGAAATTGGTCATTAATAAGACTACGGCAACCCCACATCATGGAGGAACGAGGCTATACTACTTTGGGTATATGCCTAGGCTCTTCATCTGCCGGGAGCGAATTATTTTAGTCACAAAGTTTATGTAATTGGCGCTAGGCTGAATTCAGATCGTTGTCCGCTAATGCAGTTTGTGCTACTCTCAATTGGGTATAGCCCCAACTGCAAAAATCCTGCCCTCATATGGCTGCAACTCTACCTCCTCGCTTACAGACTTGCCAATGTTGCTAAGCAACAGCTGTAAGTCCCGGTTCTGGAGCTCCATGGGCTTCTGGAATGGCTGTGGCTCTTCGGAAAAGTTCAATACGACCAGCATACTCTGCTCTCTGGAGGTCTTGAGATAACTGAAGATCTTTCCATTCTGCTCGTCCAAGAGCTCGAAAATGCCGAATACAAAGGAATCAGCGTACTCTTTCCGCAGCTGGATCATCTGTTTCCAGAATGACAGGACGGAATATCGATCACCTTGCTGTACCTGCACGTTGACCTCCTTGTGATTGTCATGGGGACGCATCCACGGCTTTTCCGAGGACGGAAGAGAGAACCCCGCATTGGCCTCGGCGCTCCACTGCATGGGGAGTCGGGCGTGGTCTCGAGCCAGGTGTTGCAGAGCCTCCATGGCCGTCTTCATCTGCGTGGGGTCGTTATCCGTCATTTCGCGCACCATGTGAAAGTAGTTGGTACTATCGATGTCCTTGTATTCGTCGATAGGCCATGCTTCCGGGGCGTTGACCATGCCGATTTCTTGCCCTTGGTAGATGAACTGGGTGCCGGACAGCGTGCACTGGAACATGGCAAGCATCTTTGCGGATGTCTCGCGGAGTTCGGGCGTTCTGTCCGAGCCAAAGCGAGAGACAGAGCGGCCCTGGTCGTGATTCTCGATGAAAACCGTGGTCCAGCCATCGGTTCCCTTGAGGATGTCCTGCGTCCGCTTGATCGCCGCCTTGAGATCGGGCAAGCTCCACCCTCGCAGTGTTGTCAGGAACTTGTAGTCTTTGCCCATGCCGAGGTCTACGACATCAAAGGAGAAGACCATGTTGAGCTGCTTCTCGGCGGCCGATACGTACCGCAACACTCCCTCGAGGGTATGTGTCTCTGGCAATTCGCCGACCGTCATGGCGTCATACTTGGCCAGCACTTCGTTCATCTCGCTCAGATACTCGTGAATCCGCGGTCCGTTGCAGAACAATGAGAAGGCAACCTGGGTGTCTGACTTGGGGTTGACGATGGGGGCATCGGGATATGAAGGATCCTTGCTGTACATGTTCACTGTATCGACTCTGAAACCATCCACGCCTTTTTTGAGCCAGAATTCCATGGCCGAAGCATAGACGGCCTGTCGTACTTCAGGATTGTCCCAGTTGAGATCAGGCTGTTCGACACAGAATATATGCAGATAGTACTCTTGTGTTGTCTGATCCCACTCCCAAGCACTGCCTCCGAACACACTGCGCCAATTATTAGGGGGTCTCCGATTGCCGTTGGCGTCGTACTTGGCCGGTCTCCAGATATACCAGTCTCGCTTGGGGCTGTCTTTCGAGGATCGGGATTCCTTGAACCATTTGTGTTCGTGAGATGTATGGTTGACCACCAAGTCTAGGATGATGCGTAGTCCACGGCGGTGACAAGCGTCGATCAATGTCTCCATGTCCTCAACTGTCCCATACGGAGGGTACACCCTCTCGTAGTCGGAGACATCATAGCCCATATCGTGTTGCGGACTGTCGTACATGGGACACAGCCAGACGACATCTACTCCCAGGCTGGCGATATAGTCGAGTTGCGATATGATACCGGGGATATCGCCGATGCCGTCATTGTTCGAGTCCTTGAAACTGGCCGGATAGATCTGGTAGATGATGGCATTCTTCCACCATTTCTCACCCACGGGGCCGGGAGACATGGTCACAAGTTTTACTTCAAGATGTATACTTGTATGAATGACCAAGACTCGAGTCACTACCTAAGATATGGAGGCTTGTCAACAATACGCTGATACCGAGATGGCGAGGAATATATAATCGTGGAACTGTTGTGATCGGCCATCTTGCCAGTTGTCATCGCATCCCAACCACTCTGATTGATTCAATGTCGGACCGAGTGGGTATCACCATTGCTTCTCTGTCTGCAAGACGTCGCCTTATCGTTCTATTCACATCCAACGATTCAGGACAGTGAGCCTTCTCATGATCAGCTGAGCCAACTGGAAATGAGACACGTAACCCCGCTTATCCCCACTTCTGCTGCCTTAGCTGATTTCAATTGGTGTAACTGCAATTTAAGCCGTGTGATTGATTGGTCCAATGCGACTGTGCAGAGCGCCTCCGTAGGTTATGATTGGATAAGAGAATTTCCCCTCACCTGAAAAGCGGAAAGCATAAGCATGCTTTAGACTATATGGGGTTAGAGGGTGCATTAGCGTGCATTAGCGTCAGGAAGCAAGGCCAGCGTCGGCCCGACATTCTACCAATAACACGCCCATTTTTTGCCTCCCGATCAGAGTGAAAATTTGGCTGCAATTCGGGGTCAAAAGACGGGGGGACCAATTCAAGGGGAAACCGTAAAGACTCGTCTTGTGGTCAGACCGTCAGAGAGACACCTCCTCCTCATTCCAGTTGGATAAAATCCGGGGATATCAAGGGTCCGCAACAATCCGGGGAAGCCTATCTACCCCACATCCCATTATTCCTGATCCTGCTCCTGATTCTGACTTCTCCTCGGCCCCTTTCAGCTTGCTGCCACCCTGCCACCCTGCCATAGTGGCACCAACTCAAGTCACCGACAGGCTTAAAACAGTCAACTAAGCTCGGGATTTATGACAAGCGCCAATGACTGTCATCGGACCGAATGACCCCATTCAAGCCTGATGGTCTGACTTTAAGACTTGTGAATGGGCCCCGACTCTAGAATTACTCTAAATTGTTGGCCCCCTTTCACTCTGCAGTACGGACCAAGACGCTCGTATTGTATATAAAGCCTGCACATCCCTACGGCAAGGCGCTGTTTCCTTGCTTCCTCTCCAAAGGCCTGGCCTTGCCTGGCAATTCCAACACAGATATTCGTTATTTATTCATCAAGCAGCCATGGACAACGAGAAATCAGCCAGAATCGAACATGTCGAGGAGGAAATCGGCTCGAGCAGCTCCGACCCCCGCCCTCCGAGCCACGCGGATCTCATCGCCGGCAGCGAGGCCCAGGCGGCCCTCGACAAGGAACACAGCATGACGCCCTGGCAGGCACTGAAGATCTACCCTAAGGCTGTGGGTTGGTCTATTCTTCTGTCCTGTGCCATCATCATGGAGGGCTACGATGTCGTCCTGATCGGTTCCTTCTTCGCCTATCCCCAATTCAACCAGAAGTACGGCCATATTATGTCGGACGGAACGTACGGTCTCGCTGCCAAGTGGCAAGCAGCCTTGACCAACGCGATGAGCTGCGGTCAGATTATCGGCCTGTTCATCAACGGCATCGTCTCGGAACGCTTCGGGTACCGGCGGACCCTCATGGCTTGCCTGGCCGCGACCGTCGGGTTTGTCTTCATTCTGTTCTTTGCGCCAAATATACAAACCCTCGTGGCCGGCGAGCTGCTCATGGGTATTCCCCTCGGCGTGTACCAAACCCTCACCGTCACCTATGCATCCGAAGTATGCCCCGTCGCCCTTCGAGCTTATCTCACAACCTACGTGAACCTGTGCTGGGTCCTAGGTCAACTTATCGCCTCCGGGGTCCTGAAGGGGCTGGAGAACCGCGCGGACCAGTGGGCCTACCGCATCCCCTTCGCCATCCAATGGGTCTGGCCCGTCCCCATCTTCATAGGCGTCTTCCTCGCCCCGGAGAGTCCCTGGTGGCTCGTCCGCAGGGACCGCCGAGAAGACGCCGTCAAGGCGCTCAACCGGCTCACCGTATCCGGACAACCCGACTTCAACGCCGAGGAGACCGTGTCGATGATCGTCTACACCAATGCGCTGGAAAAAAAGGTCGAGACAGGCACATCCTACCTGGACTGCTTCCGGGGATGCGACCTGCGCCGCACCGAGGTCTCGTGTCTCGTCTGGGCCGCGCAGAGTCTCTGCGGCGCCGGGATCATGGGCTACTCGACCGTCTTCTACCAGCGCGCTGGCCTCGCCGTCTCCCAGTCCTTCACCATGTCGCTCGTCCAGTACGCCATCGGCGTGGTGGGTACCTTTGTCTCCTGGACGTTGATGACGTACCTTGGTCGCCGCACGTTATACGTCGGCGGACTGGCTCTGCTCTCTGTCGTTCTCCTCGTCACCGGCTTCATCTCCATCCCTCACTCCTCCTCCGCCCTCTCCTGGGCCACCGGGTCCATGCTCCTCGTCTACACCTTCATTTACGATTCAACCATCGGTCCCGTCTGCTTCTCCCTCGTCTCCGAAATACCCTCCTCCCGCCTCCGAACCAAGACCGTTGTGCTAGCGCGAAACCTCTACAATGTGCTCAATCTTGTCTCGGGCATCATCATTCCGTACATGCTGAACGTGGATGCATGGAACTGGAGAGGCAAGTCGGGGTTCTTCTGGGGCGCGCTGTGCATCTGCTGTTTGATCTGGGCGTTCTTCCGCGTCCCCGAGCCCAAGGGTCGGTCCTATGCCGAGTTGGATATCCTGTTTGAGCGGGGGGTCCGCACCAGGGAGTTTGCGACTGCCGAGACTGGCTTGGTGGAGGGAAGAAACGATCACAAGGTTGATCCGCTTGCTGCTAGTGGCGTCTGATTACTCGAACTGTTAATGTTGTCTTGATACCTCGTATATATGATGAACGATCTGGAATATGCATGGGATGTATGCCTTAGTATGTGAATAGCGTATTTATCTCTACTCAATCCAATCTTTCACTTCAACTTGCACGTACTTGTGGTCACCTGGCGCGAGCTCATGAAGTTTAGCCAACTATAGTCTGCTAGTTAGTGCTACGTCTGCCTTTCAGCTAGACAGGGCTAGAGAGAGAAATCGAGTAATCAAGAATTTGACGTTTAAGCTCATAGAAGGAAATGCAGACGACGAATGTAGATGGAATTGGAAAGTTCACATGAACCCTAATTACAAGGGACTATAACATCGCATGCGGTCAAGCCATTATCCCAATACACCCAGTTCAAAGAGGCGGCCCATAGGTCCGAGAGTTGTAGATTTGCTGCGCTCTTACAAAGTCTTCTTTCCTACCTCTGGATGATAGATATCTACCCCCTCCACATCCTTGTGTCAGTCAGTTATGGTGCGAGTAAACGCAGGATCCACTCTACTATTTACAGTCTTGTAAGCGGGCCCCGAGTGTCTGTGTGCTGTACGGTATTCCATTCTCGGATACTCATAGAAGCTTCCTTGTCGAAACAGCCTTCCCTGGTCATTGTATCTTTGGGCCGCCTCTTGTTGTTCTTCCGGCGAGCCTAATCGGTTGGATAAGGCGCTGAACATGCTAGTCATTACATGATTTGAAGGATGTGGCTTGGCTGTCGATTATACTGACAATCTCCAACAAGGCAATCTTCGAGTATGGAAAGAATACAATCAATTCCCAGCCTTACTATATACGACAGAGCGGCAGCTGCTTAGCAATATCAAACCCCCTTCCTACCCATTTAGCAAGAGGGAAGAGGGTCAGTGTACTGGCAAGCATCACTAGGACCATCGCTGATCTCCTCCGGCTCATCACCGGTATCGTTACCCTCATACTCCACACAGATCTTCTTGACGTCGGTGGCGCAGGTGCTGCTGTCGATGGAGGCAGTGTCGCCCAGGTTGCTGTTGATACCGACGAGGGTCTTGCCGGAGTTTGCGACGACGTTCTTGACGGTCACGGTGCGAGCGTACTGCTCGTCACAGTTGCCGCAGGAGCGGTAGAGCTTGCCAAAGTCGTAAACGGTAAAGCCATCGATGTTGACCTGCCCGCCGGAGTTGTGCTGGATGACCTTGTCGTCGGCGCCTTGGGCACCGCCGCCGATGATGTTGTAGGGGCCGCTGCCGCCCTTGAGGGAGAGGGCGTCTGCGTCGCATTAGTATGGGCTAGGGGGAATTGCACGAATAGCTTACCCTCGCAGACGGCCTCCCACCAGACGTTCTCAATGGTACAGGCACCAAGGCAGTAGACGCCCTCCCTCTGGTCGGCGCCGATGATGGCGTTCTTTAGGGTACCGCCCTCCTGGACGAGGAAGACGGTATCATCCTGGCCGCCCTCATCCTGGCCAGTGCACTCGACGCCACGGCCAAAGGTCTTGTAGCCACCGTCGTAGGTCTCGCCGGCGGCGACCTCGTAGGGCTCGTCAAAGGTCACGCTGCCCTGGGAGTCGGGGATGGGGAACTGGGCCAGAGCGGTAGTGGCCAGAAGGGAGAAGAGAAGGCTCTTTTGATACATGACGATGTGTGAGACGGACAAGTAGAGTATTAGTTTGCAGAACTGGGAGAAGAGACTATGCTACCAGAGCAGATGTGAATGAGACTTGATTGATGATGGGCAGTTCTGCTGGGTAGACGCCGTTTATATCTCTTCCCCACGATTCTCGACATGTCTACACCATCAGGAAACCTCCAAGCTCACCACTGGGCGGACTTGCTCTCCCTTGGCAGGTTTCACTTGGAGATTTTGCCGTGCCTAGGCTGGCGTATTGAGGAATCAACATGAAACTGTGCTCGTGGGTGACCGTCTAGAATCAACAAGAGCAATGCTGATCCAGGACTCGGAAGCATACATTCTCGGTCGAGTTTACCCGAGTACGACAGAGTTCCTCCGTATTCAAGCACGGGATTCTCTTCTCCAGTCACTGATCGGCATGCCAAGATACAATGAAGCACCGGCCCATTTCCGCCATGGCTTCAGTCTTTCTTGGCGGCTGGATCGGGGTCGATCGACATGCCGATTGAAGCTTTGATTGTGCTGGGAGAAGTGGAACCGATGTGATTGATGGAGTTTTTGTTGCTGTCCACGGAGTAGACGTCCATCGTACTCTTCGATTTCCAACTAGTCTGCACAATGCTCTTTGCAGAATGCCTGAGTCCTTGGGTCTAGAGACCGCATGACGATGCCAAGAGACTCATATAGGCGCCCCTGTTAGACGAAGCATTAGCGTCGGAATCGTGGCACAGCAGAATGGTCTGACCAAGAACTGGGGTACTGTAGTGGAACGAGTGGATAGGACCAGAATCACGCTCAATCCGTACTGGATCAGATGGTGTGTCTCCACTGCTGTATCGGTTTCACTTTGAATTGCAGTGCAATCGAGGTTCACTGACTCAGGCTCAATCCAGGAGATTACGCGAGTCAGACACACTGGATGAGTGAGTCTCAGTATGTCACTTAATCAAATATGGAGCATACAGAGTCTTCGTATAGAGTGGCAAGGTCCCGTGGATAACTAATTGGAGGACAATATTAATCGCGCCGGAGCGAATGAAGCCATCAAGTCGTCGATCAGAATATCTCCGCACCACGCAGTGACTTGCCACAGATTGCACGACTTGTTGATGAAGAAGTGACTACGCAATCCTACTGCTGAGCCAAGGTGCCAAGGGACTATTCCATCAGTGGCTTAAACACCCTTAGAAAGCCATACTCCGTACTTCGTGGAGGGATACACCGACTGACCAAGCTTCCTTGGCCGTCCACTTGACACTATCTACCAGACACAATACAGAAAGCTAACATCCCCCTGTGGCACTGGATCCCTCACACGCCTCCCCCGTGCAATTAAACCCCCGAGTGCCCTCGACATGACCACACAGATACTCGTCCGCCATCGTCCCATTAGGCGCCTGCAAATTCACATTCACAATCTCGATATTCTTGCACGGCTTGACGGCACTACACTGAAAGCTGCCTACCACGTCAGTGTTAGAGGAACCTGCGATATCTGCAATACGCAAACCCCAGATCTGAAACTTGGACGAGGTGCAGTTGCCCGCCGCCCCTGAAAAGGAGGTGCATTGGGAGATGGAGAAGGCGGGCCCGCGCAGATTGTAGGCGTAGAGGTTCGAGCCGGAGATATCTGAGGCGTCTATTGTGAAGGGCATACGTCAGCAGGGCAGCCACAAACATCCAAGAGAGGAAAGCGTGTTGATATTACAGCCTAGACCGCCGCCACCACCGTTGGGCGGGTAATTGACCTGCTCGCCCGTCCAGGTCTTGAAGTAGATGCTGTGCAGCGTGCCGTGATACGTGATGTTTTCGGCTCGGACGCGCTCAACCGTCTCGAAGACGTCCTTGTACTGGCCGATACTGCCTATGGCGATTCCAAGGCCCCGGTAGAAGGCAGAGTTGGTGATGAGAATGTCGGTGGAATTGGCCTTGGCGCTGATGCTGTCGTCGCCGTTGTCTACCGTCCAGTTGTTGAAGGTGATGTGTGAACTGTAAATGGTGTCGGCTCCGTCCGTATTGTCTTTCCGGTCAGCATTTGGCGGTCATGCATTGGTACTTCATTATGGTACTTCATTATGCTACTTACGAGCAGAGTTGCCGTTGGTGGTGGTGCTGTTCACATATATCGAGTCGAAGAGGGTATGATGCGAGTTAATCACAGACAAAGTCCTGGTCTCTTAGCCATTGATCACCTGCAGATGATATCTACTTACCACATCTGACTTTGCAGGAATCTCAGTCCCTGAAAGACCGAGTTCGATGTCCGCGAGACGGTGAGGGCGTGCGGCCTGCGAGGATAGTTCGACACACTCTTGACATAGTCATACCACACCTGTCCGTTGCCATTCAACGTGCCGTATCCGTGGCCATTGAACCGAACGTTGTTGCCTCCGATCACCCACGCGGTGGACTGGTTCTGATAGCCCACGTCCAGGGAGTGTGAGAGCCAGTACGTGATGTTGGTTCCCCACTGCATCTGTCAGGGCGATCAACAGGAATGAAAGCAAGGGATATACCAAAAGTGTGCCAAAAAGGTCAATGTCGCAGTTTTGCAGTCCGGTCGTGTTCATCACACTGTTGACATGGTATGTGGCATTCTGGAAGACGATCCTGCCCCCTTTTCCGCATTCATGGAACGCTTTGAGGATAGCAGGCGTATCATCAATCGACTCGGAACCTCCTGCCTTGACAGTACATGTTATACGATGAGACTGTCCGGTGGTGACATCCGCAATGGCCGCTACGGGCAGAAGGGCCCAGGGAAGGATATTTGCAAGATACATGTTGGTTGGCTACGATGGGTCTGACATGGACGACGAGCATACGGGGCATGATATTCCCCTGATATAGCACCTACAGATCGCTCATCATTATCCCGAGACCGAGTCTTTATGAGCATCCAATATACCGAGAAGTTGCGGGAGAGATCGACATATGCGGGGTGTCCATGTCATCCCCCGCTTTTTATATTGATCTGACGGACTACGGAGAATTCTCGATCTTACTGCCGGTTCATATTCCTGGTGCATCGACCGAAGGCACGGAAGAGAATAAATGACAGGTAGGGCTCAGGTGCCGGTGGAAGACAGGTCCTGTATTGAGGGCATATGTGGATATCCTGCCTTTCATATACGCAAAGTAAGGAAATGAACATGCAAGGAATAAATTGATCATCTATGAGGTATCATCTATATCTATACGCAGTATCTATACATCAAAAATCGACTGCTTGTACACCGAAGGGTCAATATACGGAGTTCCTCCACGCTTGGTGAAGCCCCAGCGGATCTGGGTAGCCATGGAGATTTCCACGCCGAGATGCTGAGCAAACGTCCAGGCCAGACCGGGATCCTTCTGGAATCCACGACCAACAAGCGCAACATCCACATTCTCCTCCTCGAGAATCTGATTCGCCTGCTTGCCGTTGGTGATGGCGCCGACGGCGGCAACCAGCAGCTTATCGCCGACGGCCTTCTTCACGGCTACGGCGAAGGGCACCTGGAAGGCAGGGCCGGACTTGATCTTCTGCTGTGCCAGAACACCACCGCTGCTGAGATCAATCAGATCCACGGCGCCCTGCTTGACGAGCTCCTGCGCAAACCGCACCGTATCGTCAGACCCCCAGCTCTGCTCGGGCAGGGTCTCCTCGCACCAGTCTGATGCCGAAATGCGCAGGAAAACGGGGACGTTGGGGCCCACGGCGTCACGGGTCAACTGCGCAATCTCGAGAGACAGCCGGATGCGGTTCTCGAACGAACCGCCGTACTGATCCGTGCGGTTGTTGGCGGCAGGCGACAGGAACGACGAAAGCAGGTATCCATGCGCATTGTGAATCTCGACAAAGTCCGCACCGGCCGCGATGGCGCGCTTCACGGCCGCCACCCAGTCCTTCTTGAACTGCTCGATATCGTCCAGCGTCATGGCCTTGGGCTTGGCGAAGGACTCCGCAAAGGGGATATCGCTCGGCCCCATGACGCGATCCGGCCATCCGCCGGCCTTTTCTGTCGCGATAGCAGTGAACGAGAGCCAGGGAGCAACGGTGCTGGCTTTGCGGCCGGCGTGGGCGATCTGCACACCGATCTTCTGGCCCTGGCTGTGCACAAAGTCGATGACCCGGCGCATGGGGGCGATCTGCGAGTCCTTCCACAGACCGACATCCTGAGGGGTGATGCGGCCTTCGGGCTGGACAGACGTCGCCTCAATCAACATCATGCCTGGTCCGCGTTGCGCGATCCCACCCAGATGGGCGATGTGGTAGTCGGTCATGTGGCCATCTTGGGCAGAGTATTGGCAGAGAGGTGCCAGCTGAATTGAATTAGTTTTCTTTCGATATGAATAAGGGTAGAAGGACATACGCCAAGGCGGTTCTGGAAGGTCACGCCGCGGATGGTCAAGGGCGTGAAGAGCTTGGGGATCTTCTTGCCATCGGTCTGAGGGTTAGCTGCCGTACCAGCAGGGGGGTTCTGGGCCGGAGTGAAGTAGGGAATGCCCTCGGCAGGAGCCACGTCGAGATCAGTGTTAGACATTATGGTTGTGGTGATGATTTTGGATGGTATGTTGATCGCTACGAAAATCTCTATGTGCAGGGAGCTCTACTTATATACATCTCGGACGTAGGGACAGAAATCAATAGAACTTACCAATCCTTAAGATAGCTCCACTTCTTCAGGCTTGATTTACAATCTTGCCGAGTAGTGGAGACTTTCCTCAAGTGGAAACGAGACTGAAACTGGTCCCAATCGAGGCATATCGTGGCCATTGCCATCGCTCCAGTGACGTGAAGGCTGTCATTGGGTGGAGATGTGGCCACGATATCGATTACCTAGATACCGGACAGTTTCTGGCTCAGAATTGCCTGGAACGGCTGGAAATAGCGTGCAAACAGTGCTATCTTTGCCTCTGCCGAAGAAAAGTTGAAATTTCGTCAGGCCACAGTGGGGCATCCACACTGATGCCTTAATCAGCAGGCGGAGAGTCGGAGGAAATTCGTCACAAAAAGTCTCCGAGGATGACTAACCACCGGATGACTAACCACCGGATGACTAACCACCCAAGGGTGGCCAGTTGCCAGTTGCCACCGGAAGACCACGAGGAACATTCTGTGATTCCGGTAAGCGTTTCTCAAGGAAAATTATAATCACATTAATGTAGTAATGCCAAGTGTGGTAATGCCAGTATTGTCGGCGCATCCTTGTATCATGAGTGTTTCAATCTTCCGATATTGTCTTCGCTGAGGAAGAGTCAACCAGGGAGGCTTGCTCTGGATTGAATGTAAAGAGCATTTTACATCCTTTTCGCACTGTCATGTTGGGGTATATTGGTACTACTGTGGGTTAAATTTTAGGGCAAGACTGAGGTATTCAGCTCCTTCATGGCTCAACTTGAGCCAGCGGAATGGAATAGAAGATGCTGTTCGTCCTGGAAACGGGAATAGATCCGATCTCAAGAAAACAGGGAGAAGTTATTGAATAATAATACCACTAGGCCAAAAAGGCGTCCGGACGATGTACTCGTCAGTCTAGGGTTTCATATCCATAGTCATAGTGGTATCTTATTCCAACAGAAGTCGAGTTTACCGAGCCTATGGAGTATCAGTGCAAAGACACGAGAGGTTGATCACTCACTATATGATTCGTTGTCTTGAGGACAGCAATGATCGTTGCTTCTGCAGGGATGATTCGTCTATGCATCCTGGTTCATGCTCACAGTCCTGCTCGCTATATAACTCAATAGTGTGGATTTAGACATTTACCAGAAGGTTGATTGATTCTTTGAGAATGAGCTTGACCAGGCTACAAAGTGCTGCTTCAAGAAGTCATGCTTATTAAAGCATTGATAATGCAAGGTCGTATGGAAAGCCCAGCGATATTGATATCCATGACCTGCCATGGAAGGCTGACCACACTGTGCGTGACGAGATGAATCACATTTCTTGATTTTAATATCATCCACACATTAAGCCACCAAGCTGATTCCCGAGACAAGTAATCAAACAAGGTAATACTGGGCAGCTGTCTCTGGAAATCCTCAGGCAAACGATTGATCTGATGCCGATAGACGCAAGGATCAGTTTCATCTTGACACAAACATGCATTGTAAGTCTCATATCTCTGCAAAAGCCCATATATGCTGCATAAGAGCTGTCGATGCCCGTCGTTGAATCGTCCAAGCAGCAGCTTCACATGGAGAGGATGTCCGCATCCCGAGCAATCAGGTGTAACCCTGCACGAGATCCTCTTCAGGCGCAACGCAAGACGAATATAATGACAAGGTATAAATCGAGCTGCTTTTGTCCTCTGCTCGTCGAATCTCTCAAAATGATAGATCGCCACGAGGCATCATGATCTTCTTAATATTCCTCTGGCTTTTGCCCGCCTATGCCGCGAAATGCACACCCCACAGGCGGGGCATCCGACGGGAATGGTATGTTGACCATCTTCTAAGGGATGGAGAAGACTCCTAATATCTTCAGGGGCTCACTGTCGTCCTTGGAGCGCATAAACTATATCGAAGCCGTCCAATGCATGCAGCAATTGCCTCCTGTTTTGTCGCAGGAGGTAATCCTAGCTGCCCGTAACCGGATGGACGACTTCACTGCGTATGTCCATAGTCCCTACTCTGGACTGTAAACTTACTCACCGGATAGTGTGCATATCAACTATACTATGCATATCCACTTGAACGGCGCCCTCTTAGGCTGGCACCGGGAGTACCTTTGGCTGTGGGAACAAGCTTTGCGAGAGGACTGTGGATATCAAGGATATCTTCCGTATGACATTCAAGATTCGGACGAAATTATCCTAATTGACACACAGATACTGGGACTGGACTCTCTACCCCGATCTCCCCAACAGCCCTATCTTCGACGGCTCATCCACCTCCCTCTCCGGCGACGGCAACCCGGACGAGAACTACTGCGTGACCACCGGCCCCTTCGCCTACATGCAGCTCAACTTCCACGACGACAATGGGTCCTTCGAGGAACTTCCCGTCACAGCATACGATTACAGCCCGCGCTGCCTCCGTCGCCAGCTTAACTCCACCGTGATAAACACCCATGCCAACGCCGACGTCGTCGCCCGCCTCCTTGCCTCCCCGGATATCAGCACCTATCAGGAACGCAACGACGCGCCCATGGACCCTACCAAGCGGAGGAACGGGGTGGGCGTCCATATTGCGGGTCACCAGGCGCTCGGATTGTCGATGCACGATTTCTTTGCTTCGCCTCAAGATCCGGCGTTCATGCTGCACCATGCGATGCTTGATCGGGTGTGGGCCATCTGGCAGGCGCAGGAGGGTGCCAAGCAAAGATGGGCGGTCAATGGCACGATGAGCTTGTATAATGCGCCGACAACGCCAGAGATCACCCTCGACACGGTATTTGAGTTCGGGGTCTTGGGGCGGCCGAAGACGGTGAGGGAGTTGATGAATCCGGAGGCCTATGATTATTGTTATGCATATGAGTAGATGTACATGGCTCTCGGGGTTTCCCCACAATCTGATTATTCATCGCCGCATGAAAGTATCTATACGGCTGTTCGACTGGCAACCCCTCTGTATATGCTGGAAGAAGCGCAGTGGACGTCGGTAGGCAGTAGTATATCTAAACAGTGATGCAGTCGAGCAGCCTGGTGAGTTCACAGGGAAAATCTGAGTATATAGTCTAGACGTGCTCTTCCCAATAGTCTAATCAAAATCGTCTATCCAAGTCTATATCAGAAGCTTTATATGGTGCATATGAAGAGATCATTGCAATGTAATGGTCTTGCCCTTTGGCCCTCCGCACTCATACACCGCCAGCAGCGTATGGTGATCCAGAGCCAAAACACCTGGCCAGTGACTCGTCTGGGGGCAAATCACCGTCGGCCGTGTCCAGGAGATACGTCCCTCTTGCGGCGGCCCGGCAAAGACCATCTTGATGGACGCGTTCTTCGTCCACTGCACGTGCCGCTCATCCTCGTCCGTCATGAAAATCACCGCCAATGAGCCATCTGCAAACGACGCAATCTGCGGCGCTCCCGCATTGTGGCCCCGAGGCGGCACATACACTTCATGCCGCCATCCCCAGGTCCGGCCGTCATCGTACGAGATCAATGCCTCGAGGTTGAATGTGCCGTAGCGCGTCGTCTCGAAGACCATCACCAGTGCCTCGCGCCCATTGTCGACGGTCGCCGCAATTCCAGTCATGCCATCGCGGATCCGATCGTTGATACCCTCGAGACATTCCGGCTGCGACCATGATGACCCTTGATCGGACGACCGCACCAACATCGTGCATTGATTATCGTGGGCGTATTCCTGCGAATAGAACAGCTGCACCTCCCCTTGACGGCTGAGTCGCATGAACGGCTCCCAGATTCCATTCGGAGGAGACTTTTCAACCGCTTGCGAAGCGAACTGCCAGCTGCGCCCGCCGTTTGTGGACCGGCAAACGGTTATACGGAAGTGTGTAGGCCCGTTGGGACCGAGATCGTGGTTGCGAAACGCCCCGAGGACGACAGCAGGTGCCACCTCAAGGAGGAACAGATTATCGCAATCGCCCTGACTGCGTGTCACCTCTCCAAAGTCGTGGAATGTGCGACCGCCGTCGGTACTTTTGGCGATGGTTAGGACGCGGGTTGGGCCGTCGAAGCGGGTGAAGGCGGAGAGGATGGAACCATCGGACAGTCTGGCGAGACGGGGGTATGTACCGGAGGGATCAGAGGAGAGAAGGCGTTCATCGTTGTTGATCAATCGGTTTCCTGAAAGACGGGCGTCGTGGTCGGGGGCCTTCTGCAATGGCTGTTGGCCGTGGTCGTCCAAGCCAAATGTCTTGAGGATTTTCTGGCCAAGGTGTCCGGGCATACTGTGTAACGTGTCTGAGCGTTGCAAAGTCTCTGCAGTGAGTACAATGCAAACGGGACAAGGATATCCTAGAGCTGCTCAGGTTCTTAAGTGGTACAGACTAGATACAGAGGGGATGCCGTGTGCCTCAGGCTAATGACGTCAGATGACCGGTCAGCTGTTTTTCATTGGTTTCATGTGACTGGAAAAATAATGTTCCGGGAAGGCAAGGAGATAAATGTAGCTGCCTGAGGCCCACATGCCCCATGCGGAATCGAGGAGAAACTTGGCTGTTGTGATGTGTCAAGCAGTTCAAAGCTACCTCAGAGTTCCAGTGGCAGACCTTGTCATCGAAGCTCGAACCTCTCTTTCCAGCAAATAGAATTCGCGCTTTCGAGCTTCGATGAGCGAGTACCAACGTGGTGAACTCCCCCCCGCACTATCATGTGCCCCAATCTGGAATGTCATCGACCAACTCTAAGTTGGAGGCAAATTCGGGCAGTCCTGTCGTACAAAGAGGGGGAGCTGCATCCCAAGTTGCGCGGAGAAACGTGTTCGTGCTTAGGTATGAACATGCCGGAAACCTCTTGTAGTTGATCTCATGACCCTTTCACCTTTATTTCCTGTTGAGTCCGTACTCTGAGACGGTAGCATTAGGTCGCTTCCCTTTGCGTGCTGGAACATATACATCTCGTAGTACTAGTACCTTAGGATGTTGTATCCGCCGATACTATGGTCATCACCATATGATTAAGTCGCAAAAGGAAGTCAGATAGGATGTCGCTGCAGATATTGCTTGTGCCCTCGGTACAGAGGATCATTCGTATTAGTCCTCCGCCCCCTGTCCTTCCTCAGTCTTCCGCCACTGCTCGGACAGATCACTTTGTTGCTCTCCCAAATGAGCTCCTTTTATTGATTTTCTCCCTCCTTGAAGCAGAGCAGTCCCCTCACGAGATCAAGCTGGCACAATGGAGTCCTCTGACCAGAGTTTGCCGACGGTGGCGCGATGTTGCAGAAACCCTCCTCTACCGGACCCTCTTGTTGAAAGACCGCAACCCTCGCATCGTTAAATGGTGGGCAGCTGATAAACAGAGACTGGCAAAACTACTGTCGACGCTGCAAAAGAGACCCCATCTTCGCCACTATACCCAGTCTTTGCATGTCACCGCCGACGATGATGCATTCTCCGAGGATATCCTTCACATCATGGATCTTCTCCCTTGCGTTCGGCAACTGACGATTCAATTGGACCTTGTTAAAGATTCATACTTCCCTCTTCTGCACAGCATCGGGAAGATGAAGCTCGAAACACTCGAGTTTGTCGGATACGGCGCGGCTCCTTCGTTGAACCTGCTGTTCATTGTCTTGAGCCAGATGCCAACCTTGAGGAGACTGTCCACCTACCGTTGGGGCTGGTGTCGGGATGGCAGCATATATACAAGCTTTGTACACGATGACAGTGCTTCTATGACATCGGAAGAACTTTCGCAGCTTCTTCCTCTTAATAAACAAGGAACATCCGCACTGACCAGCCTGGATCTGCAAGACCCCAAGACATCGATTGAGGTAACGGAATGTTTTCTTCGATGGCCCACTCGACTTGAGGAGATCAGTCTCATATCACTCTGCTACGGACCGTATGAGCGTCAGTACGATGCTCGCGGCGTCCAGCGACTGCTTTCAATCCACAAGGACTGGCTGCAAAAGATAACCCTTGGCCCTATTCCGCCACAAGGAGAAGACATTCCCGACTTTTCAGACTTTCCTTGCCTTTACGATTTACATGTAACTCTGTACAAGTCTTCCTCCAACGGCCGTGAGACGCCGTACGCCACCTATAAGAAGATTGCAGCACCCAGTCTCCGACATCTCGAAATTGACCTGGGCAATGAACGCCAGCCGAATGATCAGTGGGTCGCCGAGTTTCTTGCTCTTGTGCGACTTGGACGGAAGAAATATCATCCACAAACATGTCTCCAGTGGGTGGATGTGAAGTTCTGCCGATGGGGTGATTTGGCCATGGGACTTGCGCGGAGGAGCAGTATCACCTGTGAGAGTGTGCGATATCACATCGACGTCCAGTGAACACGAGGGGAATCTGCAGATCGTTCCTCTGGAGTATGACGAAGAATATCTGCTTGGTGTGTTGAATAAAATGTTCAAAAATTTCTACACCAATGAAGAAGTCAGCCCCAACAGATCGGATATTCACCGGACATTGCACCCCATCATCTGCATCTCGGACTCCCCAGGCCAAGGCTTCTTGCGGAGATGCCAAGGAACAATTTCGATATAATGTCGCTTAGAAGCAGGCTGACTCTAGATCGGCATCAGGCTAGTCGAATCTCGAGTAGTTCTCTGGATATTGTCAAGTTTCGAACGCATCCCGTGCAGATCTTTGCAGGATATGTCTGTTTGCCGAATTCTCACAACGGCCAACATAAGAGAGCTCATTTGGCACCCATGTCCGCTCCCTGTAGATGTTGAAATCAAGCCCGCACAACATGATTCATGTACCAATGTTGATCTCACTACCGGTCATGCATAAAAGGCACAAGAAGTCATCCTCTCATCAGCTCCATGTTCAGCACGCTCAAGAAGAGAAGAGTCTGGAGAAGGCAATATTTCCTTGAACAATGAAGGCTTTCCGCACCCTCACAGCATTGACCCTCACGACCTGCGTCGCGGGACATGGATATCTCTACATTCCCAGTAGCCGCACCAGACTAGGAAACGAGGTATGCGACCACTCCCGATGTCCCTAAAAGCCACTGACAAGTCAGGCCGGTGTGGACTCCTGTCCCGAATGCGCCATCCTCGAGCCCGTCGAGTCATGGCCAAACCTCGACTCTGCCCCAGTCAGTCGCAGCGGACCCTGCGGCTACAACGCCCGCGACAGCATCGACTACAACCAGCCCACCAGCAACTGGGGTACCGAGCCGGTCGTCTCCTACACCGCCGGCCAAGAGGTCGAAGTGCAGTGGTGCGTCGACCACAACGGTGATCACGGCGGCATGTTCAGCTACCGCATCTGCCAGGACCAGAGCATTGTCGACAAACTGCTCGACGCTTCGTACCTGGCGGACGCGGCGGAGAAACAAGCCGCGGAGGACTGCTTCGAAGCCGGCCTCTTGCCTTGTACTGATGTCAATGGGCAGGAGTGTGGGTATAGTGCGGACTGTGCGGAGGGTGAGGCCTGCTGGCGCAATGACTGGTTCACCTGCAATGGCTTCCAGGCGTCGGAGAGGCCGAAGTGTCAGGGGGTGGATAATGCCGAGCTGAACTCGTGCTACACCTCGACTGCAGGTGGATATACGGTGACTAAGAAAGTGAAGATTCCGGACTATGTGTCCAACCATACTTTGTTGTCGTTCAAGTGGAATTCTTTCCAGACCGAGCAGATCTATCTCTCTTGTGCGGATATTTCCATCTCTTAAGGGTGTATCCAGCTCTGGATGGGTGGACAAACCCTGGCGGGATTCATTGGTACATAGTTAAATGCTTACATCGCGTCTTGGACTCTTTGAATATCGATTATTTGGTTAATTACGAACTCTGCCTTTATCCCCCGGATTGTGGACTTAGCTCAAACAAAGTATCTTTGAAAAGAGTTGTGGTTCCTGCCTACATAGTTGGCACAAAATCCCGTCTCGTCTTTGCATTACTGGGCAACTATAAGGGCACAGACAGCAGGCTACACATAAATAGACCCAACGCTCACCAGGCCCCAGTTGTGATCCACACCAGACTCAATATCGGGTATAGGTCCCATGGGAACGATACCTTTTGGATTGATGTCGGCTTGATTCTTGGGATCTGTTTGAATCAGTTGATGAAGAATAATGGAACTCCCTCAAATGTACTTACAGCTTTCTTTGATATGCTTGAAATTAGTCGACTCCCTGAATCCATCCACGTTATAGTAGAGATTCTTCAACCAGTTGTTGATGGTGGGATAATTGTGCCGGATCGTTCCCAGATTGCACTTGCAGTGCTGGACGTAGATGGGATCGAACCGGATGATGGTCGTGTACGCTCGCAGATCTACCTCGCTGATGTGTTTACCCAAGATGAACGGACCGCCATTGTCATGGATGAGTCGCTCGATCCGGTTGAGCGCTCGAAAGACCACTGGAACCGCCTTGTCGTAGTCTGCCTGAGAGGCTGCGCCTCCGGCCTTGTAGACACCAGCGTTGAGATCTGTTTGCATCCACGCAGAGATCTCGTCAATCTGAGGCCGCAGAGCATCGGGGTATAGATGTGCCCTCCTGTGGACTACCGGCAGAATGGGGTCGAATGCATTAGGTAGCCAGCGAAGCATGTCCGCGGAGTCGTTGCTCACAATTGTTTCCGTCTCCTTGTCCCAGAGCACAGGGACGGAGTACGCTCCTGCGTAATCCTTATCGGCTCTGAGGTAGATGTCGCGCAGAAACTCACTGCCATAGAGATCGTCGACTGTTGCGCCGGGATATTCATCGTTGGTCTTCGGGAATCGTAATCCCTCCCCTTTGATGTTGGGGTATGGCCTGACCACGGACAAAGAGATGATATCGGTCAAGCCACAGAAATGACGCACCAGATTGGGCCGGTGAGCAAAGGGGCAGAAGAGACCTGTCGCCATTAGTAGTCAAACTTCTTGATTGAAGCGAGCGCGACAAACCAATATAGAGATGGTAGCGTCCTGCAACTGGAGGGAAAGGACCATTCTTAGAGATAACCCCGTGCCAACCATCATTCGTTCCTGGTTTATGGGCCATCTTGACCGATCTATCAACTACTTAATATTCTCTCGGATGTTGTGTTGAAGATTGAAGTCCAGAAAAGAGAAACGGACACCTGTCCAGCGCCGAGGTAACACAATGCTGCTGACGTCAGGTGTAGCAGAAGTTCCCCGCATGCATTTCATCATGCGATTGATGCAGTTTGACATGTCTATTTACTATAACATCAGAGGAGTAAGATAGCTTCAATTTTATTGAAGGAGGGATTACTTTCATCATTGCTCACATAGATTAGATTCCCGAATAATTGCGTCGCTGTGCCTCCCTCCAGCCACTGGCGATGAGTTTCGCAAAGGACTAAACAATACCGCTGTAGCAAGATGTCAGGCAGACAACAAAGTAGGAAAGGAGAGTCGGCATGAACCCAGCAATTCACGAGTCAACTTGTAATACAGGACGAATAACCCATAGATCTTTAACCTTCGAGAGACCGAGTTCCTCCGGATCCTTCGTCCTTGATCATTGAGAGTCCCGACTGCTGACTGGGAACTAGGCGTCTTCTTCGCCATTTTCATCCATTTTATCGTTCCCATCGCTTTCTTTGCTCTCTTCGCCTTTCTCGCTTTCCTCGCTTTCCTCGCTTTCCTCGCTTTCTATTCCATAGTTTGAAACGCACCTGCGGCGCTTGCGACCCCATGGGTTGACCCACTCGTTGGCGTTTTTGGCAGCGACAGTAGCGTCAACCTCGTCGACCTCTCGTTTCGTCAAGTTGCGAAACTCAGAAGTAATTTTCATCATCTCCTGGGGGACCTCATATATTAACCAGAGATCCATCAAGGTCTCGAAGTCCACTTTTGTTCCCTCGCCCCGGGGTCCCGTGTAGCAACTCAAATAGCAGCCCGCCATACCGCCGTCTAGCACGGATGCCCTGAGCTTGTCGAGTTCCGCGAGTGTGTTGTACGGACAACGCCAGTCATCAGCCATTTCAAGACGCTTGTCCATCACCCTAATCCAGTAGCCCCAGTCTTCGTCCCAGCCAAACTTGAGGGTAATGTGCTCCTCAGCTCGCGGGTCGGAGATGGACCCCGACACTGGCTCCCACCTTGTGATTATCAGAGACAACTCATGACTTGTGAACGGGTAATGGTAAGCTTACTTCTCATCAACCATAGCCATGGTGAACCTTGTGCGTTCGGGTGGAGGCTTTCTGTCAAGACTGTGGATGGAGTAGCTGCGGATGATGAGAGGAGAAAGAAGAAAGGGGGAAGACGAGGGGGAATTTATATTCAGGTATAATCTTGTGCATTCACATACAGCATGAAAAATTTGCACATAACAGAAGATTCCGGACTCTGGTATAGAGGGAACGCGGGTCTGCCTATTATGACCGGCCAGTAGAACATCACAGTCTCCTTGTTAGTCTCTTAAGAAGCGGAGCCTCACACAGTGCAGTCAAATTGAGGTGAATGAGAGATCAAAGGGAGAAAAAATCATCTCCCAACAGGCAACTGTCTTAGGAGAGATCATGAATCCCTTGAGAGAAAAACTCAGACAGGACGTATGTATCAAATTTGGACGCTCTTCCTCGAGCCTAGGAGAAGCACAGTTTTTCCGAAGATACAGCTTCAAATTTCCGAAAAGAGAGATGATACAACGCTCTGTCAATATTTGATGCTCCGGTGAATCTTCCCGGAACCGGTTCCAGTTTGTTGAATAATGGGACTGGTGCTGCAAATCCTATATCGCTGCAATAGACAGAGTGAAGATTCATATCTTCCAAGTGGGCGACAGTCACCATGACGTCCCCTCAAGCGATGCTGTAGCTATCGAGCCTTCACCTCTCAGGAAGAAGAGGGCAAAATACTCCGCAAAGTGTCAAATTCCTGAGAGTCTGGATTCGAGACACAAACCGCGTCAGGTCGTCCTTCTCTGCTATCCGACTTGCAGAGGTTGTCAAAGGAATATGCGTCTTCTGCCACGTGTTTGTCCTTTGGAGATGAGGATCATGAAAGGCGTGCAGAGGCAACTGCCGGAATGAATTCCTGTTTATGGTTACTGTCCCACTCTCGGATCAGAAGTGGCGCTCATTGGCTAACAACACTGTGTTGCTCACCCAAAGGAGTAGATGCACCCACCGGAACGTGGCCCTTCAGGTATATAACGATGACCTGCCATAAAGACGAAGCATCGCATATCAACCTCATCGAAATCAGCCGGCCACTCAGCTCCAACTTACCGAAGATTCGAGTCAAAATGACCTCCAACACCATTACCGTTTCCCTCCCTCAACTTGCAAAAATGATCGACCACTCTCTCCTCCATCCTACCCTGACTGACGCCGATATCCTCGCAGGGCTCAAGATTGCACGAGATCACAAAGTAGCTACTGCCTGCGTTAAACCATACTCCATTCCTCTCGCAAAGAAAGTATTGGCCGGGACGGATGTCCTCGTCTGCCCCGTTATCGGATTCCCGCACGGCAACAGCACCACTGAGATCAAAGTGGCCGAAGCAATCGCGGCGGCCAAAGCAGGGGGCGCTGAGATTGATATGGTTGTCAATGTTGGTAAAGTTCTCGGCGGCGATTGGGAGTATGTGACCGAGGAAATTCGACGGATCAACGACGCTGTCAAGGCCGAAGGCGCCCTGCTCAAGGTCATTTTCGAGAATGATTATTTAAAGGACGACCACATTGCACGACTTTGTGGCATCTGCACAGGTCTGGATGTTGCATTTGTCAAGACTTCGACAGGGTACGGATTTGTGAAGCAGGCGGACGGGTCGTATAATTACAGGGGCGCGACCGTGAGGCATCTCAGGCTGATGCGCGAGAAGGCTGGTGAGAAGGTGCAGATCAAGGCTGCTGGGGGCGTCAGGACCTTGGACGACTTGCTGCATGTAATGAGCCTGGGTGTTACTCGGATTGGCGCCACAGCTACCGTGGCTATTTTGGAGGAGGCGAGGAAGCGCGGCATCGGGAATGAGCCTGTTGAGGTATCCTTCAAGCCGATGAAGGAGGCTGGGGAAACGGGTGGATACTAGAAATGATTCCGTGTCTTTGTTGTACCTGGTTGGTCCAGTGTAACAGCTGACGCATTGGTTCAGCACAATCATGATATACCTACAGGACATAGAGGCTAGCATTGAATAAGATGCATTCGTATCTGACCCTTAAACATCAGATCCAGTATCTCCGATGATGTGCCAGGAGTAGAGCTTGAATAAACTCGAACCAGCATCGAAACTGTCAGTGCCAAAGTCATGTTTTCAGTCATGGCGTGGTAGAGTATCCGGCCCCCAGATCCACGTTTGTTCCAGCATTGGAAATCCTTCCTCATGAAGCGTCCGGGCATGCGACGACTCAGTCGACAATGGGCCAGGATCAACGCAAGAGCCGTTAACATATGTTGATAGCACTAGGCCCGTTCAGTTGGCGACAAGACAGATTCAAATATCTTGGTCGACTCACCTTGGTCGAAATCATAGAGCGCCTCCGACACAGAAGCGTCCTCCACATACTGAAGATGCGAGAAGTTGCCGACACTGTTTGGTTCCAGCATCTGTGCCAGGGTCTCCGTTTCTTGGCTGTCTCGAGAATCAGACATGGTCATTTCCAGGTCCGCCGGCATGACAGCCCCAACAGCACCATGAGGCGACATCCTCGTACGCTGGCCGCTTGAAGATGGCTTTGGAGAATTAATATCTGTTTGAACGGCATTGAGATCGACATCTGAGCTGCTGTGTTGCTCTGGCCATTGTAGGGGCTTCGAAACATCAAGCATCATGCTTAGCTCTTTGTCCAAGACAAGTTTCGTCAACCTTTGAAGGATATCCAGTCCCTGCGTAGCCAGTAGGGATCGAGACTTCAATTTTGCTTGAATGGACATAAGCCGATGCAGACCAACTTTGGCCTCTTGAGCCTGCGGTGTGAGCGGCTCAATACTACTCAAAATCCCAAGAGCAACTCCCGCGGTGAACGTATGGATGCTAACAAAGGCAGCGGCATAGGTTTCAGAGACAAGATCAAGAATTGGGCTGTTCACGAGTTCGGACAAGCTCATGCCTGCATCATGGCAGGCTTGCATCGATCCTAAAAAGGGATTCCCTTGAATTGTGTCACGGTGAGAGAAATCATCCAGCTTCTCGTCAGCAGTTTTAGTCACGAGCTTGTACGACAGAAGCGGCCTGTGAGCTAGAATCATGGTGTTTTCATATGCGAGCTCAAGTGCTAACGCCTGAAGATGGTAGATATGATTGTCGAATCGAACACCCGATGCGCCAATATCTCGATCAAATTCTTCCTTGGATGAATAGCTGATGCTGGTAGAAGCAACCGTCTGCCATCGTAGTTTGGGAGGGATTTCAGCTCGCCAATTTCGAAGCCTTGCATCCAGACTAGCTACTCTCATAACAAAGGCGCGTAGGCTCGAGCCAAACTCATCAGAAGCCCTGTCGTTATTCACTGGACCAGGCCCAATTCCATAGAGCTCGGTGAGGACTGCTTTGGTAAGGACCGATAATTTGGACATGTAATACTTGTAGGACAAAAGGGTGGTCTCGCGTCTCAATGGCTCATCAAAAGACACAGGTGACTGAGCATTCTGTAGCTTTGCCGACGGATCCAGCGGCTCAACATCACAGTCTGCGTCCTTGATGCTGTGAGGATAGCCGTATGACATCGAACAGAACGTCTCTATCTCGTAAATGGCCCACCAGCAACGCTTCCTCGTTTCATTCCGGCTGCGTTCGATAGGATCTGATGACAAAGTGACATGGTCTTTGTTGACCTTGCGGTGTAGGTTGAGCGACTGAGCAACCCGAAGGCCGCAGCCGCAGACCGGCCATGCCAGCCGGGGAGCACCGTGGAAGAGATAGTATGTTCCTAACAGGACGCACGTTTGAACCACTTCTAACGACCCAACCGAGATAATATCCAGCAGACTCGATTTGATAGCCTTGAAAATGCATTGCTTGAGCGTCTCATGTTCAACACCGTGGCGAGCTAGGAGACCTTGCCGATAGGGTCCGGCATAGTGCGCTCCAATAGCAATAACCATCAAAAAAGTACTGAGAAACCCCAGATCGTTGTAAGCCCCTCTTGCGCCGTCGAATTGTGTCTTATATAATTGGGGCCACCTCTGACGAAAGTCATCCTGCTGGAAGATAAGCAGAAACCAATGGACTCTGTCGAAATAGGTATGGACGAGTAGCTCAGCGGCTTCGTAAGGCGGCAACAGTGACATAAATTCGATCAGAGCTGGCCGCGATGGGCACGCCAGCGAGGACATCGGACGTAAAGTCCGTCTTCTTGTCCCTGCACCGCAAGGTTGACGGGCAACTGGCTCGGCGCCTTCCTTATGCCCGATTTCGGGATCTTCGTCGACAATGTCCTCCGTGGTTCCTCCAGGAATGGCATCCATTATCGGATCACGAGGAGTTGTTATATTGTGCAATTGAAATGCCTGTATCTTTTATCAGAAACCAGAATGTTCTAATATGGACAGGCATTCTCTCACGCCATTCACTAAAGACAGGGTCGAGCTTGAGTTCCATGTCTGATGGTTAATCTTGTTAAGAGGCCCATCCGTAGCAGAAGCAGAATCTGTTGGTTCACTTGGAGCGGGATTTGTTCCAGTATGGCAAATCTGGGCTTGATCAGAAGAGTTTCCACTCGCATCAGGAGGCGCTCTCCGCGGTCGTTTAGAATGTGGTTCACTGGTAGAGTGCTGGCGATGTCGGTAGACTCTCCACCGGCTAGTCGTAGCCGGGAGACATTCAGCCCCGGCTCTGGAGCACAGTGTGCAAGGACGGTTGACATCACACTAGAGGATAAGCCTTAGTCCATTTCTGATGACAGAGGACGCATAATGACCTTCAATTTCTGGCGGCGACATCTTTGGCACGCGGTCGGCACCTTTCTTGGAGTTCTCGGGGTAAGCACTGAGAGTTCATTCTCCATTCTGTGCTCTCATTGGAATGATAAGTGGGTCAAGCAGGGAGCTCTCATATTTCAGGTTCTTTTCATATATGATAGAACCGTGCCAGATGCTCAGGGAGGATGGATGGAGAAAGCCAAGTTGATTGTGTGCGATAAAATGGTTCATGTTCACGCTTATCTGCTTTGGTGCCTGAGGTGTCTGTTGTCTTGATATCACCACCGTTAACCCATCACTTTGCCTGAAACTGGACCAACTTCTATAATAAATGGCCATAAAAAGTCAGTGATCTCATATTTCAATATAGTCATTCCTACTAATATGTATCCACATAACTTAGGAGTATGGTTGCAGGTGCACTATAGGGAGACTTTTTGTTCGTTTATCTGTCACTGTGGAATATATTATTGTCCATTGGGATGATTGAACAATACTCAGGTCGCCGATGAAATTCCACCTCATGAACACTGAAAGGATAGTGGACCTTGGATCAGAATTGAGATCACATTCTCCCCATAGGTGCAACTGATCATAAGAAAGCTTTCCTCAAGTCTACTGGTAAATCGTCACCGAATGCCTCAAACCCAAGGCCCGCGGGGGTCTGTCGTTCAGCTGCCACCACTCTATGATGCCTTCAATCTATTCAAGCTCGGTTGAGACTACTGGTCTCTTTAAAATCCACAATGTTGCTATTACTGCAAGTCAGTATAAGGCTTATGTGCGGAACAATGACGATACAACAACTGACCACTCTAGATGCGGCATCCCAAACTAGATTGTCAATGTCTGGCTCACAGGTCAAGACTTTGCATCGCAAACACTCCCTAGATCTTGTGTCAGAGATCCTTCAGAGTCAATGTGAGGACTACATACTTGTATGCCACTTGGAAAAGCCCGTCAAATTCCCCCGTCTCCGACAGGCATACTCATATGGGAAGTTGAAGTACAGAACCTAGAATGGCGCCTTTTCCATAGAATGAATCTACAACTACCTCGCAATCTAATAGCTTCTCGGTAATTGCAACACCTTTTCACTGACATAATTCAGAATCATCTCCCGACTGACCGGGGCAATCCGTGGAACCAGACATTCCCTCAGATACCGCTCAACATCATACTCCATCGCATAACCCATCCCTCCATGCGTCAGAACTGCTCTCTCACACGCCGTGAATGCCGCCTCGGCCGCAAGATACTTGGCGCTGTTACAAGCCACCCCGACCGAATGCAAGGGAATCGAGCTATCGGTTCGCGAGTCATCATACAACCTCGCGGCATGGTAGGTCGCCAACTTGGCCGCTTCTAGCTTCATATACGCGTCTGCCAGTGGATGCGCAATGCCCTGGTTCTGTCCGATGGGACGTCCAAATACCACGCGGTCGTTGGCGTATTGTGTCGCGCGCTCCAACGCCGCATAGCCCAGACCTAGCGCTTCACCGGCCAGCAAACACCGTTCCGCGTTCATTCCGTGGAGGATGATCCTGAATCCTTCGTTTTCTTCTCCTATCAGCGTATTTGCGGGGATCTGGTAGTTATCGAAGAAGACTTCGTTGGCGTCGACGGCGCGGCCGCCCATTTTCTTGATCTTGCGCATGTCCAGACCGGATTTGTCGCGGTCGAGGTCGATACAGAACATTGACAATCCATGCGTGGATTTTCTCACTTCTTCTACCGGGGTTGTGCGCGCGAGTAGGATCATCTTGGACGCAACTTGTGCACAGGTGATCCAGATCTTTTGCCCGGTGATCGAGTAGGAATCCCCTGAAGCATTTTTGGTGGCGGTAGTTTTGAGCTTCAGCGTCTCTAGCCCTGTGTTGGGCTCTGTGACACCGAAGCATGTCCGCCATGTCCCATTGATGATCTTCGGAATCGTCCCCTCGAGTTGCTCCTTGGTGCCGAATTTGGCCAGCGGTTGTGTGGCATATACGTTTGCATGGATAGCCTGAGCACCGGCCATTCCTGCGCCGGATTGAGTGATGGTCTGCATCATCATTGTAGCTTCTGAGATTCCTGTTCTGTGTCAGTATCTTTATATCTAACTAAAATTGAACAAGTTGTACTCACCCAGTCCAGCACCTCCCAATTCCTCCGGCAGAGCAATTCCCAACCATCCATCCTTGGCTAATGCTGCATGAAACTCTTTGGGATCGCGCTCATTCTGATCACATTCCTGCCAGTAGGTGTTGGGGAACTTGGCAGTGATTGCTGAGATGGCGTCGCGGACAGTGAGTTGTTCTTCAGTGAAGCCCGTCAGTTCCATCAGTGGCCGACGCGCCGAGGTAGAAAAGCGCGATCGGCTGGAGGGCCATTGGGGTCGGACAGCTAAGATCCTATGACGAAGTGCTCTTGTGCCCAGATGCGACATTTTGAATCATCGATCTATGAATCTTCCGTTCTTTCGGGGCAGAGAAATGACCAGATAAATCATGCAAGGGAGTCAGGCTGTATAACCGCCATATAGCCGTTAACCGGCAAGTAACCGCGACCCCGCACATCTCAGGTGTCGGCCATATGGAGTTCGGTGAGCAGATTTGATCTATTTATATGAAGTCATAATACATGTATTGCTTTAGGAAATGGACATCGCAACACATTGACGCATCATGGCTCTCATTCGACCCTCTGTCCGGGCTGTGCCGCGACAATTCCGGATCATCCACCGCAACTCGTCAACAAGCACATGCCCTACCCAGAACAACACCAAACGACAGCAGAAGAAAGGCCCCTTGTCCGGCATTACAGTCGTCAGTCTCGAACAAGCCATTGCAGCACCCTTTTGCACCCGCCAACTGGCCGATCTCGGCGCTCGCGTCATCAAAATCGAACGCCCCAAGGTTGGCGACTTCGCCCGCAACTACGACACCCGCGTCAATGGCCTCTCTTCGCACTTTGTCTGGACCAACCGGTCAAAGGAAAGCCTGGCACTCGACGTCAAGAATCCACGCGACCATCGCATACTCATGCGACTGCTCTCCCGCGCAGACGTCTTAGTCCAAAACCTCGCCCCAGGAGCAAGCGCCCGACTGGGCCTGTCATTCGCAGACTTATCGGAAAAGCACCCCTCCCTGATCGTCTGCAACATATCCGGCTACGGGCCGGACGGACCTTACCGCGACAAGAAAGCATACGATCTCCTCATTCAAAGCGAAGCGGGCATGCTCTCCGTCACGGGGACCGGTACCGAGCCAGCAAAAGTCGGCATCTCGATTGCGGACATCTGCGCAGGCAGCTACGCTTACTCGAATATCCTTGCCGCCTTGTTCGAGCGGGAGAAAGATCCTGAGCGCCGTGGACGCAATATCGACATCTCCATGCTGGAAAGTATGGTCGAGTGGATGGGATTTCCCATGTACTATACCTACGGGGAACAGCCGGGCCCAACCCCTGCGGGTGCGTCGCACGCTGCGATCTATCCGTATGGACCATTTGAAACGGGTAAGGGGACGGTAATGCTGGGGATTCAGAATGAGCGGGAGTGGGCTACGTTTTGCGAGATGGTGCTGGGGAAGCCGGAGATGGCAATCGATGAGCGTTTCTGTAATAATTCCTCGCGGGTAAAGAACCGCGTCGCATTGAGGGAGACAATCTGTAAGGTATTCGCAGCATACTCTGCTGAGGGGATATTACGGCGTCTGGATGAGGCAGGTATTGCGAATGCCAGCGTGAACGATATGCAAGGCGTATGGAATCATCCGCAATTGAGAGCCAGGCAGCGCTGGACGCAGATACAGACATCTGCAGGGACAGTGCCAGCGCTGTTTCCTCCGGGAATGGGGCCAGATGGGTTTGAAGCTCAAATGGGTGCAGTGCCAGAGGTCGGACAGCATAATGAGGCCATATTGACTGAATTGGGGATGGATACGGAACTAGATTAGACAGCACTGGATAGTAACACCAATTTCGTAAACTATTACAAGGTAGTCTTATAAGCGATACTTTACTGAAATATGGAAGGCTATATTGAAGAAGCGAGCAGTAATCTGGTCAACTGGCGATATCCCTCGGCCTCCAGAAATATATCCAAGGCGGCTATCTACTGAGGGGACACTCACACGCAGTACAAATATAAGTACTGGTGGATTTGTGGTGACTGAATAGACATACATAGGCCTTGAAGAATTGTCATCATAAACATGTCTGAATTTAAGCAGATATCTATTCCTCTTCCTGCTGCGAACACGCGGATAGATTACCCGAAATGGTTCGGAGGGTCGGCCTCATGCATGGCAGTGGTGGTGTCTCATCCATTAGACCTGAGTAAGTCAAGCAGATAATGTAATGGATGCGTGCTCACCAATTCAGTCAAGGTCAGAATGCAGATGGACGGGGCAGGGCGACAAGGTACTATCCGCACTGCCAAACGCATCATCGTGGACGAGGGTATTCCAGGGTTATACCGAGGGGTATGTTCTCGACACGACTGCAACTACATCTACTGACAATACCAGCTATCTGCAGGATTCACGAGACAATGTCCGCGTTCATATACATTATCATCATGATAGAGCCTAACTAATGGCTACAGTGACATACGGCTCTGTCCGCATCGGCCTCTATGAAAGTATCAAAGACCACGCCCAAACCAACAACATCCCCCTCTCAGCACCTCTTCTAGCCCTTATGGCTGCGGCATCTGGCTTTGTGGGTGCCATGTTCGGGACTCCCTCCGACATTGCCAACATCCGCATGCAAAATGACCGGTCATTGCCTCCAGCCTTACGTCGCAATTACTGCCACGTTTTCGATGCATGGATGCAGATGAAACGCACCGAGGGATGGGACGCGTTTGTCCAAGGTCTATGGCCGAATTGTTTCCGATGCGCTTTGATGACTTGCTCGCAATTGGCGTCGTATGATGTATTCAAGGGAGCATTGATGGACATGACCGGGTCAAATGGCGACCATCCGGTGCTACATGTGTCGGCTTCGTTGCTGGCGAGTCTTGTTGCGACTACACTTTGTAGTCCTATGGATGTGATCAAGACGCAATTGATGGGGTCATCCCGTCAGGGCTCGAGTCTGAAAGTCATTAGAGAGTTGACGAGAATGGAGGGTCCACGGTGGCTATTTCGTGGATGGACGCCGAGTTTTGTGAGGCTAGGGCCGCAGACAATGGCCACTTTGGTTTTGTTGGAGCAGCATAAGCGGGTATACCGTGCCTTCACGAGTCGCGAGTAGGGGTAGTGAACGGGTAGTGCTTTCGATCGACAACAGGAATTTGGCGTCTCGCTATCAATCGGTTGTGCTCACTGTCTCTTCGTCACGCCGTGTAGCATTGGAGGAATCGTTATTATAAGAGTAGGAAGGTCATATTTGGCCTTGATGAGTTCGAACAGTCATTCGGCACCGGGAAAAGACATATAGAGTATGCACACTCTAGTTGAAATAACCAGTAGTAGGTCTTCCTAGTCGAAACCGCTCGCTATTCCGCAAAGGAGGAGTCATCCCCGGGAGATGGTAGTCCCCGTAGGCGACCTCGACAGAATCAAATCCACATTTTCTGAGAACATTGGCCGAAGCTGTATTTTCCGTGTCGCACCAGGCCTCGAGAACATCGAATTCAGGCCGGGCCTGCCAGAACACTTCCTTGAATGCCGTTAAGGCTTCGCTGGCAAACCCCAGACCCCATGTATCTCGATGAAAGATGAACCCAAGTTCAGGCACTGGGTCGGACTTCCAGGTCCCAATCCACCCCAAAAACACCCCAGGAGCGATGTAGTCGCTAGAGAGTCGCGAGTGTTCCCTCTTCCGTTTCAAAGCCTCGATGACATCGGGATCCAAATCATGACGGAGTAACACAGCGTAGTTTTCGCCCATCGGATTGACCTCAGGCAAGAGTTCGGACATCCATTTTTTAGCCGCCTCTAAAGTATTGCAGGGGCCATGGCTGCTCCATTTCGTAGCCTCTGGGTCCTTCCACATTGAGAAGTAGCCAGGCAAATGGTCTTCAGTCAAGCGGACCAACTCCAGTCGAGATGTTTGCATTGTGAATATCAGCTTATGTCTTTGGAGAAAAACGGATTCAAAAGAGATTCAAGAAAATAGTGAGTGACACTTTCAAGGGACGGGAAAAGATGGCATTTTAACCGGCGATATTCAGTTTGTGAAGAGTCGGCGTCCAAATTGGGAACGGGGAAATTCTTTTTCAATGTCCACCGAGTCATTCATTGTGAAGCAGAGGAGAATAGTGGCGGTGCTGAACAATGATAATGACTGACTTCATAATAATGACTGAGCTTTATTCTGACTCACAATCAATCTTTGGAGTACGCCTCAGGCAGATTTGTTTCATTGGACGAATGCCAATATCACAAATATTGACCATACCACTCACTTATCTACTCCAAGCCCACGATGAGAAATATTAACCTACGGTTATTCATGACTAGTAGACCGGATCTTTCTGTTCGCCTTGGCTCAAAGCACCTGTCAATTGATACGTACCAAGGAGATACCAAGGCAAACTATTGGTAGTGGCCTTCGTTTACAATGTAAGAGTGTAACGGGCTAGGGCCCGGATGAAAGACTCGGGCCTGACGCCCTCGTTAAGGCTATCGGAAGATACGGACGACGACGTTCATTTCATACCCATTCTCTCTTCCTCAATGAATACTTCTAGTCCTTACCTAGCCATTAGGGAAAGCATTTGAGATAGTGGCTCCGTGCCATCGGGGTGCCAGTTATTTTACATACAAGTACGATGATTCGGAGTATATTAACAGCTTCAACAACCATGTGGGCGCCTCTTGATAATACAAGAGAAATCATATTACCGGAGAACCCTCGTCTCCTACAAATGGGTATCCCGTGTCAAATAAATGCATTAAGTCAACCCCCAACATCCCAAGATTCCCCAGATCCCCAAGCTGGTAGTTCGGATCGTCAGTCATAGGGAAGTAAAGAGAGTGTTGTTCATCAGAACTTGTACCCTCCATCTGACCCGGCGGATGTATTGAATTATCCTTGACAGCCTGCATAAAGGGTAAGACAGGCTCAGGTTGTGATTGCAGTACCTGGGCTTGTGAATAGGTCAATGTATTCGTTCTTGAGGACCGTCCTGGGCCTCCAACATTGGTTGAGTATGTCTTGCCAGAAGTACTTGTGGGGTGACACGGCTCAAAGGAGGCGTTAGTAGCTGCTTCAGTACTTTGTTGTTCTGCAGTCGCTCCGGCGCCTTGTCGATCTCTGGCCCCTCGGGTATCAGACACATACTGCCGTGCCAGGTGCGCAAACTCGGCGATCAAAGAGCCTGGAAGGACGGCTTTACTGGCAACCTCGATGCGACTGAAGTGGCCGCTGGCGATATCTAGGAGAGCCAAGCTAAGGTTCGTCTCTGGGTGCTGAGGATTATGAATTACCAGGTCGAACAGTATCATAAGAGCAGAAAGCGGCATTACGGCTAGAATCCTGTTAATACTTGGAGTTAGTATTGATAAAAGGCCAGGAGGCAACGGACAAATCTATAGATCTTACCAGACGGGGGTGGATGGGGAAACCTCTATAAACGCCGTTAACTCAATAACCGTGCGGGCAGTGCGCATCAGCTCCTTCTTCAACTCGAGCTGTTCTCTTATGCTCAGCGTATCGTTTCCGCCATGCAACAGGGCCCAAGAAAGCGTAAGCACTGCATTGAGATAATAGTAATGCGTCAATAGGGCTACCTGAATTGCCAACGGCTCCGGCAACATTCTGGGTTTGAGGGGCTCGCCGGGCCGGAAGCGCAGAGGAATCGACATCCTCCAGGCCTCCACCTCCTTTCGGAGATTCGGAATTGCTGCGCTATGCGCTACCGATTGTTTCGGCACGGGGCTGACTGTGAAAAGACTACTGTGTATCTTGGACTGGATACGTGCGAATTTGAGAAAGCTGAAAAACCAATCGTAGTCTTCGAAGGTAGACTCCTTTATCACGGGTACTGGACAGCTGACGAAGCAGTCCTGCAGCATCTAAGGATTGTCAGCCACCGGTTGTTCTCGATCAGATTCCGGAAGTCAAATTATTACTGGAGTTTTCTCCGTTCCGAAGCAAGATGACTTCTCCATATAATATAATACCCAGAAGGTCCGATTCTCGGCGCTTTCGAGTTCAGAACCAGATCGGTTCAGGCCCAGTCTTTGGGCCATTAGAACAGCCTCGGATAATATCAGCGAGTCCAACTGGAAGGCGGAAACAGACGAAGAAAATACGGCCTTCACAGCATGTTAACAACGGGGTTTTACGCGGGAACAGGTTCGGATGAGGATGGGAACACCTACCATGGCGATGAGTGCCTTATTGGGGAGATAGATTGTCAGTGAGAAGTAATCTGTCTGGTCGACTTTGTCTCATCGGCAGCATTACGCACCTGCACGGACGTCAAACACGCCTTGGACAGAATTATGTCTTGATAAAACGACGTCGATTTGGCGAAGTAGAACCATGCCTCTCCCTGTCCTGGCTCAAAGCTTCCTCCATCATTATACTGACAGCCAATAGCCACTACTGCATAATAGAGGGCTGCCCACGGCTTGTCCGTGGCTAAGTTCCGCTCAAGGTCCAAGGCTTCAACGCTTCTTTTGAATGACCCGGGACATAGGAATGGGCAGAGTGGATGAACGGCATGCAGATATGCTTCTCGAATGTCAGCGGAAGAAGCCACGTCGGGAGAAAGACAAATTACGCAAAACATACTTTCGATGTATGACTTCATTTTTTCATAACTCGGTTCCCCGGGAGAACAATCAGAATCTCGCCGTCGCTCTCGCAACAGATTTGTTTCGGAGACAGCATTAGAGGACTTTATCTTGGCAGCTAGCACATCACGAATGGTGTCTAGTAGCTGCTCGAGTCGGCAATTTCGTAATCTTTGACTGATGGAGCGGACGCGGTTTGCAGGGAAAAAGGATATATTCGGGTTCGGACCTGACTCTTGTTAAACCTTTGGATGGGAACAGGCCAGGTGCTCTTGAGAATGACACTTGTTCGGTTACGTACCTAATATAGTAGTCAACTGAGACTCATTAGCTAGAACATTCAATGGATCCTTTCGATGAGCTAGCTGACCTGGTCTGCGTGGTTGTCGGCTTTGCATGTCTGCGAGGCCTGGCGATTTTCAAGTAGGAAGTCCATGTACAGTCGTGGCTGTTCTATCGCTCCTGCATTTGCAGACGATGGCGATGCGTGCCGGGCTGGAGCCAAAGGTGGGTCACTGGTGGAGAAACCACGGTCGATATTTGTACTTTGCCAGACATAGCTGGGCTGAGTCGTCGGTGTAGGGAGTGTCAAGTCGATCTGCGGAGAATGACCTCCTGGGTTCGAACTCAGAGACTCTGTAGTAGAGAACAGCCGCGGTTGTCCCGCACTTAGATGATCCAGCCTTCGCTTTCTGGGTCTCTTGACCGGGCTGAAGGTACACTGGAGTCGTTTGGCCTAGTAAAATCTGTATAAGCGTTCCTGTTGCCCAGCATACGGAGCCGAAAGAACTAACGATACAGAACTCGCAAGCAGACTCTGCCAGTGGCCCTGGTTGGCGTCAGTCATGGGCGGAATGGATTCCTTCCATCGGACATACTGCATCGGATTTTTCGGGCTCGACATGTATCACAGGCCTTATGCATGGTTGAGGAGCCCATCGCAGCCATCGGGCATGCCTCAAGAGTGGGCACCTTCTGTCGATGAAATGTATCGTATCCGAGGGAGCAAGAGAGGAAGATAGTACTTGTCCCACGGAGTTGGACGGAGTCATACTCATGCGGCAATCCGTTCGGCGCCGAACACGATCACATGACCGCGCGTCATTTGTTGATCCGCGGATGCAGCACACTGACATCATTGGCTAACGCATGTGTGAGGCTCCGTAGGCTCCACCATTTTCGGCGCCGAAGCCTCATCTACATCTCCGTCACTACTATTTACAACTTCCGTAATCACACGCCGCATCCGCTCAGTTTGCTATGAATTTTGGGTGCACAAACACCGTACAAGATCATCCACAGAGGCAGTTATCGGTCACGCCAATATGTGGAACTATCGCGACGCGGCTTGTCGGAGGTCTGAAAGGTGGCCCGGTATATATATATATCTAGGCCCTCTACCGAGTTCGAACGGTGCACGAACCTTGCATACACTCGTTTGGCTATCGAAATAGGAATTGAGTACTTCTTTATCATTACCCTTCTTTCACCAGCGCGTCTAATTGATTTCCGGTTCTTTGGCGATAATATAGTCTGCCCGAAGTTGCAACACCCTTAAATCTCCGCGATGCCTGTGCGAGACAGCCAAGTTCCGAGCGAACAGGACCCCGTTGTGAGTGATGAGGAGCTCAATAAGTCTCCCAGCACAGATTCCCGTACGGCAGCGGGAGATGAATCGATAAGGGCAACCTCCATCTCGATTCAGGATCGGCATCAAATTGCATTCCTTGCTAGGCAATTGAGCCAGGTCTCAGGAACGCGCAGTCGAGCAGGACTGGAGAACCCTTTTACCAGCGCGACAGACCCTTCTCTAGACCCTAACTCATCAGAATTCGACGCGGGCCACTGGGCAAGACTGTTCTGCGTTTCGTTTCCCAAGATCCCGACCGGTATCCGAAACGCACCGCAGGCGTCTCCTTTCGAGGCTTATGTGTCTCGGGATACGGCAGTCCGCTGGACTATCAGAAGAACGTTTTAAATGTGGTATTTCAAGCGATGGAGGTTGTTGCCGGCTTGGGCCGTCGCAACCAACAAAAGATTCGTATCCTCCGAAATCATGACGGGCTGCTCCTCAGCGGCGAGATGCTGCTTGTTCTAGGTCGGCCAGGCAGGTATGGCGCTGCTGCTGTGATCCCCTCACGTAACACTCGCTAACGATTCACTGCTTAGTGGCGTGTCCACGCTGTTGAAGACAATCGCCGGACAAACAAAGGGTCTACGTATCGAACCCGAGGCGATCTTCAGCTATAAAGGCAAGCAAACAGCGTGTAGCAGCTCTAGTCTCCCAAACCACTGGCATTAACCAATACTCAGGAATACCTCCAGAAATCATGCACAGCCAGTTCCGCGGCGATGTCATATATCAAGCTGAGACAGACATTCACTTCCCTCACTTGACAGTGGGCCAGACTTTCTTTTACGCGGCATTGGCAAAGACTCCGCAGAACCGACTTCCAGGAGTCTCACGAGAACGCTATGCCGCTCATATGCGGGACGTTATTATGGCTGTCTTCGGGCTGTCGCATACTATCAATACCAAGGTCGGGGATGACTTTGTCCGGGGTGTCAGTGGCGGTGAGCGCAAGAGAGTGAGTATTGCGGAGGTAGCATTAGCTCAGAGCCCTATCCAGTGCTGGGACAATGCTACCCGAGGATTAGATAGCGCGACAGCCCTGGAGTTTATCCGGACAGTGAGGTTGTCCGTCGACCTAACAGGAGCCGCTGCAGTCGTCGCGCTTTACCAGGCTTCTCAACGAGCATACGAGGTAAGATCAATTTGTTCATACTCTAACCCAGCTTGGGAGCTCCTGCTGATGCGGAAACTTCAGGAATTCGACAAAGTCACTGTCCTGTACGAGGGCAGGCAGATATATTTTGGACCAACCGACCGCGCGGTGGAATATTTCGTTGATCTAGGTTATCATTGCCCAGCTCGACAGACCGCGGCTGATTTTCTAACTTCACTCACTAATCCCAGTGAACGAGTTATCCGGCCAGGGTTCGAGGCTCGTGTACCCCGTACGCCGGATGAGTTCGCTCAGACGTGGCGCAACAGCGAACTTCGGAAACAGCTGATAGACGATATTGTTCAGTATGAGATCGAAAACCAGAGATGTGGGAAATCTGTGGAAGAATTTACTCGCTCTCGACAGGCACAGAAATCTTCTTGGATGTAAGTAAAGCCTTGCCTTTCTTCAGCCAGCTCCAACGCCGTCTCTTGTTCCCCCAGACCTCCAGTGTGCTGACATGCAAGGTTTAAGGACCCAGAAGTCCCCTTACACAATATCTGTCACGTTGCAAGTGCTACTGTGCATCAGACGTGGTGTCCGACGACTTCTAGGGGACAAATCGTTCTTCTTCATTACGGTCTTTGGTAACCTTTTCATGTCCCTGATCCTCGGCAGTGTCTTTTATGACCTTCCAGACACCACTGCAGCTTTGAATAATCGGTGTATTCTGCTGTTCTTCGCTGTTTTGTTTAACGCGTTGAATAGCTCTCTCGAGGTGGGTGATAGCTCGCCAAAGGAGCAAAAGCCATAACTTTGCTAACCGAGCCATCTCGCGTAGATTTTCTCCCTATATGCTCAGCGGCCGGTTGTAGAGAAGCATGCGACTTACGCTTTCTATCATCCTCTAGCCGAAGCTATCGCCTCAGCGATATGCGACCTTCCCTGCAAAGTCCTTTCCACAATTGCCTTCAACATCCCGCTCTACTACATGTCCAACCTGCGCCGAGAGTCTGGTCATGTCGCAGTCTATTTGCTCTTCGCCTTCACTTCGACACTGACAATGTCAATGATCTTCCGCACGATTGGACAGTCTAGTCGAACCATCGCACAGGCTTTAACTCCAGCGGCACTCTTCGTCATCGGTCTTGTTGTATACACTGGCTTCGTGCTGCCCACACGAAACATGCAGGTTTGGCTTCGTTGGATAAATTATATAAATCCACTTGCCTACTCTTACGAAGCCATTATCGCCAATGAATTTCAAGGGCGAACCTTTGCGTGTGAGAGCTTTGTGCCTTCTGGTCCGAATTATTCCAGTATCCCCGGTACGGCAAGAACATGCTCCGTGGCAGGGTTGCCAGGAGCTGAGTCCGTGGATGGGGACATGTATATGAATGCTACGTACCGATATTATCACTCTCATGTCTGGCGGTGGGTTTTCTGACGGTTTTCTGACGGTTTCATGATGTGTCAATACTGACCGTATTTGTAGTAACTTCGGGATACTTATCGGATACATTGTCTTCTTCGGTTGCGTTTACGTACTGCTCGCCGAGTTTGTCACCGCGCAGGCATCACACGGGGAGGTACTGCTCTTTCAACGTAAGAAAGTCCGTGAGGTCAAGCGCGCACAGGACGAGGAATCCCGAGCCACGATGCAAGATGCGCTTGATACAGCCGTTGCTGGAGATGAAAAGGAAAAGGTGGTCAACCTTCAAAGGCAAACTGGCGTCTTTCACTGGAGACATGTTTCCTACGAAGTTTTCATAAAGGGGGAGAAGAGAAGAATATCGGATGATATTGATGGATGGGTTAAGCCTGGGACTCTGACTGCATTGATGGTACGTCCACCTCTCCCTCTACGACGCAGTTGCATTCAATGACCGGGAACGCAGGGAGCTTCTGGAGCCGGCAAGACTACTTTATTGGATGTACTTGCTAGCAGGGTGACAACAGGCATTGTAACGGGTGATATTTGCGTCAACGGACATCCTAGAGATATATCCTTTCAGCGACAGGTCGGCTACGTCCAGCAGCAGGATATCCATCTAGAAACAACCACCATCAGGGAGGCGTTACAGTTCAGCGCGTTGCTTCGTCAGCCTGCATCGATTCCTAAAGAAGACAAGCTTCGGTACGTTGAGGAAGTCTTGTCTCTTCTCGAGATGGAATCCTACGCGGACGCAATTGTTGGCGTTCCAGGCGAAGGTCTCAACGTCGAGCAACGAAAACGCTTGACAATTGGTGTCGAGTTGGCTGCAAAGCCTGATCTACTGTGAGTCTGTGATAATCATGTGACAGAGCATCTAAAGTTGTGGCCTCAGGCAAATTACTAAGTGTATTGCGTCTGTCCCCATTGTGGGCTAGGAGCGTTGCGTGCACAGCCTGTTTCTAGATGAGCCAACGTCTGGTTTGGATAGTCAAACAGCATGGTCCATTGCGTCCCTACTACGGAAATTGTCAGACCATGGACAAGCCATTCTTTGCACCATCCACCAGCCGTCCGCAATGTTATTCCAGCAATTTGATCGCCTCCTGCTTCTCGCCAAAGGTGGCAAAACAGTCTATTTCGGCGACATCGGTGAGAATTTCAAGACACTGATCGATTATTTTGAGAAGCATGGAGCAGAGCCCTGTGGGCCTTCAGACAATCCCGCCGAATGGATGTTGAGAGTCATCGGAGCTGCGCCAGGGAGTGTTTCGAAGCGTGACTGGGGAAAGATCTGGAAATCTAGTCCGGAATATTCAGATGTTCAACGCATGCTTGATCAAATTAATCATGAAAAACCGCCCCAGGCCCAAGACGCCTCGCTAAGTCAACAATATGCCGCACCGTTCCGAACCCAATTGTGGCTCTGCACTAAGAGAGTCTTCGAGCAGTACTGGCGCACACCCTCGTATATTTACTCCAAATTAACGTTATGCTTCGGTTCCGTAGGTGTCTATTGAGAGCACCCATCTCTTCAACGCTGACTCTCGATAGGCTCTTTTCATCGGTCTCTCTTTCCTGAACACCAAGATCTCGATCCTGGGTCTCCAGCATCAGATGTTTGCTATTTTTATGCTATTAGTCATATTCGCGTTTCTCACATATCAAACCATGCCTAACTTCATCATGCAGCGAACGCTATATGAAGCTCGAGAGCGCCCATCCAAAACATATTCGTGGGCCGTGTTCATGCTGGCAAATATTGTGGTCGAGCTACCTTGGAATACGCTTGCTGCCGTGCTAATCTATCTACCGTTCTACTACCTAGTTGGGATGGACAAGAATGCTGAGGCCACCCACACCGTGACACAACGGAGCGGGTTAATGTTTCTTCTCTTCTGGTCGTTCATGATGCACTGCGCCACATTTACAAGCATGGTTGTGGCTAGCGTCCCCACGGCAGAGATTGGCGCCATCTTGTCTCTCCTGATGTACGCAATGTGCTTGATATTCTGTGGGTAAGTGACAGCCGGGTTCGAAGCAGTCTGTTTGTACCGTGGAACATCGCTGATCATAAGCTACGTGCCCAGGGTCATGGCGGCACCCGCTAGCCTCCCAGGCTTCTGGATCTTTATGTACCGTGCCTCGCCGCTAACATACTTGGTCAGCGCTATGCTATCAACTGGCCTAGCCAACACTGAAGTCACATGCTCCGACATCGAGGTTACCCTCGTGAATCCTCCTGCTGGGCAGACATGTGCGGAATATTTATCGGCCTATATGCAGACTGCCGGTGGGAAAGTGTACAATCCCAACGCGACGACGAGCTGCCGATATTGTGCGCTCACAGATTCTAATATGTTTCTGGCATCGGTGTCGTCGGATTACGATGAGCGATGGCGCAACTTCGGACTCATGTGGGTATATATTGTGTTTAACGTGTGCGCAGCAGTATCTCTCTATTGGGTGGTTCGTGTTCCGAAGCAGCTAGGGCTTGCTGCGCGATGCTTAAACTTCTTTCGCGACAAGAAGAAGGGAACGAGCTAGGATCTGGTTTATCACACAGTCCTTTCATGGCTCTTCTTTCAGGCCATCGGGCAGTCATCGAACAACAGTCTGCCCATCCTTCTTGGATAGAACACAAAATACTTCCTTATTTCTTAGTTGTTTCATGCCTAGAACAACCGTTGCACGCTCATCAAGACTTAGTTGCCTTGGATCTCCGCTTTGTTGTTATTCCACACTCACTTACTTTGTTCTACAATACTTTTTTTCTTTTGTCTTTTTTGAACTTTATCGTTCCGGGATATTCATGTTTAATTAATCGACTCTTTCAATCGCTTTTCCACTTCTAAATATGATCTTGACTTTATCATTCGAGGAACTTGCAATTCCGTCACGAATTTCCACTGGACTCACAACCTTGAGCTTCTGTTGCAGTGCAGGGATTCACAGAAATTGTTGAGGATCTGTCGCAGCGTGACGATATCCAAGTCGACCTCCGCGATAGAGAGTTTGGCCTCAATCCACTAGCCGCGGCTGTAGCGAAGGGGCGGTGCTTCAATCGTCCAACGGCTCATCAAAACCGGCCGAGTGAATGTCAACGCGGGAGACCGATGGGGCCGCACACCAATTTTCCACGCCATTTCCTACCAGAATCGCCAGATTCTGGAAATCCTACTGGAGGATGACAGCCTCGACCTGTCCTGTCAGGATGATCTTGGCCGCACACCCCTCTACAGCGTGTCAAAGGGCCAGACGGCCCTAACGAAGATGCTCCTGGGTCACCCGAGGCCCTATGTGAACGTTTGAGATCTGGAAGGTCGAAATGGCCAAATTAGCTCGAATATGTACGAACACCTTCCAATATATATGCTCTTACTGACAGGTCAGTGCGCGCGATCATGTCCACACAATATCTGCCTATGCAGTCAACTCCTGACCCATCGTCGCGCGCGACTTTGCACCAGCAGCTGGAGGAATAGGAGTCTAATCTCCCTAACAAGCTGCGATTAGGAAATAACTCAACGCCGAGTGCCTCTTTTCTTGTTAGATTGTTACACATGACATACAAGTGTGTGGAACACCCTGTTCTCGTTTCCCTGCTGTGCTGACACTTGAAGTAATCTCTACATTCTGCTCTATCGATCACCGTTCCTCCATCCGCGACACGGAAAAATGGATAAGGGTCATATTGCTCTGGAAGCAGCCACCAAAAGCACCAGGATCATCGATGACATGCTCTCCCAGAACCTTGTCCAGCATGGACCAACGCATCTGTCAGTATCCCCGAGTTTTTCTCGGACTTCAGTCTAATCAAAACAAAATCACACATGCACTTACGTCAGGATGCAGACCCGCATATATGGCAAATCTGGTGATGGTATCTTGATTCGCGTCATTGCTCAGAATGGACCACGTCTGCATGGTACCGGAAAAGGCGACTTGTGCGCCCTCGCCGTGGACCTTTCAATACAGGCTGAGGTAGATTGCTAGCCATTGTGTAAGGCAGTAGACATTATTCTTAGGGACGAAGCCGACAACCACCCCCAATTACAGGTCACAGTAGGACCGGGATTTGTCGTTTGATAGTTCTTGCAGCAGCTCAAGCTAGGCTTCGTAGGAGAGCTGTGAAGCAAATGGCTCCGGCAGACGAGGGAGAGATTCCTTGAGTGGCAGTTTGTCTTTGACGGGACAGTGCTCTTAGGGACAGAGGCCGATTAGTGAAGGCTATCATGCGTCGAAAGGCATCCAAGGCCCATGAGCTGCCAAAGAATGGTCCAGTATCAGATGCTGTCATTGTGTCCAGATGCTCAGATAATGCTTCTACCATACTCGGGAATGGCTCTACACGGAAATAGGGCAGTCCGGTAGAGATCCGTGTCATCTCGGCAGGATCAAGACGTGATATTGATCTACACGCACTTTGGGGGATCTGAGATAAACTACTTCTCGAAAAGCGACGAGAATCCATTCGATTTCTTAGCTTTTACCGCTATTTCAGTGCAACATCATATGCCAACTGTACTGCTACGGGAGTGCGATCCCTACACCACTATCAGCATTTCCGAGTCTCGGGAATGATATCTGGCGATTGCTAATAAAAATCTCCACTACGGATTCCCGAAGCCGGATTATTCCCGAGAAAACCGTGTATCCCCACTGACGACTCCATATCTCGGCAGGTTTTTCCTCCAAGATAAGGAGATATAATTCAGGTGGATTCAAAGGAGGTGACTCACTCAGTTGTCTTTTACCTTTCTGGCATTTTCGCATTCATTTCAGTGCTTGATTTCTAGCATCATATAAAGACAAATCTTCCAGCACAATGCCGGCGTCGGATATCAGTGACACGGAGCTCCCTCCTCGATACAATTTCATCGATGACTACAGCGAGGGAGCTCATCCACAGATTCTGGAATCTCTGTTACGGACAAATACCACACAACAATTGTCCTACGGGACAGACGAGTTCAGCAATGAGGCCCGACAGCTGATACGGGAGAAGCTGAACGCCAGCGAGGATGAAGTTGCCATTCATTTTGTCCCTAGCGGGACGTCAGCCAATCTGATCTCGATTGCCAGCTGTCTACAACCCTACGAGGCCGTCATAGCTGTGGAATCTGGGCATATTGTCTCCAAGGAAGCCGGTGCGATTGAAGCCACGGGGCACAAGATGATCTTAGTCCCTGGAGTAAATGGGAAGATGACCCCGGAGAACCTGGAGCGCGTATTCCAGCAGAATCAGTTCTTTCCCCACATGGCCAAGCCGCGGCTGGTGTATATCTCCAACGCAACCGAGCTGGGAACGATCTACACCAAGGCCGAACTATCGGCCCTCTCAGCGGTTTGCAAAAGACTCGGATTGCTCATCCTGGTCGACGGTGCACGATTGGGTGTAGCGTTGAGTGCAAAGAACAACGACCTTACCCTGCGCGATATGCTCGACCTCACCGATATCTTCTGGATTGGCGGGACCAAGATGGGAGCACTGTTGGGTGAGGCGATCGTGGTCAAGAAGCATCTGGCCGAGGGCTTTGTGTTTCATCTCAAACAGCACGGGGCTCTGCTGGCCAAATCCCGTGTGATGGGTATTCAGTTTGTCGAGCTCTTCCGGACACATCTATTCTTCGATCTGGCGGCGCATGCGAACAACATGGCAGCGAAGATCTCGGCCAACTTTGAGAAGCTGGGGTACACGCTCGCAGCGCAGACCGAGACCAACCAAGTGTTTGCTATTCTACCCGAGCGGATGGTTCGCAGATTGCAGGATCGATTTGCGTTCTATATATGGGAGAAGCGCGAGGATGGACACGCGGTGGTTCGCATTGTGACCTCGTGGGCCACTGATGCCCTTCAAGTGGACAAGTTCAATAGCTGGGTACAGCAATGGACCGAGCTGGATGCATGATGAATATGATCAATGGCATTTGTGATGAGTTAGCGAGATAGACACTTTTCATAGCATTAATCTTAATGATCCTTCCATTTCTCTGAGGTACGGAGTATCAAGGACCAGATGGCGAAATATATAGAGACCACACCATTTTCAGAGCACATAAATACTTAGCAAATATTCTCCAAGCAGTTTTCTGTCTGCCTATCATCTAAGCATAAGCAAAGCAGCATGGATCTAATGATAGTTGATGTTAAGACTTTTCTGTCATATTCATATTCATCAAAAAAGAAGCATTCACTTGCCAACGCGCTTTACCCGATTTGGATGGATCTTAGTTATTCCCGCACAGTGAGTGAAATCATTTCCGACCACTGCAACCATCAGTACAACGGTGCTGTTGAAGATCATCATCACCAATTTAAGGAGCCTGACTACAATGACAGATCAATGAGTTGATCTTTTCGATTCAGCTCTTGGAAATGCGCCTTTCAGTGTCCTGCGATGGCTGCCGGTATGTCCTTCGTTATTCCGTGTGGTGATCCTCGGGAATCGGGAATAACATCCAAATGATCCAATCCATTGTGGCCTGGACCTTACCAATCGGATTGATTATTATTCGCTGATCATCATTGTTGTCGTGTATAGTCAAGCAAAGGTCAAATGCATCCATGAAGGCCAACCACCATGTCGTCGCTGTCAACGGGCGAAACTGACTGACTGTCTGTTGACGGATACATATTCCTCCCCGTCAAGGAGGTCCAAAAGAACCACCTTGAAATCCCAGAGACAGCGAAGGGTGATATCTGAACCAACAACCGCCCTTAATAGTCCTCCATTACCTCCTGAAGCACAACCGGACCATCCGTCGCCATGGTGCGCTGAGCATCCCATCGAGGCTTTGCCCTCATCCACCATCATTGCGGCGTGCGAGACCTACCGCAAGAAATTCCCCGTCGCCAATTTCCTCCACTATCCGTCTCTGATTGCAGATTTATCGTCAAATCCTGCGTCAGTTGATCCGGTCTTCGTTGCTGCTCTTTTGTCATTATGTGTGAGGTTCATGCCCGATCAAAGACTGGAAGCAGCCGAAATATATGCCGAATATGCTCGCAAACAGCTTGCGCATCGCGCGTTCGAGGCCCCGTCGCTCTATCTTGCGCAGTCTTTGGTGATGATCACCTTTTACGAATGGGGGTCCGGTCGTCCCTACAAGGCCTGGATGTACAGTGGTATGTTCACGCTTCGAATTCCCTATACAAGGCTAATGATTTCAGGTATGGCAACGTACATGATCCAGTCCCTCCTCAAGACGGCCGACGACAGCATGGAGCATAATCCTCAGGACTTCCACGCAAGCCAAACTCAGTACGAGCAGCTGGTCCGCACGTACTGGTGCTGTTTTGCGCAAGACTGCGAGCTGAGTTCCGGAGCGCGCCAGCATTTCGCCCTTTCCTTTCGACAGATCTCTGTTCCGTTGCCCACCAGTGACCGGGACTTCAACTTTGGTCGGCTTTCATCGCATCGCTTGATGCCGTCGGATATGAGCAAGCACTCACCGTTGTCAAGGAATCTGACCATCGACTATGGACTGACGATCGTCACCCGAGGATTCGATATCTTCGTGCGGATTCTGCGGTTCGCGAACGAGAGTCGGCGCGGCCGGACATTGACCTTTCCTCAGGATCCTTCATCGCCGCGAGTGGTCTGGCAGCGCTTGAAGGAGGAGCTGGACGAGTGGAGGTTTTTGCAGGATGTGACGGTGCGATACCCGGCCACCAGTGCGCAGGCGCATGTTGCGTTGGGATACGGCGAACTGTTCGCGTACATTAATCTGGTCTATTTCATGAGGTATTCCCAACCTTTCTGCCAACGCTTGAGCGGTTCTAATAACAGCTTAGTATTCTCTTTCTGTATCGAGACCAGTTCCTGTCCAGTCTCAAGCCTCACTCCGACTTGCTACATGATCTACAGGGCTCGAGCAATGTAGACGAATCACAGGCTATCCGGCAACTCTTCGAAGCAGCACAGAATATCGGCGGCATCCTTTCCGCCCTCGAAGTCTCTGGAGCACCGGTAATCACACCATACTCTGGATTCAGTATTTTCGTCGCGGCTCATATCAACATGTACGGGACCGTGTGTCCGCAGCGATATCCCGGGGGAATCGAGCGAGCGGAGGAGGAGAAAAAAGCCAACCTCTCATATCTCGAACGACTGAGCAGATACTGGCCTGTTGGACACAATTGGGTGAGCATCAACCTTTCCGCTTTGTGTTTGAGGGTGTAGAGGGCTGACAGACACAGTGGCGAACCGTCCAGGAAGCCAACAGGTTCTACGAAATAGCCAGAAACAATCAGACGCACGTTCGTGAAGAAGCGGGCCATCTCACGATCGCGGGGACCTTGGACGAATACGGTGATATTCGAAGTGTACATCCGCGCCAGGAACTGTCTCAACAAATGTTGCAGGGGGGAGTAGAGACAAGGGGTCGGAATAATCATCAAGCCTTGGGGAGTGATGGTCGTCATCATGGGACAGAATCGAGGGATGCAGTGCCCTTAAGTGAATCTCACGAGCTAGAGGTGGAAATGCTCCAGTGGCCATTCATTGATGAATCATGGTCGCTGGGCTTTGACACTGGGTTTGATGCTGCGTGGCCATCCTTGGGAGCTAGTTCATAGAAAGCATCGAAGGCTTCAAGCTTGAGAATGGAATATGGTATGGTCGAATTAATAAGGTAGTAATCCCGGTTTAGTTCCCCGATTACACCAAAAGGCAGGCCACAGAGCAGCTTCGGCGGCTGAGACTGTCAGAATCCCAGATCACACGTCCGGTAGACGATGCTGGCTCCTTTAGGCAACTTCAAGACGAAGAACGGGGAACACTAGAGTGAGGAAAACGACTTGATCAGCAGCCGAATACGAGGTACAAAGCCTCATCAATGACACCGGAACTATCCAGCCGAGATTATCGGAGATGACTGCAATTGGACCAGCGGATGCTGAGCGCTGATCTGCGGCATGGAGCGTCATTTCTTCGAGGAGGGATGTCATAACAACCCATGCGCCAAGAGCTTAAATCTTAATTGTCGTATTCGAACAAGCGGCAGGACGATCAACACAGCCTCGTTGCATAGCTCGTATCTTATTTTGACTGCCTTTTTGGGCATGGAGTGTCGGGCACACCCAGGTGCTCGTATTGCTTGTGTGTATAAAGGAGAGGCGTGGCAGTATGTCCATGCCCCAATCCAATTCAATATTGCAATTTCCTCGTTTATATCGCACCGGTCACTATGAAGAATCTATTCCTAAACTTTTTCTTTGTCGCAGCAGCAATTGCTGCCCCCGATTCGCGCCGCTGTCGATGCCAACCTCATCAGCCCTGCTGGCCGTCACCACAACAGTGGAATGCCCTCAACCGCTCGATTGACGGCAATCTCGTCGCAGTGCAACCTGTTGCCGCCCCCTGCCACATAGACCCCAATAGCACTGCTTGCCAGGAAGTCACGGCGCAATGGTCCAACTCCGTCTGGCGCGCTGCTCAGCCCGGTGCCGTGCAATGGGAGAACTGGGAAGCCTGGCCGGAACACAATGAGAGCTGCTATCTCGAGACTGCGTCGGATATGCCGTGCAAACAGGGGCGTGTCTCCCTCTACTCCGCTGTGGTCCAGTCCGCGCGCCACATCCAGGAGGCTGTGCGGTTTGCAAAGCGGCACAACATCCGACTTGCGATCAAGAACTCCGGCCATGATTTTCTTGGACGCTCGGCGGCTCCGAACTCTCTTCAGATCCTGACCAACCGAATGAAAGGAATCCAAATCGTGGATGATTTCGTTCCGAAGGGGGCGCCGAAACATAAACGTGAAGGTCCCGCTGTGACGCTGGATGCGGGCATCAGTCTGCAGGAGATGTATACTGCTCTTGGCAAGCGGAACAGGGCAGTCGTGGGGGGCTCTGCTCATACCGTTGGGCCGGTTGGAGGATATATCCAAGGGGGCGGTCATTCCTTCCTAGGGCCATGGAAGGGGATGGCGTCGGATCATGCCTTGGAGTTCAGTGTCGTCACGGCGGCTGTGAGTTTGATCATTCTTCTCGGTGTGATGCATATCACTGACGCTGCTACAGGGAGATCTAGTCACTGCCAATGCCTACCAGAATTCGGATCTGTTCTGGGCACTGCGGGGAGGTGGAGGAGGCACCTTTGGCGTCGTCACCAAAGTCACCGTACGTACATTCGAGGAAGTCCCCCTCGTCATCACCACCATGAACATCACCACCGCCGGTGGAGATCCTGCCTTTTGGACGGCCGTCTCCGACTTCCATGCTGCGCTACCAGCCTTGACCGACGCCAGAGGAGGCGGATACTACTTCATGCTTCCGAATCTGCCATGGGCGCAGAATCAGAGCCTCTCGGTGTTGTCATTTATGCTCTTCCACGCAAATGCAAGCAACACGACGCAGATTGACCAGGTCTATCAGCCCCTGTTGAAGACCCTCAATGCGACCGCCGGCGTGTATAGTCAGTACACCTCCTTTGCCATGCCCAGTTTCCACGAGGCAATTGCCAAGCTTTTGCTTCTCGGGGATTCGGACGTGACCGGTGGAGTCAGCCTGCTCGCCTCGAGGCTGTTCTCGAGAGACCTCCTCGCCTCCAAGGACGGACCGGGCAGGCTCGTTTCTGCCATGAGGAAATTCCGCTATGCGCCCGGGGAATCCGTCATCGGCAACGTGGTGGGAGGCGGCGCCGTGGCAGAGAACGCTGGCAAAGTGGACAGTGCCCTCAACCCGGCTTGGAGGAAGACGCTTGTGCATGTCGTGTACAGCCGCCAGTGGAGCGCCAATGCCACTCTGGCGGAGCAACAGGCCATCATCAAGAATGTTACGGATGTGGAGCTGCCAATCCTGCAGGGAGTCGAGGGTGCAAACGCGATGGGCGCGTACGTGAACGAGGCTAATGCCTACGAACCCAATTTCCAAGAGTCCTTCTGGGGCAGAAATTACCCTCGTTTGTACAAGATCAAACAGAAATGGGATCCGGCTGGTCTTTTCGTCGCGCGCAAGATGGTTGGCAGCGAGGATTGGGATGGTGAGGGGCTTTGCCGGGTTGCAAAGTGAAGCACTTCGGTTTGTCACGCCGATCTTCTGTCGAGATATAATTCTCAGAAGATCCACCGACATTGCGCGTGTAGGCTTTTGGCCGAAGGGTAACCTCACTCAAGCTGTTTGGGAACTGTGCGAAGCCCCATGTGGTAGAGAGTAGAAGTCTTCAGTTAACAGCAGGATTTTCGATATCTTTTGGTAATAACTTGATGTCAGTACAGTGTCAAGAAGCTCTTTTCCCTGTCAAGATTGATATGTCTGGACCAGCCAGCTTGCATTTCTGAATGGACCTGCACATTCTTGGATATGCAGAGACATACCAAGGGCCTCCGATCCTCTTCTCACGTATCTACCATGATATTGGCACTATCAATTTCCGCTTGCCCGTTTCAATGCTTCCAACAGAGAGATTAACCATTGAGGATGTCTACGCCAAGTATCCCCAGCGGAATGCAGCAAAGCCACTATGCCAGGGCTCGGCGGATTCATGATTGGCGTCGACGGTTTAAACATTGCGCCACCAAACCGCGATTTGCTGGCGGGACAAAACGGTGCTTCAATGCTTCCCAATGAGGCCAATAGTGATGCAGTGGCGCATTGCCTTGGATATAGCTGGCTTCGAGATGCGGGGTCAATGTCTGTGCTCATGAAGACTTTCGAAGGATACATGAGCTATTGAATTTCAATGCATATCCAGGTAGCAAGGGATAGAGGTTATGACAGGCGACAATGGTATGATCCCTACCAAGGGTGTAATGCTATGATTCTAAAAATCGTCAAGAAAAAACACCCAGATTGTAATAAGACCCATAGGATCGACTGGGTTGGAATATCATCGCATCAGGCCACGTCAAATGACCAACGGCCCAAGACCATCTCTAGCATTCCACCACATCTCCTCGCACGATGCCATTGGTCTTCTGGTCGTATTTGCTTTGGTCTTGTTCTCATGATCCGGGATTGTTGCCATATAAAAGAGCTGTCAGAGTACCTGCATTGCACTCATTGATCTACGCTACTATACTATACTATATAGTCATCTCTGCCGTCCATCGCATAGAAACATACCCCACCCATGATGACCATTCCATATCCCTTCCTGGCCCCAGACTGCTATGGGATGGGAGTTCCCAGACAGTCCTGGCAGGACAGAAACCCTCGACACCTGGACCGCGCTCATGTGGAAGCTGTGTTTCGCGAGATGAAGTCGCACAAACCTCAGACAGACCTGGATCCGAGGAAAGAGATGCCAAACCACACAGGTTGGAGAGAGAAACTCTTACTGAAGTATGCCTTGTCTTCCCTTTGCCTTGATCTTTGGCTTGACTAAGAAACGTAGATGCAAAAAATTCGGCCGAGGATGACCCATTCTATGACTCGACATGATTAGCAATGAGCGACTGTGCTCAATGGTTTGATACGATTAATCATAATGTATATACCATTCGTTCAGTTATTGATGGATATAATTCATCGCCAGTCTTCATTGCACAGCGATCGAAGATGACAAATCTTAGTCCTAACATTTTACCCCTGGAGATTGTTCTATTGATTCCTGCTCTGAGTCATTCAGAATGCTCTTGGTGTGCAGTCTCATTGCCACTCTGATCCATCTCAAAGACAAGAAGCGCAGATGGGCCTCGTCACAGGTGTCCTTTCCCAGCAGGAAGGAAGTTAGATACTACGATATCAAATTCTAGGCGATGATTAATGTAGTGTCCTGCCTACCGCAGTAATAAGGATGATACATGTGAAGCCCTGACAGTGATTACAATCCATGATTGGACATGTTACTACCTAAACTTATAGTCAATTTCAAATCTCCGAGCTGATACCTGACCCTGTGGAAACGTTGGGAACTCCTCCTTGGATCTGAGTAAAATCCACATTTCTGACTCGACAATGCCATTCTCCATCAGCAGCCTCAGGCATGGATATCAATACTAATTGACATGAGCGGCAATCTCTGTTCTCAATGCGCGCCGTATACACGCGGTGACGATCTTCGGGAATCCGCTGCTCCAACGGCAGATGAGCCACCTCTGCTTCTTCGATCTGCACAATGATCCGTGCGATGATCGCATGTTGGTGCATACTCCACAGTCCTTCCTTTTGGGGGCCACGGTACAGCAGGTTGATCGCCTTTCGCCGGAGCAACGGATTGCGACACTTGCTAGCCGTGTAGCAGAGTGAGGAGATGAGTCCGGTCTCTAGTGAAAAGACAGTCAGCAGGGCGTCCTTGTCCAGCGACGCGTTGAGCTCGATCAGCTCCTCGGCGTACGCAAGAATGGCCCTAAAATCGTCCTCGAGCTGGTCAAATATGAGCTCATCTCTGGAGAGGGAGGCGTCCAGCCAAATTCGGGTGGTGCGGTGATGGATGCGGAGCAGCACTGGTCCTCGAGGATCAATCTGCTTGAGGCGTCTGCCACACCTCTTCAACAGACGGTCGAATGCGCACAGCCAGGCGTCGAGATCTTGGAGGAGCGCTTGTTGCCGACGAACCTGCCAGGCTGACCCTCTCGTCTTCCGGTCGATACCCACGGCCTCCACGAAGCTCATCGTGCGGTTGATCAGTACATCGAGTGAATATCGAGCCGTTGAGATATCCGACCAGCACTCTTGCTTTCCGAGTGATTGTGCTTCGTCCGGTTGGCGGAGATTGAGAGGAATCATCTTCCTTCCATGCATGGAGAGCTGGATGTTCCAACGGACCACCATATAAGTAAGTTCTTCGGTAATCCCTTCCGACTGCAGTCTTCCATCTGTTTCATTCTCCCATCGCTGAAGAATCTTCAGTCCAGCTTCAATATGATCCAGAGCTTTCTTAAGCTGTCCACTGAGAATCTCCACGCAGACAAATAGACAGCAGGTGATCAGCGTCAGATGCGGCACCTGGTTTGCGGATGACATTTGTGCCACCAAATGCCGGATCGCCGAATTGTACTGCTGGATGACGAACTGCTGATTTTGGGCTGAAATCTTCTCCCGGGGATCACATCTTTCTTTCGAGAGAACTACATGCACATGTTGATGAAGAGCTCCAAGAGCGACGGCTGCGTGCCGGACGGCGGCCTCGGAGTGACTCAGTTGGGGCAGGAAATACCGCCAGAGATCAGAATCGAAGAAGCCTGAGAGGGCGCGCGATGTCCGGGTGCAGAAGAACTCGACATACTGCCGTTCTTCTCGAGTCCCCGGACGCAAGACCAGGCGATGGTCGGTGCTGGGTTTGGTCCAGGCTTCGGGGATGGAATCGACTATGGCTCTCTTCTGCGCCTGTGGGTTTGTCTGGTTGGGATCGTATCCATCACATTTGCGTCCTGTTTTGACGCACTGTAGACATTCTGGCTGGTGTTCGTCGCATTTGACATGACGGATTCTGGGAGAATTAGTAGGTGTCAACCGGAGGCGTAGAGATAACGGACTTGCAGGTGATGCACCCTCGTCTGGATTTGGTGTGTTTGGCTCTTGTATGCTTCATGGCTTTCATACTACATTCAACGAAGCTGGAAATATCATCAAGGGTTTGGGGATGGTGATTATCAATCATGGGTGGATTTCATGCGATCCAGAGTGACGAGTCTAGACGCATCACAGCCACACACGATGGATTTTAGTGCTTACTTTTCCGGCGAAAAATAATCCTTTGACCCAATCATTACCTTGATAGTAGACATGGACAGATACATCATTATCCTCATATCTTTGATACTTGAGGCGCTCTTACGGATCTTCTGAAGGACATCGGTAAGCTGCGGGATTCTCAATCGAGTAGCCGCTCCCTTCTTCTGTCAGTAAGATCAGATTCAAATGAAACGAAAAAGTCGTATGCCTCAGCCAAATACGGAGTCATCGAGTGCGCTGCATAGATAGGGCTGTGAACGTTGCCTTATTGAGTTCTATCGGCTTGGCTTGTATTCCGACGGTGAAGTATGAATCAACGAGTAGAATTACTTAGAGCAGCATGGACTATTCACAAAACTCATATCCATCAAACTGTAGCAACAACGCCGTCGTCTACAGACCTCGCATCAACGCATTGAGCCAAAACCTGAAACGCCGTCAGAATTTGCTCCCGTTCCTCCTTCCAAATGCCTTCATCCTCCATCACCCCCAGATCCACTCCCCTGGCTGCTCGGCCCGTAAACTCCTTCGTGGGAAACATCAAAGCCACAAGAGGCTCCACAGGCTGCATACGAAGGCCCTGCAGAACCTGATACAGCTGCTGAGCGGCCTTGCCACCGCCATGTCCGCCGTAGCTGACAATCATGCCGGGTTTTCCCTTCCATTCATGGAACAGATAGTCGATGGCGTTCTTGATGCTGGCCGGATAACCCCAGTTGTACTGCGGTGTGACGAAGATGAATCCGGCGTGCGAGGCAATCTCCTCGGACCATTTCCTGGTCAGCTCGTGCGTGTATCCGTCCGACGAGGTGATGAGCGATGGGATGCCCGGTTCATCGTACATGGGGAGATTCCAGGTAGCTAGGTCGATGAGTCGCAGGTTGGCGGTCGGATATGCCTTCTGGATGGTGTCTAGGACGAACTGGGTGATTTGTAGTCCAGCGCGGGGGACCCGCTGGCTGCAGACGATAATTCCGATCGTTGGAGTCGACATTCAGTCGGTTTGATGGTGACTGGAGTAGTGCGCTTGCTTGATCTGATATGACTCGTCCACAAGGCAGTGTATTCGGTTGCTTTGAGACAACGGCATCTCACCCATTATTTATGTCAAAGATCGGCCGAGGATATACGGACTACTACTAGTTTATTATCGGACATAAGCAGGAGTCAGTTCGGCATCGGCGATAACAACTAACAAGCCCGTACATTCGCCCGGTCCAGGCAACGATAACAAGGCTCATTTCAGCTTGAATGATGGCTACAGGCAGCCATTATTTTCATCGTCTCTCGGACATGCTGATGGGGTACGATGCATCCATTCCAGCGTCCGCCGACAGGTTCATCCCGCCTGCTGCCATTAATGGTACCTTTACTGAAGTAGCATGGTGCGTTGATGCCATGCGCCCGTCTGCGAATATTTCTATTGGTTCTTCTCTCACGAAACCCTCTTCGCAGCGACGGGAGACTCTAGGGACGGGTGGAAGAAGCGTATGAGGAGGATCTGGAGGATTTGCTTTGAAAAGTTGTCGATGGCACTGACGCTGTCCGGGTCTACCCTATCTACAATCTTGCCCTTGAAATGAGATGGACAACGGTCGAAGAGGCGGTGATTTCATGAGTATGCATGGTTGATTTGATTCTTATAACAACATATATACCCCTTGCTCAGCGTTTACTTCGAAGTTCAGCCACTATCCAACTGCAAGGGCCTATGCACTGATCTCAGTCGAAGGAATCACAGTGGCAAACGCATCGGCGAGTTCACTGAGAACCACCGAAACGAGAGTCTCGGCCTTGGTCACCGGGATATCTCTATCACCCACGGCATCACCGGCGATGATCACATCATAACCGCGCTCACTGCCCGCTCGAGCCGTTGTCGACACACAGACATGCGCCATATATCCCACCAGGACGATCTTCTTTCCCACATCTCCGAGACCCTTCAGGTATTCATCGAGATCGGTTTGGGCAAAGGAACTCGGAAAGTGCTTGGTGACGACCTTCTCGCCGGCGCGCGGCGTCAACTCCTCGAATTCCTCGGCGAGTGCGGTGCCGGGGGTGAACACAGGGGCGCCCTGGGGTGTCTGATGGACAACATGGACGATGTTCTTGCCGTCGCCACCGGTACGGTACTTGGCTAGGAGGTTCGCGATCGCCTGGCGCGTCTGGGAGACGTTCTCGGTCTTAAGCTTGCCGGTGGCGTATTCGTTCTGGGCGTCGATGATGATCAAAGTCGAATCTTTGACAGAGGCGGTCGATGGAGGGACTCCAATTATTTGACGGAACGACTGTGCTGAGGACATTTTTCAGATCGTGAGAATTATAGGGGAATGGAGGTTGCAAGGGGAACAACAGCAGTGCGGGGAAAGATGCTGTGATATATGATGAAATGCCCCCCGCCACAAACTCAATCGGAGCATAACAACCTGACAAATCTTCTCAGGGACTTTGTTGAGACCTTCCTCCTTGGGTTACATTATCCGCCAAGCCTTGCTACCTTGGGTCGGTCATTAATTCATATCCCGACTGCGATGACAGCTGGACCAGGCCTCTTTTGGGACTCTATTCCTGTCTATTCTTCAGGAGACGGCATCGAAAGGCCAGAATGCGTTGAGTTCTATAAGAAGAATCATCTAATGCAGGGGGTCTCCATCCGTCAGGTTTACAACACAGGTACCTAATCTCAGCAGGAAAAGTGCGGGTGTTATTGTTCACGGTGTAGCAGCAGCGTCGCTGATCTCGACATTCGTCTCGATCTGCGTCGTAGTCCAGATCTTCCCATTCGGCACCACGATCCTCTCCTCGCTGGAATTCCTGCGGTACCCTGTCCCAATCTGCGTCATCATGTCCTCCGCCTCCTTGGTCCTCAGTGAGGTCAGTGTCACACTGTCTTTGAACCGTGAGAATCCCGAGCGCGTTTGTTTGGATCCCGTCAGTTTGGACGCGGATCCATATTTGCGCCCGGATGAGTACTCGCCGATGAGTCGGGGGAGGAAGCGGGAGGCAATCGGCTTGAAGGAGGGGATGGAGGCGGCCAGGATACCGACGTTGGTCTCAATCACGGACCAGTACATGGCACCGCTGATGGCGTAGGTAAAATCGGCCGAGGTTAACATGGTGGGGATGTAGGTAATGCGAATAATTGAGGAGATGCAGGCACTAGGAGAGCGTTCCTGTCAGAGTGGATCAACACCGGTGAGATCGATCGAGATACTCACAAAAGACCCAGGCAGAGGATGAGAACGAGAGCAAACTTCTGCTTGAAGGGCATCTGCAGCTTGAAGATGACTTTGATAGGGAGCGTGTAGGTGAGCAAATCGGTCAGGATGTTCAAGGCCGCGTTGGAGAGATAGAAGATATTGATCTCAACACAGTGACCGGGCAAGGACGCGTTCCAGGCTTTAGGGATGGGTCGACACTGAAACGCTGCAACCATGACGAATACCGCAACCTTGGTGCCGACGACGCCCATCATGATAAAGGACATTCGGGTGAGCGTCTTGTCGCCGATGCGGGTGTAGAACCAGCAGACAGATGTTTTGATGAAGCCCAGACAGGCCAGGTAGAACATCGAGCTGAGCCATACGACCTGTCATTGTCAGAGGTTGCAGATGACTATTTCTTTTGATGGCGCATACGAAAGAGTAGGAGACCAGGTTGTTCTTATCCACATCGACAAGATGAGAGCCCAGTCCTTTCTGGACAGCTGTTGAGAGTCAGTGGCGGAGTATCAGGGACGAATCGAATGTTGTACTGACAGACGATAGTCACAGAGATGAAAGCCCAGGAGAAAAACTGCGCGTGTCAGTATGGACGCTCAATTGACTGGTCCCAGGTCCCTTACGCATGCACACAGGATCAAGTCTTCGAATCAGTCAACCTTCTTTCGGCCAGCGTTTCACAGTAGACAAACTTAAAATCATCCACGCCTACCCGTTCCAGGACGACGACTCGAGCAAACATTCGCAGACAGATGACCACAAAAGTAACGACTGCAAAGGCAATGGCAATGCCGACCACCACTGGCCCTTGAGAGTCGGACGCCATGATGGTTGGTCTGGGAATGCAAAAGAGTGACAGGACGACGGAAGGACATGCTGAGAGGGAAGGACTTGTTTTATTTATTCCTCTCACACCTGGAGCATCAGGTCGAAATCTCGAGATCATGAACAGTGACTGATCGTCGCGTAGGAGCGGTGGAGACTGGAGACCAACATGATATATCAGATTGCGAGCAGGGATCATGCGACAGTAGTTACATCCTGCCAGAGCTGCAGGGGTAACTATCTAGGTTATTGCTGCTATAATGCACAAAGTAGAAGGATCTATGATTATTTGAATTCCTGAACTGATTTGAAGCAGCAAGGCCGGACACCGGAGACAGAGAAATGACTCGTCTTATTTGTTTCTCCTATGCTCGAATGTAACTGCTGTCAGGAACACTTCCGGTGTGATTCTCTTTGCTGATATCGACAGGGATTGTACTTGATGTTGGACCTACTCCGTAGTTATAACAATGGAGAGGTCCGAAGAGAAGGCCCTGAGTAGGTGGGAGTGTGCAGTAGTCCATGACAAGCAACGATATTATTAGCCACTGATGTATGGTAGTGGATTCGACGGACAGAAATTGAAATAAGTTCTTTTGTCTGAGACTGTCTCCACAAGACAGAATCGAGCTGGAAGCTGGCGATCAGTTTCATCTTTGGATGTCCTGGTAACATCGAGTCAACAATTGCATTGTGGATGTCTCATAGGAAGGGAAAAGGCATCTCAAGCATCACGAACTCCGTATGCGTCCAGTTGGTACTTCCAGAATTGACCGTTTTCAGAGGAAATTTCCGAGCATGGCCATGTCCATCTGGTCCATCTAGGACAAAAGTCCATGACTCTGTTCCGCCTCACTTCATACGCGAAACTACAGAGAGACATGAATTTCCACATCACCGTTGGGCCCGAGATCTGCATTCGGCATCACCCTATCATGCTCCCAGAATAGCTCGCTAAATATTAGCGGAGAGGGGCCGGAATCGCCGATCTGCCAACGGTCGTCTCGCCCATTTTCCTCCTCCAGCTTAGACTGGAGATGTCATTCTCCTGTCTCGCCTCTCGACCATCAACCACTGGGTCTACAGAGTCAATGACAGCGGTTTGCGAGTCAGAGAGTAACGATTCCCACTCCGTGAGTCCGTGTGTTCAATAATACAAGGTCCATCGACGAGCAGGGATGTTATTGACTGCTCCAATGACTGTCAGCTTCATCCACCTCTATACATTAGTCGACGTGCTACTGACAGCGTCCCAGGCTCCCAGCCCGTTGATCAACCCTGCTTCTTCACCTCTGACTCGCTGCATGAATCATTCAGCCTGCTGCAACCTCAAATCGAGACTCAAGCAGTCGAGCTAAAGCGACCGGATGAGAGAATGGCTTTGTACAATTCGTACTCACTCACTAGTATCTGGCACCGGTGCGCTCAGCGCTCCTCCACCCCCTCCTCGCCAACACGATGAGCATCTACATGGCCTTTGCACGGTCGCAATCAGGGCGCATTGGCCTGATGGGAAAGGTGGCCTCGGAATTGATCGCAAGGCCTTGGTTTCAGTGTTCTGCGTGCCCAATTCTCCTTTCACTTGAACCAATCCCACTCATCGAGTCACCACCATGGGTCTGGGGGAAGAGTTCCTCGCTAGAATCACCTTGATCAACGTGGTTCTGGGTCTTGTGGCGTATGTGTTGCTCCGATTCGCCTACCAGATTGTCTATTATCACTTTTTTCACCCGTTGTCTGTCTTCCCCGGGCCCTTCTGGGCAGGAGTGACCAGACTTTGGATCGCATGGCACAATCTCCGCGAGACTGAATTGCCTACCGTGTATGCTCTCACAAAGAAATATGGTATGGCGAACAACCTCGTCACCAGGTCCTCGGAAAGAGCAGATGCTAAATGATCTTCTGAGTAGGCCCTGTAGTGCGAATAACTCCCACGCTCCTCCTCGTCAGCGACCCGACCAAGCTGCCGGGCATCTACCATCGCAATGCCGACAAGACGGGACACTACATTACTGGGACCTTTGGCGAGACTGAATCGCTGTTCAACATGCGATCGCATAAGACACACGCGGCTTTTCGGAAGCACGTTGCGGGACCGGTAGGTTTATGCCAATGCGACCAACGGCGACAACGACCCCGGCGTTGACAGCCTGCAGTACAGCTTTACCAACGTAAAGAAGATGGAGCCCTTGGTCGACATCCGCGTTCAAGCTTGGATCAACAAGCTCGACCAAACATTCGCACAAACGGGGGAGACCTTTGATTTCTCATGGTGGGCTGTGTAAGCATCAACGGACGCATTCGTGAGAGAGACGTGAGAGACTCCTGGGACTAACTGTGATGACATTCTGCAGCTACATGGCGTACGACATAATCAGCGAGATCGGCTTCGGCGCCCCCTTCGGCTTCGTCGAGCAGGCCCAGGACGTAGGCGGACTCATTCAGGGGTTCCACGATGGTCTGCCGGCATTCGGTCTCCTGGCTCGTCTGCACCCTTTCACCAGCTGGATGAAGACCACGTTCATGAAGAAGTACCTCGTTGCCACTCCCCAGGACGATTCAGGCATCGGCGTTCTCATGCGCTTCCGCGATCGCCTGATCGATCAACGGTTCCGCGAGCTCGAAGAGAAGAAGGACATCGGTCGCATCGACCTCCTGCAGAGCTTCATCGAAGCGCGCACCGAGGATGGGTCCCCTTTCGACATTGAATATCTCAAAGCCGAGGTGCTGCTGGTCCTGCTTGCGGGGGCCGATACGACCGGCACCGTCTTCCAGGCCATGATGCACTTCCTGCTCACCCATCCCGGCGCCTACCGTCGTATGATGGAGGAAATCGACGCGGCAACGGCCCAGGGACTCCTCTCCGACCCTGTCCCGCAGTACAACGAAATCGTTGACCACCTCCCCTACTATGTGGCGTGTGTTCGCGAGACGCTGCGGCTCAACCCCCCTGCCCCAAACATATTCCCCCGGTATGTCTCGGAGCCTGGTCTGGACCTTTATGGGAAGTTTGCGCCAGCGGGGACGGAGGTCTCAGGCAACCCGTGGATTATGCAGCGAGACAAGAGGATGTACGGGGAGGATGCGGAGGAGTTCAAGCCGGAGCGCTGGCTCGACGCTGAAAAGGCCAGGGTGTACAACAAGTATAGCTTCACATTTGGCTACGGGGCCCGAGTGTGTCTGGGTAGGGATATTGCTATGATGGAGCTGTACAAAGGACCATTGCAGGTTGGTAGTCGGTATTCCTCCGACTGTTTTGAGACTAATGTTTGTGTCTATCAGTTTTTCCGCCGATTCAATGTCAAGACCGTGAGCGACAAACCAGAGGCTCGATTCGTGATCAAAGGAGGAGTTGGTTTCTATCGCGATCTATGGCTGACAATTGATCGTCGTCTGCCAGAAAAGGCAACATGAAATGACTTTCGGATACAGATCTAAACCACTACTGATCAGCAAGATTTCCGTTGACCTCCTTTAGTGTACATGTCCTATGGCAAACACCTGTGCTTACCTGTATCTCATACTTCAAACATGACACGAATGAACTGGCGACTTTCTGATGTTGGATGTGTGGATACAGATTGACAGCCGATACTATGCAGCTGCATGAATCGCCAAGAATGTACACAATCACTAATGTTGTTCCTCCACCTTGGGCAGTATCCGCGAGTCAATGCACGCTTTTCAACCTTTTCCCTGCTTCTATACTCAGTATCTATCACAGCATCTTCCTTGCGTCGTTGACTGATCAGATAATTGCCATGCGCGATCGCCACGGTCCACTATGATGCTTTCCCTTGCTTCGTGAGGGGATCGGCGCACTCTCAGATTGACTTGAGATGTGTCAAAGGGTCCAAAGGATCAACCTCTGATAGTTATCTATGCATTGGACGTTCATGCAGATAGAGTGCAGGATGCGTCTGTTTGCGCCTTCGAGAATTCCCCCTGGATTTCTGGAAGTACAACATCCACATCTCATGGCTCAGACCTGCAGTCTTCCCTGCAAATATGCCCGTATGACCGGTCAGAACTCAAATTACGAAGTGAAAGCAGAAACCCGTTATTGGTCGTTTTGGTCGCCTTGGTTCCTGCTTGACTCCATCACCGGCTCCACAAAGCAATGTCTTGACTTTTGACTCCTTGACTGACTTCGAACCCGACTTCAGCCAGTGACCATCGACTGTCAGACCACGAAACATCTTTGGAATTCACAGGCCAGTGGCATGGACATCTCTGATGCATGTTGAGTACCTGTTGAATTCTTCTTTTCTCTCTCGCAGTGGGCCTTTGAGTTTGCGCGGAAAGGACCGGCGTGTCAGAAGCGGCCCGAAAGCGTCCCATTCGCCCATTTCCACTCTCCTCGAGGCCCAGACGGAGCAAACTAGCAGAATATGGTTGGATATTATTCTCCCACCGTGTCATTGGCGTCGTTCTGTTTATCCCCACTGTCGACCGGGATTTGATCCAGAAAGGGAAGTAGTTCCCTCTGTCTGCGTCTGCCAGTGGTATGGGACGGGATGATCTGGAGGGGTTGCAGAACCTCGGGTCGCGTCCACAAGGGAGGGTGACTAGGTGACAGGTTCCTTTATCTATATGATGAGTTACATCTTGACGCTCCTCGTTCATCCATTGTCGTTATTTTGAAATCCACAAATCCGAAAGCATGGCAGCAACAAGCACCATCCAGGTGCCCCATCTGGGCGGCATCACCGCCGGTTACGCTCTGTCCAACGACCGCTACGACCCCTCCAAGCCGACATGCGTCCTGATCAACTCGATGTGTACGACCGTCTCCCTCTACCGCGATCAATTCAGCGATGTCGCCCTCACAGACACCATGAACCTGCTGGCCATCGAGCCCCTGGGCCACGGTTCGACCAGCTGCCCGTCGGAACACTTTACATACTGGGATTCGGCCTTGATGGCGCTGCAGGTGATGGAGAAACTAGGCATTGACAAGGCCTTCGCTCTGGGAACGAGCCAGGGAGGATGGATTGTGACGCGCATGGCCTTGTTGGCTCCCGAGCGGGTGGGAGGCCCCTTGCATACATGAACTATCTGCTAGTGTGAGGCGCCGCGTTAAAACTAATGCCTGTCTACTCTCTATCTAGATCCTCGGCCTGATGCCATTGGGAACCTCGATGGATTACGAATCGGCCGACTCCCGATCGAAAGGCTGTTGGGATCCCGTCCCCGCCCTCCGGCCCTTCTACGAGAAATGGACCAGCGCCGTTGCGACTCCGGAGTTTGTGGTCGACGATGTCTGGTGTGGCATGGTCGGTGGCATTGGGTTCGGCGCCAGTGCGACAGAGGAGTTGAGTGCGTTCTGGACAAAGACCGTAAAGGAGGTCTACAAGGGAGACGAAGGCCGAAAGAAGGTTCGCATGGCAGTGATTTGCCTGCTGTCGCGCGATGGACTTTTGATGAGACTGGGTGATATCAAGTGTCCGGTGTTCTGGTTACAGGTGAGTCGCTCCCATACGTTATGGACTGGTAATATCGTAGGACTGCTGCTAAGATGGGCGCCAACAGGGCACCGAGGATACTCCGTTTGGCAAAACAGTCCCAGCAGAGCAGATCAAACTCTTCAGCTCGTCCCCAGAGGCCAAGCTTGTCATGATCGAGGGAGGAGCCCATTATCTGAATGCCACCAATCCAGCTGAGGTGAATGCTGCCCTGTTGGAGATGGTGAACAAGTATAAGTAGGGGTGTAAATAGCCTGAATAGATGATCATCATGCATTTGTAGCTCTATTCTTTCAATTAGACGGACGACCGGCACCCGAAATGGCATATCAACTGCCGGATAGTCAGGAACCTTGAAAATTCCCCCACAACTCACAGCACTCGGCCGACTTTCACACTCGCAGACTAGCACAGACAGAGTTTACAAATACGACCAGTGGAACCAAAAACACCCGTTTATGTCTGGATTCATAAAGATGACTTTCATACTAGTGCAGAGTTTCCCTTTTCGAGGAATCACACCCTGCACTCTCCACTTTGCCACGCTGTGTGCCCACTCCCGAACGCGAGGATCGACTATTCTGCAGCTATAACGGGCTAGGTCCACCTTACTGACGTCTCAACGGCCAATTGACTTCTCTGGTCCGTCGAATGAACATCCCAAACACGCATGGTAGCTTCCCGCCTAGCAAGGGGCTACTCGTTAGTCTTGCTCGGGATTCGACGACGGCCTTGGTGGCTGCAGCCCAAGACTGTCCAGCATTCTGCGGAAATCCGGAATCGAGGAATCATCCCATCATGCTGGAGAAAATCTCGACAGTTCATTTCTCAAAAGGAGTATAGACTGGAATCCTCCTGTTTGACCATGGCCCGTGGCCGTGAAGGATTCAGGTACGAAAGAAGAGAGGTCATTCGAGGGAATCGGTTATAAACCCGGCCACTTTGGGTCTAAAAGCGCCATTGTTTCCGTTCTTCCCGCCGCAGTCGAGCATACCACCGGTCTCTCTCATGTGGTGATCACTCAGAATGGCGGATGATGAAGACACCCTGCAGCCATGGGTGACTGCGACCACCGCTTCGGTGACGGTGCTCGCCTTCATCATGGTCTGTCTGCGGCTTCTGGCCCGATGGGAGAGGAAGCAGAAGTTATGGTGGGATGACTGGATGATTGTATTCTCCATGGTAGGTTTACAGTCTTGATAAAGTGACCTCGGCTAATATGCGTAGGGCTGGAACCTGGTCGTCGTCGGCTTCATCTTCGCCATGATCAAAGAAGGCATGGGCCTGCATGCCGACATCGTCCCCATCTCCAACGTGGTCATGATCGCCAAGTTCCTCGTCGTGGCCGAGATTCTCTACGTCTTCAATCTGGTCTGGACCAAGCTCAGCATTCTCCTGATGTACTACCGTATCTTTCGTTTCCCCTACTTCAAGCGCTGGGCCTACATCATCGGCACCTTTGTCATTCTTTGGGTCATCTGCATCACTTTTCTTTTTATCTTCATCTGTGTTCCTGTCCAGAAGCTGTGGTATCCCAGTCTGCCCGGACGGTGTATCAACCAAGTCGGGACCTGGATTGCGAATGCGGCATCGACCATCATGACCGATCTGGCGATTCTCATTCTGCCTATGCCACAGGTCTGGAAACTGCAGCTGCGTTTGTCCGAGAAATTGGCACTGACCTTTGCATTTGGTCTGGGATTTTTGTATGTGGCTCCATCATCGTGGTGTGACCAAAGGTTGATTGATTGTAGTGTCGTTTTTGCCTCGGCCTACCGGTTCAGCGTCCTCTTCTCGTACACCTCCGCCGACTCGTCCTATACCCTCGCGCCAACCGTCGGCTGGACCGCCATCGAAATGTCCGCCGGCATTGTCTCCGCGTGTCTTCCCACCCTCCGACCCGCCCTCCAAGCCATCGTGCGTCTGCTCGGCATCCAAGGCGCCATGCCTGCCTTGCTGCGCAGCCGATCAGCCCCCATGTCCAAGACCGGCCAGTCGAACCCCAGTCAGAACGGATTGACGGCCGAGGGACACATGGCCAGTGCTTTGGGTCATTCCGCGCATAGCCGGCGTCATTCCTTCTATCATCTCCCGGACGAGTCGGATTCGGCGGGGGGGCACGTCATGACGCCGGAGCAGTTGGATGCTTCTCTCCGGCCGGAGTATGATCAGGGACATATGGTGACCAATGTATTGGGCTCCAAGGGGAGGGACGCCGATAGTCTGAGTGATGAGATTCCTCTGCATGGAATCCGTGTACAAAGGGACTTTACTCAAGTCAAGGAGTGAATATCAATCACCAAATACTCACCGAGTCAATTGTGCCTCCAATAAAGACCACGTCAGTACCAGCATGTTTCGTAAGCGATTAAGATCATACTCTCATGCTAGCGAGCATCAATAATTTTGTCCTTCCTATGACAAGTATGTTTGTTTCCCAAGTCTATTCTCATTCAAGACCATATAATGCATTCCAATCTATGTCTACCAACCTAACCCATTCCAGTCTATGTCTATAAGCCAACCACTTAGGCACTGCTGTTCTCCACGTGTTCTTCTCCCTGTTTGTCTTGATCGTACAGCCCTTGCTTGATATCGTACCGGAACTGCTCCTCATCCTCCTTGAGCTGCGCCTTGAGAGTCTCATTCGCCTTCCATACTGGCTTGAGCTCAAAGAGCCTGTCGACCTTCTCCAGGGGAATACCGCTGGTCTCGGGAATGAGAAAGAAGGCAAAGAAGAAGGCTAGAAAGGACAAGGCGGCAAAGAAAAAGTACACGCCGTAGTGCATCTTGTCGAACATCTGCTCTGTGAATCGAGAGACGAGGAAGTTGAACAGCCAGTTGCTGGCGGTTGTCGCGGCCTGGGCCAGTGAACGGATGTTGGGGTCGAAGAATTCCTATCATTCGATATTAGCATCCGGGCAATTCGTGGCATGGAGGAGGCAAACGTACCGAGTTGATGACCCATGGTGTTCCATTCCATGTAGGTGTATAAACCGCCGTCCACATGTAGAAGAAGAAGATGGCTGCGATGCCTCCGCTGTTGAGGTGATCGCTGGGATGGTCCTCAGGACGAACAGCACAGATGTATGCCCCAATGATCCACATGCACAGAGAGCCAGTGACCGCGCCTATCAACAGCAGCTTCCGTCTGCCGAGCTGGTCGACCAAAAATAGCAGCCAGACAAAAGTCATGAAGGTCTTGACCACCCCGAAGATCCCGGTGGTTAATCCAACTGTGGCATCAGAAACCCCGATGCTCTTGAAGATGGTGGGGGAATAATAGTTGATTGCGTTGATGCCGCTTCCGTTCTGCCAGAAGAACAGCATACAGCCCAGGAACAGACGCCACAAGACGTTGGGCTGGCCTGCGACGGCTTGGAATGGTCTCCACAAGCCCAGTCCCACCTTGGCAGCCTGCTCCTCGTGAGCCTGGTCGATGGCAGCGACCTCCTCGGTGATATAGATGTCAGAGGGGTCCAACTGACGGATCCAACAGAGATTCTTCATGGCTATTTTCCGGTGACCCTTGAGGAAGAGCCAGCGAGGGGATTCCTTCATCCACAGGGCACCGACGAAGAGCAGGCCGGACGGAATCAGCTGGATGGCAAAGGGGATGATCCATTGTTCGTGATCAGAGGGCATGTGTTGTTCGACACCGTACTAGGTTCTTTGAGTTAGCGTTTTGACGCTCGCCAGTAGGGCCTAAACGGAGCAATCTCGGGAGGCATACGTTGATCCAGAACCCAACCAAACCGCCGACCTGCCAGCCAAGCTCATACAGACCGACCAATCTTCCGCGAATGGCTGGAGGCGCCAATTCAGACAGATAGATCGGGATGACGTTGGAGGCAACCCCCGTCCCCAGCCCGGACAAGACTCGTCCGGCGTACAAGATCCCGAGCCCTCGAGATCCATTGGCGCCCAGCTGCAGACCAGCACCAAGGGTGAAAATGGCAGAAGCAACTACCAGACTCCATTTGCGTCCCAGAAAGTGGCTGACAAAGTAGGTCAAAAGGGCCCCGAAGAAGGCACCTGCAATGAACAGTGAGACAATGTTCTCACTGATCAGGTCCACATGCTGGCTGGACATCTTGTCCAAGCCAAACTCCTCCTGGAAAGAGTCCAGGGTGATGGTCGTGCCAATGAAGGCGCTGGTGTAACCGATCATGTTCGAACCACATGATGCGATAACCGCGAGCAGGTACACTCGCCAGTTGTAGACGGATTTGGGGGTAGGTCGGTCCTCGACCAGAGTGAGAAGCCCCATACTGTGACCAAGTCGCTGGAATTGGAGAGAATGAGGTTGAATTGCTCCTGCTCCGGGTCGACAGAGGATGTGGATGGAATTCTTTTGCCAGCAACTCGATAGCTGTGAGAACGATCCAGGACCCAGGACATTATCTACTCGTCAGATCGTGTGGATTACTCGGTTGGTAATGCCCCAGTCTCCATACCCATGATGGATCCCTCTGCAGTGATGCCAGTCACATCCCCATCCGGGGCGTCGTGGGGATGCAGCAGGGAACAACGCTCGTCAATACGGTTAGATATCAAATGCATAGAGATCGCCAATCATATTCCCAGAAGGATTGCTCAAAGTCCTCATAAAATCTGTCGATATGCACGCCGACTGTGGGCTTCAGGCGGGGGAGTGTTTTCCCCAGACGAACAGCTGGGACTGACTCGCTTATCCGCCGGAAAAGGGCTGCAGGCGGGTCCTCCCAGCGAAGAACGTTCAGCCGGTCAACATTGATTGTCGTCATAACATAATGTTGGTGTGTACCGGAGGCTTGTTGGGCTTGGTCAACGTATTGGAAAATCTACCTGAGACTGTGGTTGATATCTCTCCATTGACAGGAAGCTGGCACAGAGATAATCAGTTTCATAACGAGACATGTCTATATTCGACCATGAGGCAGCGAGGCGGTTCTCTACCCTCAATATCTCACTTCTCAGTTGATTTGTTAGAAGCGGATTGGAGGCCGGTGTCGGCTCGGCAAAGAAGCTTCCTCGGAAATCAAGCTTATGAAATGATTGCTCACCCGATAACCCTCTCCTTAGGACTAAATTACTCTGTAACAAATTGAGTGACCGGGATGAGTCCTTAACCCATTTGCCAGAATTTTCCACGGAACTCGACCGAGTTTCTGATTAGCCTGATTTGTGAGGCAGCAAGGCACTAACTTGAGGCATCGTTGAACATTGCTGCTAAACTCAATTCAGTCACATCAACTGCTGCCTGAATGCCTCAGGTGTCAACCACAACTTGGGTATATTGATGGACATGAGAGCTGAAGATACTGGAAACTTCGAATTAATCCCTCGGAGAAAGCATGGAGGGATAGTTGTTTTCTACTAGTGAAATGGGCATCAAAATGTGGTATTCAGTTAAAGTATCTGAGAAAACATAGGAAAAACTCTTTATATATATCACTCTTGACAGTGCACCCGGACAGAGTCTTGGACCATCACACCTAAGATCTCCTATGGTATTGAATTAATGCTGTACAGAGTTTCTATTTTCTAATATCTATGGAATAATCTATAGATTAGCACCTGTCCTATATAATCCAGTAACTAATCTTTTTTCACCTTACAATGTATGTACTCTCATACTCCCTGATTATCTTGCTCTACAGTCTAGAGACTGAATATTTTCATGCATAATCAGCCGGTATGAATAGGTACTTGAAATCGATTGGTCCGATACCCTTGATCCTTCACTCTCGATACTCTGTAGACTCGATACCTAAGGTAGTCTTGAAAAGGACCAATGTTTGCTGCCCAATCTCCTTGGCGCCTGACCTTTTCGCCGTTATGGAATGCTGAGCTCGTGTCGAGGGTCAGAATCTCACTTTAGTCGAGCACAACCACTAGAAAAGCAGCTCTCAAGCCCTGGATCCTTCCAACCCCTCCTTTAACACCCTCAAATCCCTGCCGCCTCTGTTCAGCCGCACTTCACTCTGGCCGTACATTTTCACTTTAAAGGCCAGTTCGCGCCCGTCAGCATGGAGCGCGTGGTTCATCTTCCGTCCGCCGCGACTCTCAAGTCGCTGATTTCAGACGATTCGAATAGGGCAGATGACAAGACTGCAAATTCAATGGTGATGTCAATGTTCACGCCTGCGACAGACTTGTTCCAGAATATACAACATAGGCCCAGTCCAGAAAAATGACCGTTCAAAACTATCAAATCCCCGCCATCTACGCGCGGGCGATCGAGAAGTACAAAGAAATTACCAAGGAGGATCTCGATGTCGCTTTCGTTCAGAAGCTCCAGAGCGTAGATGACCTGGCCAAAGAGATCGATGAGCGTAACAAATCCTTCAGCGAGTACCGCCACAAACGCGGCGCCATCTTTGATGCCATGCAGGCGGCTCTCATTCCGGTCCAGCTGTTCGGCAATATGGCAGCCGGAGGCGCGTCGATGGTCTTTCCCCCCAGCAGTCTTGTCTTTGGAGCAGTGACCTACCTCATGACGGCTGCCAAAGGAGTGTCGAGCTCCTACGATGCCATTGAAGATCTGATGGGAACACTGAAGGTGGGCAGTCTTCCGATAGTCGCCTAATTTTTCGCTCATGCGTGAACTCATCCAATGTGTGCAGGATTTCACCATCCGATTGAAAGCCTACAGTCAAGAGCAAATCTCCGAAGATCTTAGTGACAAGCTGAGCGACATTCTTACAACACTGGTGGAAATCTTCGCCCTTTCAACCAAGGCTATCAAGCGAGGTAGACTGCTCAAATTCACTCGCAACGTCCTTCTGGGCAACGATGACGCCATCAAAGCAGCGGTGGGTAAATTGGATAAGTTGACCAAGGTCGAAGCGAGTCTCGTCGGTGCCGAAACCCTGACCGAGGCCAAACGGACAGGCCGCGTGGTGGACACTCTCCAAACCACGGTCACGTCGACCAATGTCACGGTGCAGGAGACGGGAATGGCCGTCAATCAGATGACCGTGCAGGTCACCGAGGTACATGAGATGCTGGGCAACATATTGATCGCCGTGAACGACAAGGACGAAAATCACGGGGAATCGGCCAAGTCACAACGTGATCTTGTGAGGAGCATTCTGCGACCATCCGCCACAGACTCGGCCCAAGATTGGTACGACAAGATCAGCAAAACCCGCGTTCCCGGCACAGGCGATTGGATTCGGCACGAAGACGTGTTCCAAGGCTGGATGGATGGACATCTCCCGGTCATGTTCATCTCCGGCAATCCTGGAGCTGGCAAATCCTATCTTTCATCTAGCATTATCGCCTTCCTCAGAGACCAATACCCGCAGGGGGTACAGCATCCATCACATGCCTCCGTGGGGTACTTCTTCTTCAAGGACGACAACCCCACCACAAGGTCATTCCACCAGGCTCTGCGGGATCTCGCCTATCAGATCAGCAGGAATGATCCGGCATATGAAAAGTACCTTGCAACCCTTGGAGATTACGGGAGTGCCAGCACTTTGGAAAGTGCGTGGCGGACCCTTTTTGTCAACTACTTCTTGAAGAAAGAATCAATCACGAGCAGGGTTTATGTCCTCTTCGATGCGGTGGATGAGGCCTTTGAGGAGGAAAGACTGGTCTTCTTGCAGCTTGCCAAGGACATTCTCGACTCCCCGAATCGCGGCCGTTTGCAGTTGGCCATGGTTGGACGGCCGCATGTCAGCGATCAGCTGGCTGAAGCGCTCGAAACCAACGTTCCGACAATCTATGTAACAACACTGAAGAATTCCGCCGATATCGACCGATACATCAAAACCAGCATTCAGAAATCAGTGATCTTGCGACGCGTCTCACCCGCTCTACGAAAGGAGATCGCCGAAAAATTGTCTGCAGGCGCGGAGGGCATGTTTCTCTGGGTGAACCTGATGCTGCAGGAGCTAGTCAAGAAGCGCAACGAGTCCAGTATCCGTAAAAGCCTCGAGCAGGCGCCCAAGGGCCTGAAGGAGATGCTGCGCCATGTCCTTATGAGCTTCTCTGCCAGTCTAACCGACGAAGAGTTGGACTTTCTCAACGAGCTCTTGCTGTGGGCCACCTGTGCCGTTCGTCCTCTGACTCTTGGCGAGGTGGAGGCAATCCTTGAGTTGAAGTCGGCTGAGGGAGATGGGATGATTTATCTCGAAGGCGCCCTTCGCAAGCAATTTGCTGCCTTCTTCAACCTCGACCGCGAGGATGGCCTGACCACAACGGAGCTCCAGACCTTGGCAGACAGGGCATATGAGTCCGACGACGAAGATGTTCCTAAGGATGAGAGCGATGACCAGGACGCTTTCGAAGACGTTGAGAACATGATAGACTTTGATTCAAACAAGAAGTCGACCACCGTCACCTTCAGCCACGCGTCCCTGGGCGATTTTTTCCGTGACCCAAACGAGGGCAAGGTCTCTGCCGCGGAGGATAAACTGCCGGTCGGAGTCATCTATAACGATGCCAAAGCTCAAGTCCTCAAGACGTGCCTAAAGATCCTCACCGATACTGAGTTTTCCGAGAAAGCTAAGGACTCCAGCCTCATGCTGACCTACGCCGCAAGCAATTGGGTGCAACACCTTCATGTAGTGCAGCCCTCAGAGACCTCGCTCGAGGACAGGAAGGCAATCGCCAGCATGCTGGCCAAAATGTTCGGTATGGAAGAGTACATGGCCAAATGGGTGCCAAGGAGAAGCTGGGTCTCGACAAGCGAGAACCTCAAGGCCATTCAGGGCTGGTGGGATGATGCCGGGATTGTCGAGTCGCTTGCAGTCAAAGAGGCCGAGTTTGTGCTTTCCGTCAAGGAAAAACCTGGAGAGACGTTTCGACCCATCGCTGAGTTTTGCACCAAAAAATGGTTGGCTGAAGATGACTGGTCACCCGCCGCCCCGGCGGCTATGATTATCAGCTATCTAAAGTGTCAAAGAGGGATCGATGAGGATTTTATTTTCTGTTTTGCACCGACTGCCGCAGAGGTCGTCGAGGCCGCCGAATGGGCGCAGATAGAGAAGACATCCCGCTGGTACCAAAGGATCGGCGTGGTGCTACGGCAGACTGGCCATGTAGAAGAGGCTCTGGAGCATTTTAGGAAAGCAACCGCCATAGATTCGAACAATTGGATTGCCAAAGCAGGCATGGCCATAGCACACGCGGGTAGGAAAGAATGGGACACGGCCCTTGCGCTCGACGAGGAAGTAGAGGCACTTTTGGAAAAGCAGCTCATTGACGAGCCTGATCAGAAGAAAAGGCTAACTTCACATCTGCACACAGCACTGGACCGCATGGCAACCTGCTATAAGGAGCTGGGACAGGCGGAGAAGCATTATCTGAAGATCAAGAAAGCTCTTGCGGTTAATCCCTACTGCAGCGCATGCACATTTGCGATCCTGCGTTTCCAGAACGAAACGGGCCGGTTCGAAGAGACCATGTCTCTTGTGAAAGAATTCGCCGACGCAAAAGTTCCCGACAAAGAGTACAATCGACTGACCGAGTTTCTATGGCAGATGCCAACTGTGGATGAGGAGGTCGTCGAGTACTTGGCCTTCGCTGGCCAGGCCACAAAGAACCTCGACCTCATAGTGCGTTCCTACCGCGACGCGGCCCGAGCCGGCCGAAAGTCGTCCCTGACGGTTGTCGCGGCTCATTTGGACCTTTCGCTTGCGCGAATCTATTCCGAATACACCCGAGAGGAAGACAAGGCGACGAAGCGGTGGGAGAGGATCCTTAACACGTATGGATCTGCCAAGGAAGAAGGCGAGATTGGCTCGGCCAAGGTGATCGCCTCCTCTAAGTTGGCCCAACTTTGGCTGTGTCATGCCCTCGATGCCGGCGTGGGGTCCCCCGAGGCGGAGGAGTACGTCAGCCGATTGGAGCAGCTGGTAGCACGGTACAAGACCGAGGACACGTCCGATTTCTGGATCGCCGCGCGGGCTCGAGCGATTTCTCTGGGAGTGTGGTACCGCTTGACTGGCCGACACGATGAGGCGCGCGCTCTGCTCGCTCCGTCCGTCAAACGGGCTATACTGATTTTATCCGACGATGATCCAGAGAACGACAGCGCAGGTTTAACTGATTTGCAAAATGCTCTGCTCGCTGCCGGGGACGTCAAGAATGTGATTGCGATTGCCTATGCTCTCGGAGGATATGCGGATAAAGACGAGCAGGAGAATGAGGAAGACGAGTATTGGTACACCTGCGATGGACCGTGCCGAAAGGTGTCTTCAACGATGGACGGCATTTCGTTGTGCTCGATCTGCTTTAACACGGGCTTTTGCAAGGATTGCTCGGAGCTGCTGCGGACAGGGGCCATGCCATTCCAAGTATGTAGTGCAAACCATGTAAAGGACTTCGTATATATTCCGCCTCGACCACAGAAGGTGGAGGCCAACCGAGTTCTGGTGGAAGGACAAGTTCTGACTTATGAGGAATGGCTCGCTCAGTTGAAGAAGGAATGGAAAGTGTAAGGCGACAGGTAGCGAAGATTGACGGAAAGTGGCCAGCTTTGTCATGTTTTACAATAGCACGCAATCCATCAAATTATCGCCTCAAGTTGATCGATCTATCAGTAGGGATGATGATGATGATGAAATAACCTCGAGGTGAGAGGTGAGAGGGGAGAGAAAGGAAAGAGATGAGAGATGGAGGAGAGAGAGTCGAGATGGTTACAACTTACCCCAAAAGAAAACAACGTGATGCCTGAGGCACCAACTGCTATGCACTTCCTCGCTTCTTCGTCATTGACATGGACTGGGCTGACTGACATTCAGTAATGAAATTCTTTGTTTGAATGAATCGTAAACGAGCGACTCGCCGTTCGAATTGCCTGGCTAGATGGCTATCAACGGGTAGCATAGGCCGACTCCGTACTGTCCCATATTTCCTCCCCCCAGACAGTAATCCCATGCCTCCTAATCCATCACTTCCACCGGTCGCATTTCATCACAATTATCCTTGTACTAGATCTGATCCTTAAAACGAACTGTTGTATTCATCTCGATTGACGATAATCCAAGCCGACCATGTCTTCGCCAAGCAAAGGAGAAAACAACCTTCCCACCCTCCTGGCTTCAATGCGACCTACAGTACACCCTGAGACATTTGTCTTTCTCACCACAACGCAGCGAATCGAAAACCTTCCCCTGCAAACTCTGAAACCAGAGATGCTCTTCCAAGAAGACGAGGGATTGAGCATCATCGCCACCAAAGATCTGGCCGAGTCACACGGGTTGCGCGACTATACGTTCCCGTGCAAGAAGATCTCGTTGGCCGTGCATTCCAGCCTGGAGGCCGTGGGACTGATTGCTGCGATCTCGACGAAGCTCGCCAGTCATGGTATCAGTACCAATGTGGTCAGTGGGTATTTCCATGATCACATCTTTGTGCCTCTAGGGAAGGAGGATGCTACTTTGCAGGTGCTGCAGGACATGATGAAGGCAGCAGAGTCAACAATTCAGAAATAACAATGTCTACTACATGATTTGTATATGATCTCATTGATTCCATAAGAGCTGGCAGTAATACTTCTATTATGGTTTGACCTACGGTACGCTCGAGCCTACTACGCGACAGCGATGACTTGGTGGATATCATAACCTTCGTCATGAGGCTCAATTGAGCCTCCGTACAATTCGATGACTGCAGCCGTAGGATGGGTTGTACCGGTGATATCGACGAGGCAGAAACGTGTCGATCTAGAAGCGTGGCTGAGATCAGGCAGAAGAGAGGGGTGACTCACAAGGCTGTCTAGCCAACACATCACCCACAGAATGACAAGGATACTTTGTGGTATCAGAACCAGTCAGAGTCATACCGAGAGTGACAAGGCTGATTTCCCACAATGCACATTCACTGGTTTCAGGCTAGGGAACTGCTGCCTGGTAGCCATCACTCAAGGATAAGAATGGCCACTTCCCTCCCCCAGCGTCAACCAACTTGGCAGAATCATCTATCTCAAGGCGTCCAGTATGGGATTTCCGGGTCACTCAGGCCGTCATCGACGCGTTCCATCCGAAGACAGTGAGTCGGAGGAAATGGAGATCATCAACAACAACAACACCATTGCCGCCAGCAAGAAAGATACGGAAGACAATGCGGATGATACGGCTGAGACTGTCAAATATGCTCCCCCAGGGACGATCTGCGAGGTTCACAACCTCTACCAGTCCAAACGCGATGAGCATGGTCGTACTTCGTGGACCAAGAAGAAGCCTGATGATCTTCCCAGCGCAGATGAGAACTCCGAGTCGGCTCAGTATGCCCTCATTGTCCGCCATGTCAAGTGCTACGATGGTCGCAAACCTCTCCAAATTCACTCCATTGTCGTGCAGAGCGAGCCACTGAAAGAATCCCTTGGAAAAGTGCTAGATGGCTATCCAGGGGTTACCATGACCCTGGAGCGAGTGGAATTCCGCAGTCCTTTCAAGCCTTTCGTTCATCGATGGGAGCGTTTCGCCAGTGCGCGCGACCAGGAGCTAGACTCGGTGACCAAATCACATGTGGATCTTCTCTACACCATCCTCGAAGAGGAGCTTCGGGATACGATTGCCCGTAAAAATGACCTCGTGCTCAATGGCGTTGTTACGCACGATCTGCTCTGGACCATCTTCGAGCCGGATGATGAGATCTTCAGTATGGTCGGTGGTCGCCCCCGAGCCTTTCGATTCAAGTCAGGCGAGACCAATTGTCGGACTGGCGCATTCGACCTTGAAGCCAAATACATTGATTTCGACGGCGATGACTTTGGATTCCGCGACATGGACTTCGAAGTGCCGGGGTTTGTTGGCACCATGCCCATCACGGCACTTCCGGTGTTTCCCCTAAGATGTCACAGTGACCAGGTTTCCGTCCGCGAGGCCTTGGTCGCACGTGGAACGCTCTGGGAGCAATACAAGGGGTATCATTTCAAATATTACGAAGGCCTGGCTGTGGGTCGGTTCATGAGACGGGAATTCAAGTTCAACATCAAAAGCCGCATCATCATCGACACCGAGGCGTTCAACACCTTCAACCCAGACGAGTGCGTCTCCGTGTATTCTGCTTGTGCAAAGGAACTCACGGATGACCAGCGACTGCTGGCCACTCCCACCGTGCGTGGATATTCGCTCAAGGAGAAACGGTGGCTGGAGTTCAATCTCGACAGTGTCAAAGAGATCGTGTGGGACTCGCAGGCCTTCGACTCCCTGGTACTGCCGCAGGGTCAACAGGATCTCAAGGCGCTGATTCTGGCCTTTGCCAAGGCGCAGTCAAAACAAGCGGATTCCTTTGATGACGTGGTCCAGGGCAAAGGACGAGGAATCATCATGCAACTGAGCGGGCCGCCGGGAGTGGGTAAGACTCTCACTGCGGAGAGCGTTGCCGAAGTGATGAAGGTGCCGCTGTATGTGATGAGTGCGGGAGATCTGGGGACGTCGGCCTCGAGCGTAGAGGACGCGTTGAAAGATATCCTGCGGATGGTTCCCAAGTGGGGAGCGGTGCTTCTCCTCGATGAAGCCGACGTGTTCATGGAAGCTCGCAACTCAACGGACTTGTTGAGGAATGAGTTGGTGTCGATCTTCCTACGCATGCTGGAGTATTACGAGGTGAGTTATTTTTTATTTCGTCATCAACACCAATACGCTGAGACTTATCATCCAGGGCATCCTCTTCCTGACTACCAACCGCGCTGGAAACATCGATCCGGCTTTTGAATCTCGAATTCACGTCTCCATCGTCTACCCGGATTTAGAGATGACTTCCCGTCGCCATATCTGGCAGCAGTTCCTGACTCGCACCGCCGGAACTGAGCGATTCTCCAATGAACAGCTGGAGACATTGGCCGGAGTGTCGTTGAATGGCAGACAGATCAAGAATGTACTCAAGACAGCTCATTTGCTGGCATGGTCGCAGGAGAAGCCGCTTGCTTACGAGCATTTACAAACAGTTCTCAAGCTTAGGGATGCTACATCGCCGATTGCGAATGGGGTTTGAGGGGGCAATCAAAGGCAGACATAGCATATCTGAATATCCGTTTGAACTCTCCAAAGACAGTAGATCAACTTCTCCTCGTAGACGGCTGTATGTGCAGATCTGCCTAAAGTAAGGCAGCCAACCCCACCTTGCTGGGAGTGGGGTATCTACATACATACACATTTCGCAGGCTGCATCGGCCAGGATAAGATCTCTTTCTCAGTCAGACGAACACCATTACTGCGATATCGAGCCATGACGCAAATGAGAAGCAAAGACATTCTTCCTAGCTTACTTGATGCGCTGCCATCTGCGAGGATCTCCGACGATGTCGACCTTGCGTCCATCGCCAGTCCCTTCGCCGACTGTCTTGCGCGCTTGTCTGCATCCGATTTCGCCGAGGTCGCTATCTGGAGAGATTGCTTCGCACTGACTGGGACTCTGAGAACGTTCTATTCTGCTTGGACAGTTTCCGAGGTCTATCGCAATCGGTGTTTGGTGCGACAAGCCCGGTCATTTGACCTACAACCTGAGGAAGCACGTGTTGTGCGTATTAGCCCATCGTGTAGCTGGATTGATGTTCCTTTCCGGTTCGAGACCAATGCCAGTCCTGCTGCACGTTGCTCTGGAGTCCTCTCCTTGATCCCATCCGGCGAAAATGGTGAGTGGACGATCTGGATGCTGCAGACTGTGCTGGACCAATTCGAGGGGTACCCCAGTGTCGACACGCTTGATCCGACGACTCAAAGCCCCTCTGTGGGTGATTCCACAACTCACTTTGACTGTCTAATCGTCGGGGCTGGCCATTCCGGCCTCAACACTGCCGGTCGACTGAAAGCACTAGGAGTGTCCTATCTCGTCATAGACAAAAATCCACGAGTGGGCGACAACTGGCGTCATCGATACGATTCCGCAAAGTGTGCGTTTTCAAGTACTTGTGCGAGAAAGCGGCTTATTTGAGACAGTACACACGATCCGAGACTATTCCCATCTGCCTTTTGAGCGCAACCTTGCCCATGTCAACCATGAGTGGCTGACCAAGGATGATCTCGCGGAAGGGTTCGCCGCATGGGCAGACAGGTACAGGATAGTACGTCCACCAAAGGCGTCGTCTCTGACTTCTTTCTAATCGAAAAAGAATATATGGACATGCAGTGAGCTACAATCCGGTACGTGGGACAACTCGCGCACAGAATGGACCTTGAAAGTCAGACAGACCATAGCAGGTTCCGAAATGATCAAGACCCTTACGTGCCGACATGTGGTGCTAGCGACTGGTGGAGCATGCAATAAGCCACAGAAGCCTTTCTATCCTGGGGAGGATAGATTCAGGGGAGTCATCCAGCATTCGATGAGCTATCGTAACGCATGGGACTGGACAGGTCAACGAGGGGTCGTGGTTGGAACAGCCAACACGGGTGAGTGATCAAAGAAGCCATCACGGCAATGTTAATGCTCACCTCGAATCCAGCCCATGATGTCGCTGAAGATATGATCGACGCTGGATTGGCATCGGTGACTATGATCCAACGCAGTCGGACATATCAGTGAAACCTTCCTTTGCCCTCTTCGTTGTGTTGACTTCTTACAGATGTGCTTCCTCAGGAATACTTGACCAAAGCCTGGAAACGTCCTTGCTCCTCCATTTTGGGAAGTCTCGGAAACAAAACTGACCCTTGATAGCAATTCTGAATGACCATACACTACTCGAGACATCCTATCGCACACTCTTCGCCGGGCCATTGGCAGTAAGCCGCCTCGTGACCATGGCTGCCTTGAACACCCAAGCAGAGGCTGAGCCAGAGCGATTCGCCGCACTGGAGCGAGTCGGCTTCAGGACGGAACGTTACGGAGACCTCATTTCCCTTCTCAGTGAGCGCTTCGGGGGTCATTACATGGATATTGGGGCTTCCGCCAAGATAGCGCAGGGCTTGGTCAGTACTTTTCTGGGCAATATGAGACAGCGATGCTCATGGGGCTCCAGATCAAGGTCAAGTCTGACAGCCAGCTCATATCGTACACTGAAGACGGTCTCGTGTTTGAGGATGGGACTCATTTGCCAGCCAATGTGATTCTCTATGCCACCGGATTTACAGGAAACCTCCAGGACTCAGTACAGGAATTCTTTGGCGAGGAGATCCATGCGCAGGTGGAGGATTATTAGGGCATTAACCAGGAGGGCGAGATCAAGGGCGCATATGTACCCACCGGACGTATGTTTCTTGAAAAGTGACTGCGCTGCCGGTTCTGTCAACTGGAACTGACTTTGTGAACTGTAGATCCCGGTCTGTGGTACGTGGGAGGAGGAATGGGCCAAGTTCGGTTTTTTGCTCGCTTTGTCGCGCTGCAACTTCTGGCGTATCTGTTTGGCAATCCGTTGCCAGTGTACTCCAAGACACCAATCGTTGAATGAGCTTAATTCTGATGGCAGTGATTGTTTTGGGCGTATTTCTTAGTCGTAATCTTGACCAGAGCGACAAGTAAGATATATATTCAACCTTTGTATGGCCACGAAAGTAGGGCCTTAGCGTCTCTGCTGTTCCTTTTCTTTCTTTGAGAATGATTGATAGAATCTATTGTATATTTACCAGAATCACTCCCTCCCATGGATAGTTGACCGAAGCAGTCCTCAAAGGGAAAAGTGATGGAAACCTGAGGCATAGAGCAGGCAACAATAACGCTAAACCTTTTTTGGTGACATATCAGCCGAGTGCCAAACCCACCAATCAGAGCCTAGCGCGCACGTGACTTCAGAGATTGTTTCGTTTCTGAGAGAATCGGGAAGCGCCAAGTGTCCAATTAGGATGGCTCAGGGGCCAACTATATATAGGCTGACTAAGTCGGGACGCTAAACCTAAACGGGATGGAATCCTGACACCCCCCCTCGGACCGAC